TTTTTTGGGTAGGAAAATTTTATAAGTTTTTTAAAATATTCATTTTGTTTTTTATTTCTTTTATTACTATTTTCAAATAATCCAACGGTGTTTAAATTAAGTCACATAGAGCGGAAGCGAATTTGAAAGCGGAAGCATGAGGACGACAAAATTAAGTTATGAGCAATGGGAATTTAAGCAAGAGCGCGCGAAGTATGAGAGTGAAAACACACTCAAAATATGAAAGCAACATCTATTGATAAAAATTGTGTGGCTTAAAGTCTAAGTCGCTTATTTCAAATTTAAATATATTTTTTTAGAAAAATGTTTCATCAAATCACGAGTAATCGAAAAGATGTTATATTGTCCTTTCGTTTAAAGTCCATGGGTAGGTTTAAATGCACGACTTCACCATACCCCTACGAAGAAGAAAATTTACATTAAACTTTGTAAACCCTGAAAGGAGTTGTGGGCCCACCTAAATATGGACTCATTCAACCTTTGTTGTCCATTAATTTCATGGCCGCATAATAATTTTCATGATTTTCAAATTCTTAAATTAAAGTCAATACTGAGTCGTTTTACATGTTTAATTTTGTCATCTAGGTGAAAGTTAAATATACCATTAGCTTTATAATAGTCACAAATTTTCTCCCAAATTGAAGGGAGACTGATGGCATGTTCTTTCTAACTTAATAAAAATTGGATTTTTCAAGGAAAAAAAAAATATAAAAAATGGTAATTGATTATTGGTACTACAAAATGAATTTAGTTTATTCACTAACAAAATTTTGGGACATTTGATATTTAGGTCCTCATTGGTGAGTGTTGGGGGAGAAATTCACGCGGTCCAATACGGCACCGTTTTTCTATAAAGAAAATAGTAGAAGATCGATGAAACTTGACGGCACCGGTGTGGTGTCTGCCAAGAGCTCTCCGATGATCAAGTCAGTCACCGGAGGTCTAAAAGAAAGACATGGATTTAATAATCATTTTTTGTCGTACCTTTATTGACCGGTAGGATCTCATTCTTATAGCCGCTTTCCCTTAATTCATTTGCGAGATCAGAGGAGATCGTTTGTTGCCATATTTGTCGGGGATATGATTTACTCCTTTGACTTTCTCAAATTGTGTCAAGGTTATCCTTACCCTGTTGAACCACGTCGTCTTTCATTATACTGTCATTATCCTGGATAAGAAATGTCATTATTTTTATCCAATGGAAATCTTTATCTTTGATAATTAAATATTATAGTTCGAAAGTAGAAAAGGTCTGGCGGCTGGTCAATACTTAGTTGCCTCTATCTTTAGGTTAAGGTAGGTTTATTTTTCCCTATCAGTGAGAATTACAGAGATGGATCTAGAAATTCATATGGGGGGCAAATTTATACAGAGAAATTTTTTCATAATTTCAGTGGGAGCTATTTCAAAATTTTATGGATATAAATGCAAAAAAATACAAATTTAGGGGTATAAAATGCAATAACAAAAAGCTACCCCACTGAGCCCACAATACATCCGTGCCTGCACTGTCCTCACCGCTAATGTGGACTAATAACAAATGGACACATCTTCTTTCATTATTAAATTAGAAATGTGTATGTACGCTCTATTATTTTCGATTTAATAAGTGAATATGTACTCATCTTAGATTTGATAATTAAATAGGACATATCTATTTTTTATTAGTCTACGTCAGTGATTAGGTCTTTCCTTATGAAAGCCTGAGTATTTTTCTTTGATAATTGAATAAAGTTCGTAATGTTTGTTAATTTCCTTAAGCAGATGCCACAGCTAGTATTTGTGTGGTCTAAGAAACAAGAAATTATTCATTGCAATAGTTGTAAAGATGACGTAGTGTAACAGACAACTATAAATACTCCACCAAAGTAAAGTGGACTTACAACATAATCAAAAAGCTAATATATGTGTTTTGATGGAGTGTTTGTAGCCGTCCGTTACACCACGTCATCGTTTCAATGATTGCAATGAGTAATTTTTTCATAAGAAGCACTTTCACACACAATTTGATGTTTCTTCAATGCACTCTCATACCTAGTAGGTTTGTTTGGTTTCGATTTTTGTAGTATAAATTGTGATACTTTATTTTTGAGAGAAAGGAAGAAAATAAAAGAAGAAAAAGGTAGACCATAAAAATACTTTTGGAAAAAAGGAAAATAGTTGAATGGGCTTCCACTTAAGGCCCAATAATACTTTTGGAAAAAAGGAAAATATTTGAATGGGCCTCCACTCAAGGCCCAATAATATTGATACTCTTCATAAAGTTATATCCTATCTTAATTTCAAGACAATCCTATCTAGAGGTGCACACGGTTCCGCTCGGAACCGAAACCAGAACCGTTCACAACGGTTCTTAAAAAACGGAACTGGAACCGGAACCGAAACCAAATCCGGTTCGGTTCCATGAGAACCGTTGACCATGAGTTGGCTGACAGGGGCTGAAGCTTGCCAACCCTAACTGGAACAACAGCGATTGAAACTGAAAGATATGGGTTTTGATTTTTTGAACAATCTGAAATGATATGCCGATATGGGTTTTGAACTTTTGATTCTTGCAGATAGATCTGAAATATATGGGTTGTGAACTTCTAATTCTTGTAGATTTTGTAGTTTACAGTTGCACAGAGAGAGAGGGCAAGTTTAGCAGTGATTAAATCGAAGTTTCCTATTCATTTGGACATGATTTTTGGGAAAAATCAGTGAATATTATAGAAAATATATACGTATATATACGTATATACGTATATATATTTATATAAAATGAAGAAAGATTTAGAGGAGATCTTACCTTTTGATGTGGATGTTTATTCAACAAAACTAGCGATTTGTGTGCTTAATCCATTATCTATTAGGATGAGTGGAACAAGCATTTTCGTTCTGATTTCAAGTTCTCTTAAATGTGCTACATAACTAGTGATTTGTGGTGCAGACTTCCTTATTTCTTAGTTCTTACCCTACCTCTGCATATCATTTTTTGCATTGATTGTGACTATTGCTTGCAGTTGCCGCCGGGGGGGGGGGGGGGGGGGGGGGGGGGGGAGGGCAAGTTCAGAGTCAAGAGAATAGAGATGGAGCTAGATGAATTTTGCAGATTTCCCACGTGAATTGAGGATTGGGATTGGGAATTTTGGATTTGTGTTTTGTTTTGTGGATTAGTTTTACGCACATGGCTGCTTGTTGGCCTTAGTTTAGAATAACGAATTAAATATATAATTATATATATATATATGGTTCCGGTTCTTACCGATTCCCACGGGCTGGAATTGGAACCGGAACCATACACTCACGGTTTTGAAAATAGAAACCAGAACCGAAACCGTGAGAACCGGAAAAAACGGTTCCGGTTCCGATTCCCCGGTTCCGGTTCTTTTGTGCACCCCTAATCCTATCAATCATTGCATGCCTAGTCCATTGTTAGAAATTACCAAACCTTCATTACATGTCACATTGATTTAATAACTAGTTAACCACCAAATCTGATTTCTACCTCTAAGAGCTTGAACAACCTCTCAACAATAATTCCACGCACTGAACCGAAATATTTATAAACAATTTACGTGTAGCCCACTTAAATAAAACTCATTTTGTTAATCAAGTCAAGCCCAAATAATTTTGGACTTAAATAAAACTCATTTATGGCTATTTGATCATTATTATTAATCAAGTCAAGCGCAAATAATTTTTGACTCGCTTATTAGGGTTTGGGAAAAATAACTGTGAATTGTACATCTTAATTCACAACAAGTTTTTTTTTTTTTTTTTCTTTTTCTTCTTAATAATAATGATACAGCATTTGAGCTAACCTTGTGAAGTTAAAAGAGCTAACAAAGTTAAAGAGGCGAGTAGCATCAAATTAAGCTTAATAACCAAAATTCTCTAGGCTTGAACATATTTTAATTTGACAAAGTCGAATAAAAGCAATTAAATATTAAATATTCAAGCTTGTTCATCTTTAACTCATAGTTTTTTTCAACCTTTGAAGTCCTAACCATAAAGACAATATTTCGAAAATTATTCATCTGAAAGTACTTAATTGACTCCTTGAATTTGGAATTTGATGAAATTTAGTATAAAGTTTATTCCAATTCCAAATCCAACTCTATATCCTCCAATTTCAAATTCAAACCGCCGATTTAGTGCTTCCAAATACAACATCAACAATTTCAGAGGCAAGACATTAAATTCACGCAAAAAAGTAAGAACTGCTTTTCACACCTTCTATTAAACATTAGTTACAAGATAAGTGACAAATAGAAGATTATACAATATCAAAGATTAGCTACTTCCAACACAAATCTAATTAATACATATTGACAATTCGTTCAAAAAATGTCACATTATTATTCAGCTATTATGCTTCATGTAGGGGTATCCAATAGGGATTCACCACCACTTTTTATGTTTTTATGAGAAAAACAAACCTAACATCTCCAATTAAGGCTTGACCTTTTCAACAATCTGGATTATGCCAAAAGATTACATAGCCCAAACCAAAACATACTTCCAACCATAAAATCAGTTCGCAAAAAAGAATTAAAAAAAAAAAAAGAAGAAAAAACCTTGAGAACGTTCATACCTATGCAAGTCCTTATGCTTATATTGAGGAGATAATGATATTTCTTTACTGGCTAGGCATTGGACCTCAAATATATGAATAAAATTTAGAGGCAACAATCCATAATGCAATCCCCATTTATTTAGACTACCTAAAACTTTTCCAAACCATCACTCTACAATTTTTCAATCACGTTTAATAAATAAAGGTGTCTACCAAAATCAAACTAAGCTAAGCATTTTCCCGGATAGAACATATTCCAATTTGATGTAGTCGAATAAAAGTAATTAAATATTTGAATTAGTTCAATTTAACTCGATTTATGATAACCCTAATCAGTGTTTTTCTCAACCGTTCAAGTCCTAACTAAACTTCTCATAAAGAGCCAAAAAAAAAAAAAAAAAAAACTTCTCATAAAGGCAAAACTTCGAAAACTATTCAACAGTTTCACAAGCAGCACCATTAATTCATGCAAAAAGACAAGACTGCCCTTCACAGGCTTGGAGCTTCTTACAAGATAGTTAAGTGAAATACAAAAATCATACAATACCAAAGTTAATCTACCTCCAACAAAAATCTAATTAACCCATACATATTGACAATTCGCTCAAAATTACATAATATTTCAGCTATTTTACTTCATGTAGAGGTGTGGAATAAGGATTCACCACCACTTTTTCTGTTTTTCTGAGAAAAACAAACCTCACATCTCCAATCAAAGGCTTGACCTTTTCGACAATCTTGACAATGCCCAAGAATAATAATTTATACAACACCACCATTCCAAATAGGATACCAAGATCAATCCACTTGGAGTACCCCATCTCTACTTGAAATACATCCCTCAAAATTATGGCGCCATCAATAGTTTTAGGCCCTACTAATTGAGTATTAGTAAAACTAAGTCGTTCAAACTCATTCTTGTACAATCCTTGATATGCATACTTGTGGAATGCAACGTAGTACATTGGGTACCTCCAGAAGAGCCCCGGAAGATCGTTTGGCAATCGGAAAAACCCACCACTCAACATCATCAGGCCTTGAATTCCAGCACCTATGATCAGCCCCATAAGGAAATTTGGCACCACACTTGCAACAATCATCATAAGGCTCTCCACCAACAACATACACGCGAAAAGTAGTAGAGTGAAGTAGATGAATTGTTCATTTCCGCGCTGAAGTCCCACGAGATAATATATAATGGCTCCGGGAATCAAAGAGATGACAAGCAAGTATGCCATGGAAGAAAGTGTGTTGGCAATGGCAAATGTTGCAGCACCATAATGTCCGTTTAGTCTTTCCCGGTCAAAAACCTAAGCATGGTAGAAAGATTGGTGTTTGATTAATTTGTTTGAAATTAGATTTTGATTTATAAATTGTTGGAACGAGTTTAATTCACCTTCATGTCCTCTACGAAGGAAGGAAAACCACCAATGGCCATGATGGTCAAGAAGGAAGCTACAAACATGAGCATTGAGCCTCTTGCCTAATTCATTCAAAGCAAACAAATAGTTACATGTTCATTTGCAATTCAAAAACCAGAAAATTTTAGACTAAAAATAGTTATGACATGAGACTTACTTGAATGGAGTCATAATCGGAGCCCATATCATAGAAGACAGTACCTAAACCAAAACCCAGTGCAATGTATATAGCAAGGCGCAACCAGTAGTAGCCTAGGTCACGAAACATGTTTATAAAAGACCGCTCTGTAAGAACACGGCATTGGGTAAAGAAGCTAGCTTGGCTTCCCTTCTTCTCTATTGCTCCTCCACCCTAACAACATGCATATATTATATATCCAATACATATAATTGTCATAAGTATTTTTGGGTTTAATTTTGTTGTCCTATTTAAATGAATTTGTTCAATATCTTACCAGTGGCATAGCAGTATCAGCCTCTTACTTTCCAAAGGGAGGTCAGGGGTTTAAATTTCGGAAAAGACATGTGTGTGTGAGTAACAACTAGGAAAAAAAAAAAAAAATTGTTCAATATCTTACCTGTCTATGTATCTCAGCTATGTGTCCTCGAATTTGCTTGCAAGTATCAAATGATTTGGAAGAGTTTACAAGAACATCAATTACTTCCTCAGTTGTCATTTTTCCACCAACACCTTGTTCAATGTCCTAATGGTGAAATGTGGTATCAAAATTAAATCTCATACATGTACAATATTAGGAAAAAAAAACTCTCAATAATTGAGTACCTAGCACCTACCTCATCAAAATCTGTGTTGATTGTTCTAAGGTAATGATCAGCTGGATTTTGCAGACTTGGGCATGGAAAACCATTCACAGCAAAAAACTAATTTGGACCAAAAGTAGTAAAAGTCACTAGTCATTTCATTTTTGAATAGAATGTCCACTATACGTAAACACTGAAGTTGTGAACTAACCTGATTTGCTGCATAAGATGGACCAAAGTACACTGTTCTGCCCAAGGAGAGAAGACAGAGATAGTCGAAGAGCGCAAAGACCTCACTACTAGGCTGATGGATGGATGCTATGACTGTCATTCCATCTTGTTGTGCGAGTTTCACAATCCGGCTCATGACATAGTACGACGCAGCACTATCAAGGCCACTTGTTGGCTCATCGAGGAAGAGAAGCTTTGGGCGCGTTAAAATCTCCATACAAATGCTCACTCTCCTCTTCTGGCCACCACTGAGGCCTTTGCTTCCCCAACCTCCTATTCTCGTGTTCATTGAATCCTGCAACCCCATCTCCCTAATTGTCTTCTCTGCTCTCTCCTTTTTCTCGGCACTTGACATTGAATTCGGCAATTGGAGATGAGCAGAGTAGTGCACAGCCTCTCCAACAGTTAAGGTCCATGTTAGAATGTCATCTTGTGTTACATATGCCTAAATTGAGGAAAAGCAATTGTGAAACTATTAGATAAATGATCATTTTTCTATAATATGTGTTGTGTTGAATTATCTAAACTTGTACAAGTTCATGAGTTTAATTTTACTGCATTGGTCCTAAACATAGGTTTGCTTAGATTTTTAAATTAAGACCCCATTTTTTAGCTGTTTTTGTTTTTGGGCTGTTACAGTGTCGATTTTGGCAACAAAAGTATGTTTGGTGCAGCCTTATTTTATTTTATACAGTGCTAAAACATTTCGTGAACAGTGACCCAAAACCAAAATACCAAAAAATTATTTTTTCTTGTTTTGACAACTATTATGGTTTTTGACATTTGTTCATGGCCAAAACCATAACGGTTGTCAAAATATTGTTTTTGTTTTAGCCAAAACATCGTTTCCAAACGTGTTTTCGATTTTTTTTCAAAACATTCCTACAACAAAAATATTGTTTCTGTTTTAGCCAAAAACAGAACGCCTAAAACAAAACGTATACCAAATGGGTCCTAAGCTTTTAATAATGTGGGTTAAAATACCCTAAAAATGGGTAGAACTCAATTGAAGGAAGTGGTTTCATACTGATGTGCCATATGCTAGGTGCAGCTTATGACCATTGATTAGAACTTCTCCAGCTTGCCTTGTGTTTGACCCTAACCTCCCTGCAATATGTATATGAATCCCCTGTTAACAAAAAAGGAAGGGTAAAACAATATCTAGAGAGAGAAGGACAAAAGTGGAAAATTATTCAAATATTTTTGATTATTAATTTTTAATTCAAATATTATCTTTATATATGAGCCCCTGTTAGAAAAAAGGAAGGGTAAAAAAAATAATAATAATAACAATAAAATAAAATAAAGGAGAGGACAAAAAGGAAAAAATTATTCACACATCTTCTCGACATTGCATAGGGTTAAAAGTTTACGAGAATTCTAGACTACCGTGCTGCAGGACAACAAAAGATCCTTGTTCAGTGCATCAACATCACAAATAATATTGAAACGTAAAGTAGTAAATTCATAAATTGGAAATTTTTAGGGATTGATTCAGTTCACGGATTAGGATTTCAAAATTTTCAATTCAATTTAGTTTATGAATTTGATCCAATTCGATACTACTATATTTCTTAATATATAAAATATAGTAAGCTTTTTTTAACACTAAACTTAATATTTTACATATTGAATCAGTTGGATAAGATTAATTTCAATTTTCATCAAACCGTTTCCATCCATGAAATGAATGAAAGTCACATCAAGACACTAAACGGTTGGCTATGAAAAATAACATGTTCCTGCTGGTTTATCTCCCTATGTTTGGGGAGTGATTGAATTGAAGACTCCAAGGTTCATCAACCTTAGTCAGGGCAGAGCTAGCATGTGCCCGGGCAGCTGCCTCCCTGTCCCATGCTCGTCCACTAGAATTTTTTTTTTTTGATACATAAATTTGTAAAAATTGATAAAATGCTCTCTTATAACTAATAAAATGACTTCTCTATCTCTGAATATACTAAATTATATTTTATTTTATGAGTATAATTTATAAAAATACCTCCATAAAATTTATAAAGTATCCCCCATGAGAGTATTTATTTTTAAAAATGTCTTTAATTCTTTATTCATTTTTCCTTCTTATTCTTTAAATTTCTTTTTGTCATCTTCAAAAAAACTTGCATTCTCTTTCTTCAATTAAAACTTATTTTTCCTCCAAAATTCTCCCATAATTTATGTGCAATAACCTCTCTCTCTCTCTCTCTCTCTTTTCATTTTTTATTTACTTATTCTATTGCACTGTTGTTACAATATTATATTTTCGACATGTTTGGAAAAAAATTATTTTGTCAATGTTAACATGTCCCCTGAACCAAATTTCTGGCTCTGCCCCTGACCTTAGAGCTCTACACTACACAACCTGTAAACTTTTTCAATAAGGACTTGCAAAGAAGCTAAATTCATTCATTTCTTATTTGCAAACATTCATTTCTTACTTGCAAACAATATTTGATTTCCCTTGGTTACCTTTTTTTTTTCTTTTTCCTTCCAATACCCTCCAACCAAGCTGGGGCTTAGGAGGATTGCACTCCATTTTTCCATAAATGCATCCCATTTTGAAGTAAAATGACATTAATGTCCTTAACAAGAGAATCAAATATTAGGAGAATTTTTTTCATGTGTATTAAGAAAAGAAAAAGAAAATAGAATAGGAAGGGTAATTATCAAAACAAAAAAGAAGAAGAACAATGCCACTATGCCTGTATCACCTCTCAAAATTCAGCAACTTTAATAGATTCATTTGAAAAATGATTTGTTCATTCAACACTGAAAATCACAAGCATGGAGTTTGCCATTTAAAGATGAAAATATATAATTTCAAGGAAATAATGTAATGGCCCGTAAAACTCTCACTTGGAAGTTGACAGTTCCAAATGATATTGGAACTATTACTAAGTTTATTATTATGAGTAAGTTGTCTGGTGCCGACCAAGAATATTAATAAGTTTATTATTATTAATAATTTGTTTGGTAGATGCCGGCTAAAAATTATGAGGTGTTCTAAGAAGGCCAACGGGATCATTGTAGACCAAAAATAATTATATTTTTTATGAAAATTTGTTATATGTTTCTTTTAGTAACCTGCAGGAACTTCAGCTAATTTAATCCCAAGTGTACTTTGTGAATTCAAGAAGGGTGGTCTTGCCTTAGACCGTTCGAAAAAAGAGAAGGGTGGTCTTGCAGGAACCAACTATACATGTGGTGTTATTCAACTAATTCAAAGATGGCCAAACATTCCCTAGTTTAATTATGCAATACACAAAACTATATATCAAATATGATAAGGTTTCAATTTAATCAATAAAAAAATAAATATGCATGTCACAATCATATATATTTATATACTTAATTACCAGCCAAAGCATCAAGAAGGGTGGACTTGCCGGAGCCAGAAGGGCCCATGACGGCCAAGACCTCCCCGGGACGAGCGCAGCCGGTGACACCTTGAAGGATGGATTTAGTACCATGTTTGCCATTTGAAACAGTCACCCAGAGGTCCTCCCATGTCAAAAACACAGCACCACTTCCCTGCAACATCCGAACTTGTTGCTGATCATAGGTGCTATCATTATGTAAAATGGCATGGACGTGTTCTTGCTCGACAATTTCGGAATCTGGGAGTGTCTCATTGTTGTTGTTTTGGAACCTATTTGATTGATCAAACAGTGCTGCTAAAGAAGCCATGCAAAACCTTGGCGGTGAAGTTGAGAGAGAGATATCATGCAAAGACAAAATAGGAGGTTAGTGTAAGTGACAAATTCAAGGAAATATTAGTCTTGATATAAAAAAGAGTCCGAGAACAGTATAAAAAAATCTTCTCGGATTTGAAATGTCTTTTCACCCATTTATGGTTTGACTAAAGAGAGACGGCCAATCATATGAAAAGTGAAGTGATTACTCCAAAAGATCAGCTTAGTAATGCCAAATTAATGCGATGATAATCTTGTCAATCAAACTTAAGTCTTACCTTTCAACTAAAAAGAGACTAATCTCAAAAAGAAAGAGAAACCACACCAACTTTGGAAGAATGTGACATTAGAAGATAATGGATTCGGAGCACAGTCATGTAATCATTTTTAATAGGTATCGTATTTACGTTTTGAGCATGTTTTTATTCTCACACTTTACTCGCATTCTCGTTCAAATTCTCACTGTTTATAACTTAATTCTGTCGTTCTCACCCTCCCGCTCTTGAATCCGCTTTCGCTGCTGCTCCCGCTTTAGTTTAAAGGTATGAATTTTTTTCAATTTTGATATATAAGAAAAGTACCAATTTGGTCTTTGAACTTTGCTTTAGATGGCAGTATTCCTACAAGTTAGGCTACAACACTCCCTTATATTTTCCTCTCCGTCTTGCCATTTTAATCTTTGATGTTGGAGTATATGTTTTCTCATAAGGTTTTCAGTGTCGGCAAAGTTCAAGAAAGAAATTTGACAGGAGAGAATTCGTGTCTATTCTATTACTATAATTTTTGAAAATATATAAAATAGTGCCCATGAATTTTCTCCATCCATTATATTTTATATATGTTTGCTAATATTATAGATAACCTATGCAAAATAACATGTTCCTAAATCCTAATGTTTCAGCTACCTTAGTGCTTAACATACATACCATAACCAGTCATCTCATTCATTATTTAAGGGCTTGTTTGGTATACTTTAATGAAATAGAAATGCTAAGTAATGAAATGAAAATGAGGAAGGAATGGTATAAACATTCTTATTTCATTGTTTGGTTTTGAAAATGTAATGATGCAAGAATAGAATGAATATTATCATTTTAGTGTTTTGTTAAACTATCTTAAAACTAAGAAATGATTAATTTTTCCAAAATACTCAACTCGATCACTCACATTAATAATCATTTTATATCAATTAATAAATATTTTTTATATTAATAGATAAATATTAAAATACTCAAACTCTTTATACTTTAATAATAATATAGATTTGGTCTTATTCAAAGTTTATTTAAATTTTTTGATTGCTAAAAGTTTACAAGACTATTGAAATGAATGGAAGGGGCCACAGTCACACCAGTAGTACCTATGGAAAATAACATGTTCCTAAATCCTAATGTTTCAACTACCTATTTATGGAAAGTTATTGAACTGCTCATGACTCAAAAGGGTCATCAACTCTTAGTGCTTAACATACATACATACATAACCTGTCATCTTCTTCATTAATTAAGGGCTTGTTTGGTACACCTTAAGAATGAAATTAAAATGAGAATAATTATTCTTATTTCATTGTTTGGTTTTAAAAATGTAACGAAGAAATGGAATGAATATTACCATTTCAGTGTTTTGTTAAACCTTCTTAAAACAAAAAACGATATGATTTTTTTTCAAAATAGTCATCTCAATAACTCACATTAATCTAAAAAAAAAAAATGCTTGTTGTATTAAATAGAAACTGAAACAAAAACAAAATAATAATAAAAAAAAAAAAAAAAAATTGCTCTGTTGTTCAATTTGTATGTATGTACTGAAGAACCAAAAATTTAGGATACCAAAAATCCAAATTGTGCTTATTTCATTATGGATGATGAAATATTGTTATATGTACCTTGTGGTGTGGGGCAGTTAATCCCAGGTCCCAACCATTGAAGGAATGTTTGCCATTTGAAACTGATGATACAATAATTTAATTATGTGAAATTTCATGGACTTGTCACTTGTCCTGGTTTGAGTGATGTCACAAGTTCAGAATCTGGGTATATCTCATTATTGAAGTTGTAAGGGAGAGAACCCAACCATATGCACATTAAAGAGAGTCGTCCAAAAGATCAAAAGAACATATATATATATATATATATATATATATATATATATATATCTTTTTTCCCTACTAGAGGGGGTATCTCTCCCATTTGGGTGAGATTAATTTCTTTGAGATATACAGCAAACTCCATTCTCCGTGCCAATTTTAATTGGCCTTAATGGAGAGGATACGAATTCAAGATCTCTGACCTAGGAAGCACGGATGTTTTTAGGAGAGCAACACACTTGTATCGAATATCTGTCGGATACCGATAATTTACGAATATTCACCAATATGTATTCGATTACTTCTTAAACGTATTCATAATTTTGAAATATACTTTTTAATTTCTAACACGTATCCAACACTTCTTATGTATTTCGACTGTGTATTCGACACTTCTCAGACACTTCATAACATATTTTTAACAAATTTAAATATTAAAATACAATTTTTTCAACAATAATAATATAGTATAATTATTAAGAAAATGTCAAAGTTTTATTAAGTGATAACTAGGATGCTTGTTTTACTTGTTGTGAAATGAACTTCTATATTATATTAATGATTTAGATTCATAATATTTTTAAAAAAATTGACTAAAAATTAATAATCTATATATATATATATATATATATATATATATAAATAGAATTTATTAATTTTTTATTGCCGTATCGAACCGTACTCATATCTCATTTTTTTTTAGATTTATCGTATCACCGTACCCGTATCGTGTCATATTGTATCCCTGTATGTGTGCTTCTTAGCCTCCAACTCTTGGAACCAAAGGATTAAAAGATTAATTTCACTCCCCAAAGGGGAAAAAAGAAAAGGAAGAAGAAGAAGAAGAAAAAAGAAGGATTAAATGGATGTCCAGGCCAGTGAAGATTGTAGAACTTTTTTTGGTCGGTAAGAGTTTATAAGACTTGTTGATTGGAAGATTGTTGTATACTCCTGTAACATAAAATCAATTTTATCAGATTTAAAACATACAGAACTCTTTTATTTCTGTTACTTCTCTAACTCCCCTCATTTCTTATTCTTTTGAAGTTTTGAATTGTTAATGGTAGTTAGAGATACATCTTATAGGGTCATGAAATTCAAAAGATCTAATTTAGACGAAGAAAACAATACATAAATATTAGAATTCAATGATCCATCTTACAGTGTACCATGATTTTAAATGGCCTAATTTTATAGTTTGCATCCATCTCTGCCTCAAATTGCATTGAATTGGACAAACTGCCAACTTTCAGAACGTCAGGTGAGCATCTTTGTCATTAGGTTAAGTAGCTAGCGGCACTAACCTTTTAAGTTTGTTTAATTTGATTCAGTTGTTCTTATTACATTATAACAAATAAATATTGAAATGAATGAATCACATCAAGAAAACAATAGTTACCAATAGAAAATAACATGTTCCTACTCATATTTATGGATAGTCATCGTCATTGTCATATCTCGGCCTCAAATTGTATTGAATTGAACAAATTGCCGACTTTCAAAACGTCGCATCTTTGTCGTTATGACCCTCAACTGTAATTCATAATGGCTTGTCGGTGAGTCTAAATTCATTCACTACTGATTCACATAATGCAATAGGACAGAGAACTAATTCCACTAAAAATATATTATATGATCATGTTAGGAAACACCGAATTTCAAGTTAGACTCACGACTTCGATTCGGTACTTTTAAACATAACATATATGTAAAATGTAAGGAACCATTCAAATTCAAGAATAATTGCCTAAACATTTCCTAGTTAATTATGTACGTCAAAGACCATAAGGTTTCAATGTACATATGTGTTATTTTTTTTTTTTTTTTGAAATTCATTAAATGGTGAAACCATGTATGTTTGCCATTTGAACCTGTCACCTATGGTGTTCTCATGTCAACAACACATGATCACCACTAATTTTCCGGCAACTGAAGTTAATTGTTGCCGATCAATATCTGATCAGTACTATGCAGATTTGCATTGACTTGTTCTGTTCAAAGTGGTCTGATTGTTTTAGCATCTTGGTGACTGATAGTAGTTGATCAGTAGGGCTTGTTTGATTGAAGTGGTGAAGCCTTAGCCATGCAAAATCTTGGTGAAGAAGTAGCTGTGTGATAGAGAGAGATTATGCAGTGACATGAATGGGTGTTTGGTATGATACTTAGGGTGTGTTTGAATAAATAGAGGAGAAAAGAAAAGAAATGATAGTATTAGTTAGGAAAGAAAAGAAATGAAAATAAATGATAGTAATAATTTTTATTCGTGTTTGGATAAATAGGGGAGAAAAGAAAAGAAATGATAGTTATTTTTGTTTGGATAAAATAGAAAAGATAAAAAAAAAAGAAAGGATAGTGACTAAATTATTGTCCTACCCTTTCATAACCACTCCATACATTATTCATTTTCAAAATCTTGTTTCTTGTTTATAGTTCAATGTCATGAGTAAAAAAAAAAAAAAAAAAAAAGTATCACAAGGTTAAGATGAACCATTCAACATGATTGAAGGTAACAACAATCTTTAACCTTTTATATGAATATGTGAAAATTTTATTTTTGTTGTATATGTTATATTTATCCGACTCAATCCCTTCACATCCTAAAATTTTTAATAACTTTTAGTATTGTCATATACATCCTTACATGCCATTAAGCATATTGGGACATAAATGAAATTATTTTTCTGTATGTTAATTTGTAAAAAACATTTTTGGTGTTAATAATTTATAACTTACTTCACTATCATTTTCCTCCATATCTTCTCAAATTGGGAGAGAAAACATATAAGGAATAGGAAGGGATAACTATTCCTCCATATCTTTTCTTTTTTCTTTATTTAATTCATCAAAATACACCCTCACACTATCCTCCTCCTCCTTTTTTTTTTTTTTTTTTACCCTCCAGCTTCGAGGTATAAGTGACATTTAAAGTTTCAAATATTTTAAGTCTTGAATCAGTATGAAAAAAAATAATAAAAAATTGCTACAATTGTCGTATTGTCTATCAGTTTTATATTACAGATCAATTCTTACCTCATTGATTGTTATAACAACAACCATTCACAGAACACCAAATGTGACCTATAAGGGGAAGGGGTAGGGGTTGTTGCACCAAAAAAATTGAGTAAAACTCGTTGATATTTTTAACCTTGTAATTTTAAACCACTCTTGCAATCAATGTAATTTTCTTGTGTTTGGAGGATCACTACGTGAATGGATTTTTTCTTTTAAAATGTGAATTAGCTACACTTCAGTCTCAGAATGACACATATTGTACCCTTCCCGTTTAAGGATTGGTTTTGGGCGAGGACAAAAGAAGTTCTCATCGTTTATAATGTGAAAAATACTTTTTTACAATTATAACTTACATTGGGTAAAGTGTAAAAAAATTCTATGTACTATTGTTCTTTTGTAAATAATTTTATTATTCCCTGAACTATTAATTTGTTGCAATTAAAGACAAATTCATCACAGAAAATTATTTTATTCTTTCTTATTAAAATTATCATTTCTTTTTAAATTATTTTTTATTATATTTTCTCTTATTCAAAAATTAATTATACTATTCACCTTAATTTTATAATTAGTATCAATTTATCATTAAAATGAAAAATAATAAATAGATTAATAGTTACCATTTTTTTAAATGATTAACTTATTATAATAAAACTTATTTTACTCATTTTATATAAATAAATAAATAATTAGTGTAAAAAAAGACATTATTTTTCATACAATATTCAAGGAAAATTCATAAATTATGTAAAAAATATATATATATATCTTCTTTTTTTATGCAATATATTCATGAAAATTTAAGAAATTACTTAAATTATTTCAAAATATTCTTAAGATTTTTATTTAAATAATTAATTTCAAAATTAAAGACAAAATTATGCAAATTTAATGGAGAATATTTAATAAAATTAGTATGAATTTTTTTCATAATTTATTTTAACAAAAAAAATAGTCAAGTGTAATTCAATAAGAAATAACACTATGATCATTTAATGAAAAATAGTCGAGGTAATGGGACATTTTGCAACTAAATGTAAGAACTTAAAAGGTTTGATGCACAAAAAATACTTTAGGGGATTATTTGTAAATTTGGACATACAAGAGGTTTTTTTCGCACTTTACCTTATATAAAATTCCCTTTATCATTGAAAGAATGTTAACGCTTATTTGGTTAATTTGGTACAATTAAGTAAATTTTGGGAAGAAAAAATTTATTTGGTTTATGTTTTTAAATATGAGTTTTTAATAAATAAGCCCAACTCCATTTAACGTATTAGCCCATCATTGCATAAAGGAGTTGGTCTCACGAGAAGTGTGACTAATAGGTTAAATGGAGTTGGGCTTATTTACGTGCGAGTTTGGGCTTTTTCAGTAAGGAGTTGGTCGTGAGTTTGGGCTGGATTTATAATCAATAGGATAAAGTATTGTATAAAAATTGGTCTTTCCTATACAAACTTAACTAGACGAACGCAACTTCAAACTTAAAAAACTATGTTCAAATTTGACTTGTTTACTTCATAGATAAACAATGGATTTATAAAAATAGTACTTATTGTTGATTAAAGACTGGCTATATGGAACAGAGACTAGCCAACAAAAGCTGTATAACCAAACGAGTTTCCCAACCTCTCCATTTTGCCACATAATCACTTTTACGACAAGAATCCTCTCTAATGTCGGAGAGGATTGTATAGAATCAAGATGCAATGAAAATTAAATCATCAAATTCGATTCACTAATAATGATGTAATCTTTATATTTGATGGAGTATAGGACCTTTCAAGTATAATATGGGATACAAAATCTTAACTTTTTCTTATTTCGAAGGTCATAACTTTATTACTATACTATAATTTTGATTCACTGTATTGACTGATATGAGATATTTTTAAAAGTGTTTTATACCGATCAATTGGACCAATTTACACTAATTTTGTTTTGAGTACCGCTGATACCACAACCATGACTACAACTGCCATGGGCCAAAGCATATTTTCTCTTGATTTTATAATTACTACGTAATTAGTATGGATTTCTTTTAAATTTTTATGCCAAATGTCAATATATTATTGGTCATGAAATATAAGGATAAGATACACCTGAAGATGAACCAATAATTCTCAAATGCTCTCCCACTCTAATTTCTCTGTCAATATCACCATTTTAGAGAGAGAGAGCGAGAGCGAGCTGCCAGTTCCAGGTATCGTAACATTGTCTTCTTTGAAATATACGTAAAATTGTTGTAATTTCCTCAATTATTAATTGTTTTGTATTTATAAACAGTGAATTGGTCTTTGTAATGCTCTCAATTATAATCCTAATGCCATATGATGTTGTGAAGTTTTGCAATGGTTAGTTATAAGCGGTGTGTATGAATTCAAGAAGATTAGGGCTAAAATTGTATAGTGATTGTGAACATCTCATATGCATTACAAACTCAATCATGACTCATTATGATATATGGCCAAAAGATGAATCCAATAGTTCTACAAAATGATTGAATGAAATATGTTGATGAAAATGTGTTAACCCAACCACTGCATATGCAAGCATTGTGCTGGGCAAGGATTTTTGTTTTCGTTTTCCGATGATTCAACATGAAGTCATGTGATTACACACCATGAAGATGATTCTAATTCAATATTAAGTTATTTGAGTTTTATAATACTGATACTCTATTCAGTAGGAAAAGTTTGAGCAACCAAATTTTTTTTTTTTTTTTGCCTAGTCATCATAAACAATCAGAACCATCTTAATTCAAAATTGTGTATCCATCTTCATGTGATGTTTGTTATCTATTTTTTCATTCTATAGATCTTCTGGATAGAAAATTGTTTTCTTGAATTTTCTGAAATGAAGATTTTTCTTGTTTATCGGTGTCGGGGTGAGGAGGAAAATCTGGAGTTGTTATTTTCCTTTTATTTTAAGGATGTTATATTTGCAGTGATGTACTTTCGAACTACACTTCTGTATTAATGGCTATAGGGCCATACTACTAATAACTTCTTTATCACTAGTCGCTTTAGTCTTATTATCTACCTTATTAATAATACTTAGGACTGTTAAATTTTTTTATTTTGGCCTTTGGGAGTTCAGTAAATATCATAAAAGAATTAATATGTCTTCCCCTGTTTGTAGATAATATCCACACAAGTAGCTAGCAATGGCAGCCACATTCTGTATCCTTACCTGTGGGTCTGGTCTGAAGATACTCAACGGTTATTTCCTGAACCAAAGTTACATCACAAGGCAAGCTGCATCCCTCGTTGAACTTTTGAACCTTGTATCCAATTCTTGCAAGATGTCGATTTAGTATGGAAAAAGTATGATGGTGGTAGTTCTGCCACCATAAATGTGCTTTCTCAAGCCGTTGGACTTTGGAAAGACTTTTTCTTGTTCTTCTCTCATAAATTCATCCAAGAAAAAAACCAAAATTTCTATGAGGTGAAATTCTTAAAAATTTTACTTCTGAACCTAATAACTCTTAGGGAAGTATGCTGTAATCTCACTGCTCATTCTTTAGAAGAAAATGCAAGATGTCTGCATCTTAATGTTGATTGTTTTAGTGGCCAACTGAGACATCATAGATAGTTGGTGCCAATTTTATTTATTTACTACTTGCTTCCTTAGTTTCGTTTTATTACCTCAATACTAGTTCATGTTGGTAGCATGCAAGTTTTGGAACCGTAGAGAAAATGTCTTACATTACTGGATGTGCTGACACTATTTTATTTCTCAGGAGTTATCCAATAGTCTCCGTGTCAGATGCTGTCAAAAAATCATCACATCATCGCCATAGTACTCAAAGATATTCCATTAGGGCTTATTTAAGACGATCAGAATTAAAGCAACAACACCAACATAGGCAGACTTCCTCCAAGTGTAGAGCTGATCTTTCTGACTCTAGTTATGAAGAGGAAAAGGAAGAGAATATTTCTAGAGCAACCTTGATATGGAGGGCAATCAAATTACCGATCTACTCTGTTGCCTTGGTTCCTCTCACTGTAATTTTTTCAAACTCTTTCCAATAATATTTCTATGGTTCATTGATTTTTTTTTTTTTTTTTTTGGGGGGGGGGGGGGGGGTGGGGGGTGGGCTTCACTGTAGTCGCCAAGTAATAAGTAGGTATCAGTGCAATATTTCTTTTTTTTTTTTTTGTCCAAAATAAGTTTCTGTTGTTCTTTGACAAATGCTGAAGAAAAAAGCTTAAAACTCAAAATAAGTTTCTTTTGTTCTTGACAAATGCTGAAGAAATCAAAGTCAGATGTAAGTTAATGCAAAGATCCAAGTTATTTAGAGATACACGCAGCAGCACAGATAAAGAACTATTACCGGATTGTGTACATGTCTGGTAATATGTGTACAACAAAATGTACTATATCTAACACTAATATATTCATGGTGGATCCTAGACTCAGAAATAGACATTTTGGGCAGCGTTTGCAAAGAGGGGAAAGTGAATGTTTTGAGGCTTCTTAAAGAAGTCAATGAGTTTGTATGCAGCAGGGAAAATGAGGCTGCTAGAGTGTCCTTGTGAGATAATCCTGACAAGCAAAATCTTTTAATTAGTGTTCCCTTTTTACAACAAAGAGGGGTGTCAGCCTGAATGTAATTCCCATTATAAAAGCAAGATGTTGACATTGTGATATCCAAAACAACAAGACGAGGCTTAAGTCATGGAATGCAAATAGCAGCTCAGGACTGTGGTACAATCTCTCATTAAAACTCGAACAATATATGATATCATGTCTCTTCTTTCAAAAAGTGAAGTGTATCGTTGAAGACATCATGGGGTGCAATAATAAAGTCTCACACGATTATATAGTCAATTAAAATTTCTTGAGTTTTGGTTCTGTTTATTAATGGATTACTGGAAATTAAAAGTTTAGCCATGCTTTTCTACTACAAACCGAATAACGCTTTATATGTGTCTCACTCTTTCTAGTTTCTGCAAACAGGTAGGAAGTGCAGCTGCGTATTTGCAGACTGGCCTTTGTTCACTTAGGCAGTATCTTGTGCTTATGGCTTCCTCAGTTCTTATCATCACTTGGCTCAACTTAAGGTCAGATGCATTTGTAACTGAGATTAATTTGACTGAATATGAGCAAGCTAGCTCAAAATGTGACACAATGAAATTGTTTGTGATGGTGCTGACAATTGACTTCCTTGACATGTAAATTACATGATAAGTTAAAGCTATCTTACCAATAGACCTTAGAATTGGTAGACTAGATGCACTATAGATCCGTAATGCACAAGCATGTTATTACCATATCGAGGTGAACACACATGTGGGTATACATACGCACATCCAAACAAAGGGTCATGAACGGTTGCTTATGAACCATACATCTTCCTGGCTATTGGCTACCACAAATTGTTGGGAAAAGGAGATTTAGATATATTTAATGTTATCTGACTTGTAGCTCATGGAAGTGAACTTCTAGCTTGGTGGGAGCTCTTACTTCTTATTTATAAATAAGAAAAAACATGAAAGAAGAAGAGATCTTTGACTTGGGTTCTGATAGTGTTCCGGGGAGGGGGAGGGGTAATATGCCCTCTTTCACCATAGAGGAAAGAAGAATCTTCCAGGTGGACAGAGGCCTGAATACCACATTGGGCATTAAACCCCTTATTGATTTGCTTTTGTGGACTTCATTATATCGCTTCTTGGCTTTTGTCATTTTACCTCTTTTCTCCGCTTTTTTTATTTATTTATTATTATTTTTACATATATTTCTTCAACTTGTTTCTGCTTTCCGTATTGGTTATTTATTATCAAATGTGAAAACTATAATGGGTTTTCATCCAGAAGATCACAGACTGGACCTACCAGGTGGTGAGTTCCCTCTTGCATGTTCACTAAATGTTAACACAACACAATTGGCAGATTATCATCTTCATGGCAGAACTATTTTTAATTCCTTGGTTTGGGCTGTGTATTCATATCTGTGTAATATGGCAGCAACGACGTTTATGATTTTGATACAGGAGCAGATAAGAACAAGAAAGAGTCAGTTGTAAACATGGTTGGCAGGTAAGAGTTAGTGAACACTAGCAAGTTCCATTTTTCTATATTTGTTTCTATTTCTGCTTTTATTCTTTCTTTTTTGTATATTCTTTGCTTTGATGTACAAAAATAACAATTGGCCTACTGTACCTTGCATTGCGCTTTGGGAAGCCGTACAGGAACCCTTTTTGCTGCCTACTTACTACTTGCACTTGGCTTCATGGGGCTTACTTGGGCATCAATTGAAGCTGGAAATGTGCGTGCAATATTATTACTGGCTTGTGCAATTACTTGTGGTTACATATACCAGGTACTGTAAGTCCTGTCAGTATATATAAATTTTTAGAAATTTTAAAGGTATTGTGATTGCTACTCTATAGTGATTCAGGAAAGCACCTGAAATATTAGATTGCCTCTTAGATCAGCAGTTTTTCAGCCAGCTTTATAATAATAGGTCAATGATAGTGGATGCAATTGATCCTGTAATGATCCTATTAAAGATTTCATTTTTCAATAACTTCAACTATTGACTATTTTAAGTACGAGATTACATTTGTCAAAATAAATGTAAATTATGCTTTCTTATTTTTGTTTCTAAATATATCAAATCTTACTTATCAATATACATATATATATATATTAAAATCTTGTTGTCAGCCCTTAAATTCATGTCAAACTCCCTCGCTTAGATGACTTAGATTCCTTGGCTTAGCTTCCTGCCTTGTTGGCACAAAAGCTTCATGCTCTACTTCCGACTTACCACAAAGAGAGAAACTTGTAAAGAATGCCATTATATTTCACTGATGCCCTAATTATTCAATCAGAAGCAATATAATACCAATCATCTTTCATGAAATTGAGGAACATCCAACAATCTTATTTCTTAAGTGCTTATATTTGCAACAAGTTCTTTGTAGTTGGTGATACACATATCTGGTTAAAAATTTTTGTTTGCAGTGCCCACCATTTCGGTTAAGTTACCAGGGGCTGGGAGAGCCATTGTGCTTTTCAGCATTCGGCCCATTTGCCACTACTGCCTTCTACTTGTTGCAAAGCAGCAAAAGGTTGCATAGCTATTCTGAACACTTTCCATTATAGTCTCGACTTTCAAGTACATGTCATCTGAATATTGAGTTTTGGTGATTATGACAGTGAGTTGAACAATCTTCCCATTACTGGCACAGTCCTTGCTGCATCACTCCTTGTTGGCCTCACCACATCCCTAATCCTATTTTGTAGTCACTTTCATCAGGTATATTTTTTCCTCTCTGCTATTTTCCCTATTATTACACTCAACTTTGTATAGCTGACGTGAACAAGGTACATGACAGGTAAAGGGTGACAGGGCTGTTGGAAAAATGTCCCCTCTGGTAAGCACTACTTTGAACCTTAAATGTCAAAAGGAAATTCACTAGAATAATTGGCATGGTTTTTCTTTTTATATGGATTCAGGTTAGACTTGGTACTGAATCAGGTTCAGAGGTTGTGAAAGTGGCCGTGATGACTCTCTATTTACTGTTGTTTGCTTTTGGTCTTAGCAAATCTCTTCCTTTTACTTGCATTGTAAGTTTTCTTGAATTGCTAAAATATATTTTTTGGCGTGATGAATTTTCAATTTAAGGTTTTCTCGTCTTTGGCACCTGATAGAGTATTCCATTCTGGATTTACCCCAATTACATTGTTTTAATCTAACTCATGGTATTGTTTCAGTTTCTTTGTGCACTGACATTACCCATAGGAAAGCTAGTGGTTGACTATGTACAAGAGAACCACAAGGTGAGTGGCAAAACCTATTTAGTCTTTAGAATTGAAATCCCATTGATTCATACTTTCACTATTTTATGGTTTTGCAATCTAGGGTGCATGCCATTGGATGGACACCCCATCAATTACAGATATATATATAATAAAAAAGTTAGCCTAGTGCACGAGGCTCCCTCCATTGTGGGGTTTGGAGAGGGTCAGATATACGCAGCCTTAACCCCGATTCGGAGAGGTCGATTCCTTGATTCGAACCCGTGACTTTCAGGCTTATTACATTCACATCTTAGTGAACAAGCTAGAATGCTTGTTCATTTAGTTCAGGGTGCCTCTGTTGCACTTCTAACTTGTGGTTCTGAAAATACATTATTACAGGACAAAACAAAAATATTTATGGCCAAGTATTATTGTGTGAGATTGCATGCCTTATTTGGAGCTGCTTTGGCTGCTGGGTTGGTAGCAGCTAGAATCGTCTCTAGAAGATATATTCCGAAGCTGCCATTCACCTGACTCTGATTCTTGTCCTCACATCTTGAAGTTTTGATGGACACAATATCAGCAGGTGAGAATGGGAATACGAATTCTCTCAATATTGATTGCATAGTAGCTCCATGTTAGATATCTATCATTCTGTGATCCGAGTAAAACTCGAATTCCTAAACATGTTTTGGGGTTGTTAGTAAGTCATTTTGGTTGTACATTTTCAGTTTTTCCCCCTCTCAAAAGAATGAGGTACTCAGTGGCAACACCAGACATGTAGCTCATATTCAATCATCCGAATTTGTTAGAGCATTTATAAAGTGGGTGATATTTCTTCGGTTCTGATCTACTTTTAACATTTTGAACTACTGATCACAGGAAAATAAACAACGGGCAACTTTAGCACCGTTGTGGGTATCGGCAAGGGCAAATGGAAAACATCCTACCAAGTACAAGAAGCCGATACCGAGTTGGATTTTTCAGAGTTTCAGCTCTGCCAAAGTTGCATCCTGATTCCTTACTCGAAGCTGATTGTAGCAGAGGCCATATTATTCACTATTGTGAAAGCTGGTTTTAGCAGAGGCACATATTTTTCACTGTTGTGGGTCTGCTAGCTGACTTCGTTTGCTCTAGTTGATTTTCCTGTATAAAAACATGTCTAGGGAATCTACAACATATTATGAATAAAATCATTGTTAGCTTTGGAGGTTACAATTTCTCTATCCTTCTTTCACCATTGCATTTTTACAGTTTTTTATTTTTATTTTTTGAAAGGTAACATTTTTCAAGATTCTCGTGCTGAAAGAGAAACTAATTTGCTCAGCTCAAAAGTTGGGACAAATCAAATCGTAAAATGGATAATTGGAAATACTGGACAAACCAAACTGTTGAATAAGGCTTTAAATTGCTATTTGATTGTAATTTTGTTTTGTCAATGCCATTCATACAGTCCAAGGAGATCAAAATCTTTGGTTAGGTAATCGGACGGGTAAGCAAAAATAAAAAAGAAAAGATTTCCATAACTCATTTTGAAGAAAAAACCAATGCAACTTAACAAGGCATTGAACTCGACAACATTCAAAAATAACATGCACATAACATCCAACCGCATCGAAAAAAGGAACAATACTCGGAAGTTACTAAAACAACTGCATTATTTAATAACACTACCAAAAAGGAGCAGTTGTATGCTAATTATTCATCAAGACTGCAAACATTTTCTATGCAGAAACTGATGGTTTAGAAGCAGCAGAAAGCTTGGATCTCCTCTTTGCCAAGCTCTCGCTACGACGTTCCCGCTGCTCTTTCAAGCGGGTGGCAAGGAGTTTTTGGTAATCAGCTGCCTCTGACTTGGCCTTTGCGATTCTCTTCTTCTTCTCTGCAATCCTAGCTCGCTTCCTCTGTAGAGTCAATGGTGTTACCAGTCGCTGTATCTTCGGGGCCTTACTGCACTTCTTCCCTGTCCCCACCAAACAAATGAAATCATATTAATTTAATAAAATAAAAAAACAAAGTAGATACACCATCTAAAATTCCTCATATATGATGCTGGAAACCTAACAAATCATTTCGGAAAGTTTTTTCGCTTTTTACCAAATCCTTTCCCAGAAAATGACCTATTGACTAATAAAAATAATCTAACTAGAAGTAACATCATGTCCACGTAACACATAATATCAACCACAAGAAGGGTAACAAATAATAAAAAAGAAGCATGCATTGCAAACCCAACAATATTGTCAATTCAAGAAGGAAAAACTTATATATGCTCGACATGAGAAAGGATTGCTGTCATTGCGATAAATGATTGGGGACAACTTCATCATTTTAAATCTTTAGGTGCACTATGCAGACAACATAGTAGTCTGCAATTCAATGAAACACTTTAGCTACATGCTGAAAGCATTATAAAACCTGCAGCAAGATGAAATTTCCTTCCTATTCCCCTTTCACTTTTCATAGTCAAGTAATAAAAAATAAAAAGACATGATGCAAGCCCTACCAGATTTTGTAGTAAATGTACGGCGGTATGTATTGACATACTTCCGGACATCATCCTCTTTGGAGAGGTTGAAGAGCTTCCGGATCTTTGATGCCCTCTTTGGACCTCTCATCCTGGGTTTCTCGGTGTCAGTCAATCCAGGCAGCTCATTCTCACCCTTCTTCACTATGACCAAGTTCAAAACAGATAGGTCTTGGCTGACAATGCACCCACGAACAGACTTCCTTCTTCGCTCTCCTTTGCGCCTTCCATAACCACGGAAGCAAGCAGAGCCTGTTCAAATAAACATGAAGTAGAATCAACTTCATTTAGGGACATTTGAATTCTGACACAAGCTCAACCAAAAGAAACTTGAGCCAAAAAAAGAAGGTATCTGAAGATTAATAGTTTACAAGTTCAAGGTGGATTACACCACAATAAAAGAAAAAACTTGCAATTCTTGCATTTAATGATTCATTTCATTAGAGATGGGGAGAGGGAGAGTGTTATTCCACAAATAGGATTACCAACCTAAATGATGATAAATAACAAAAATTAAGACCATCACTGTAACTACAAAGAAAGATCCTACACAAAATGCAAAAGCATGCCAAAAAGTAGTGTGGTTACCAAATGCCACCTCAATGAATTTGCCAGGTTCACAATCACAAAATAAAGTGCCCCCAATTCACCAACCTCTATGAAGTAAAAGACGAACACGACCAGGAGTCAGAACTCCCTGCTTCATGGGGAATCCTTGCTTGTCACAGCCACCCATAATTTTGAAAACATAACCCTTGAACTCCTGTCAAACAAAAGGAAAGGTTTCAGAATGACTAGATTTTACTCATCAGAAAATATTTAAGCAAACGGAAGGAGAGTGGTAATAGTATACCTCGCCAAGAGAATCACCACTGACCTCCTGCGAGATCCGCTTGTCAAAGAAAGCACGGCTGTACGTTAAAATGTCAGTTAAGAATGGCTGTAACAAATTTTAAGTCAACAACAAATAAATAATATGAAGTCTAATATTATAAAGATGTAAAAATTTGTATCATTCATACAATAGGTAGCAACTAGCATGAATAAACTCAAGAAATTATTCAAAGAAAACAAACTTACACTAAGACCCACCAATTCATTGGAGATCAAATATATATTTAAACCTTTTGTAGAATTGGACATACAATTGTATCACAATATATAAGGAAATAAAGAAGCATTAAATCATTAGATAGCATGGCCCTTGGCAGTATCTAAGATTTTAAACTGATTAATTGTGGGAAAAAAAAAAAATTCCAACATATTACTTGTGCAAATAACAGCATTTATAAATTTTAAGCTAAGAAAAAACTCCACAACCAACAATGAAGCTTAATTGCTCAAGGCACTGGCATAACAGCAGAGTCAGAGAACCCCTCCAGAAACCAACAATGCTTTCAGCCATCAAAGTAATGGTGTAAATGGATTATAAGTCACAAATTCATGATATAATGTCTTAAGTAAAGAACCAATATGCACTAGCAGCAGTACACTACAACGAAAAACCTAAAATCTGACAATTAAAGATTGTTAAGCTATATGATGCCATGACAATTGCTCCTTACATAGATAAAGAACAAGAGTTTATGGTAATCCAACGTTTTGTCTGTTGGGCATTTCATCCTTCAACAGAAAGGGGAATTCTCTGAGTTTTTATCTTCTAGTAACCAACATGAATTCTATAACTGCATAAGAAGAAAAAAATTCAGTTTTTCTACCCCAATTAGTTGGAATTAAGACTCCTAAAGGAGTAGTTTAGAGTGTATATATCTGTCTCTATCATCATAAGAAACCTGAATTTTGCTTGAAGAGCCAAATTAGTCAGAAATCAACCGAAGTGAAATCAATGCCGACTCAACGAAAGGCAGAGATCAAAAGCATTACTGCAGTCCTTTTGGTTGCCAGGAAAATACTAGAAACAGAAAGAAACTTGATCGAATGTCGTATTTTCATAAACCAAAAGAAACAAAAATCAAGATGAAACGTAAACACTTAAAACATCATTTTCCTTTCTTTTCCTCGTTTTTCTCGGCAAGCGCACGGATTATATGTACTTACACACACAACACATATATATAATAGAGAGAGAGACATACAGCTTCTGATCGTCATCGATTTCAAGCTTTTTCTGGCACCCAGTGGTTGGGTTCGCTATATTGAACTGCAAAATAAATTAATACCAAAATGAAAACCGAAAAACCAATAGAGAGAAGTGAATTGTAATCAGGGTTTTAGAGATCAAAACCTTCATCTTCAATCAATTCCGCACTTCTCCAATGTAGAGAAAGGAAACTCTTCGCGGCCAAATATTAGGGCTTCAAATTGTGGGCCCATTTAATTTATATAGCCGTACATCCCTACAACGGACTTAACGAGTCTCTCTGGTTGGTGCGTTTGAATGGGTCGTCTGTGTTGTGGGCCGGGGAAATACTCATGTTTATAGATGGGCTTGGTTTGGTTTTGGGTTTATTAGATTCAAGTAGTATTATTGCATTTTCGGTTATTTTTTGGGTCTAAAAATCGCTGTATTATAGATTTTTTTTTTTTTTTTCTTCTTCTTTTTTTTTTTTGGCTAATTTTATTCCACTTTGGAAGCGCATGCATGGGCTTTATATTGAATTTGGGCAAAAGGATGTCCTTTTGTGAGTATTTTTTCCGTGCATTTTCTTTTCTTTTTGGCTTCGTTTGGTTAGATGGAATCAATTAGGAAAGAAAGAAAAGAGAAAAATTTTAAACTTTTTTGGAGTTTGGATAGAAGGGAAAAGAAAAGAAAGAGAAAATCTAGTTTCCCGCGTCGGTCTATTTGTCCCAAAAAAAAATTCACGCACAAAACACGCGAAAATAGTATTTTCCCGTGAAAGAAGTCCCTTTTTATTTTACCCTCCTTATTTTATCCAACTAACCTGATTGTATTTGTTGTTGGGTAATTCTCTCTTTTGTGACTATGTGAGTTTTCAACAACTATTTTTATGAAACAATAATTTTTTTTTTTTTTTTCTTTCAATAAAATAGGATAGGTGCATCTTTTTTAGTATAATCCACGTATCTAATGGGAAGGTTCAAAAATAAAAGAAAAAAATATTAATAATTAGTTGAGCCTCCTCTGCTCTCTAATTATGTGTAATCCAACCTTTAAAAATTAGTTTGCCTTATTTTATTATAAATTTTTTTTTAATCACCTATTGAACAATATTTATTTTTTAAATTCTAACTTATATAAAAGTAATTTTGGTAAGTAGAATTATTTTTTTTCCACTTTCATCCTACCCAAATTAATAAAATCATATTTTATCATAACTTTTTTTTTTTTTTTTGATAAGTAAATATTTTATCATAACTTTCTCGAAAGACTTTAATACTAACCAAATTCATGGTAAAATAGATCTTGCTTCTAAATAAAATTTTTTATTTTTTTTAATCCTCTGTTCTATGTTGCAATTCTAGCTACTCATAATCCGGTATGGATGTTCTATGTTGCAATTCTAGCTACTCATAATCCGGTATGGATATATACATACCGGATTATGAGTAGCTAGAATTGCAACATAGAACAGAGGATTAAAAAAAATAAAAAATTTTATTTAGAAGCAAGATCTATTATATATATATATATATCTTTTATATGGTGAAATATTTAATTTTTCTCCCAAACAGTAGTCTCTAATTTTTTTTAATTTGTTTATCTTAAACTAATAATTAGTTTTACCTAGAAAATATTATGAAGCCTTATTCTAAATATAAATAATAAAAATAAATATAAACAATAATATATTTGAATTTAATAATTTATCATTTTAATTCATAAGGGTAGTTTTGTGTGCATAATCACTTTCTTTTCACTTTCATACTATCCAAACTAACAAACTAATATTTTTTTACAATTTTCTTGGATAAATTTTCATACTAACCAAATACAAACTAGAAATTTTTTTTTCTTTTCATTCACTTCACTTTCTATTTCTTTTCTTTTCTAACTTATTTACATCTAACCAAACGGAGCCTTTAGGAATGTTGTACACACATTTAAGACAAAAGTATCAACACATATACACACAATAGATACATACATACATACATACATACATATATATATATGATATAAATAAGAAATAGATTCAAGTTGAAATATATCTAATTATAACATAACTGCAAAGATCAAAATTTGGTTTTTTTATCTTTTATTTTAATATATAACTCAATAGATAGTCTCTCCCTCTCTCTTTCTCTCAAATATGCCCATACAGATTTTTTTTTTTTTTTAATATTAAATAATTAATATTTGTTATTTTATAGTCATGAAGGTAGACTTTTTGAAGTTGAACAACCTATTTTTTTTTTTTTACGAGTTCTACACTCAACAGATGTTTATCTACTACTATCTATATCATCCTCCACCCGTGTCATTCAAGATTATGTTCCTACATCATCCATATTATATTACTTTGAGAATGTATGGTTCGGCCAATAATGAAGTTCACGGCTCCCCCTCTCAGAGTTTTGTTGTTTCAGCTCATATTGAGGAGCTAGTTCAATGTGTGCCCTCCGTTTCTCAGGGCCAAGGGTAGGTGTTGCCTTTGTCGCGATGGGATTAACTTTCCAAAGGTGGTCGGAAAGGTAAAGGTCCGGCGGTGCCTCATAAAGGCCATTCTTCTGATTCTTAGGCATCATCTCAAAGCCAGAGCTCTTTTCCCTCGAGAAACAGTCATAAGCGTCGCCCAGTCAATCTTGTTTTGGGCCAGGGATCAACTCCGATTGATGGGAAGAATGTAAAATTTTTGACTTTTCTATATATATAATTAGTATAATGACTTTTCAACTGTAAGGCCCACCTGAGATATAAAGGTCATTACAGACCCATTTAATTCCAATTTGCTTTCTCTCTCGGGCAGCTTAAATCTCTCTCTCTCGCTGCTTCTGTTTTTTTTTTCTTTTCTTTTTTCTTTTTCAACTTCAATCCTTGATTTCTCTCTCAATTCTTGGCGGATTTAGGTGCCGTTAGAGGCAAAACGACGAGCACGACGAGCTCTACGTGCTAGTACCAGAAATTTCAGCTTTTGGTCCTCTTTGGGAGCTCGAATTTAAGGACCCATTTTAAGGGTTTTGTGCAATATTGTGGTAGGGGCCCTTAATTCATGATTTTCTTGCTCTTTTGTGAATTATACCTCCTAAATTGTTGAAAAGCATGCTTATTTTTGAATTAATTGTATTAAAGATGATGTAAGTGTTATATGTGAGGTTATGATTAAATGTGTTACTTGAGTTGTATGAGAACATGTTTATTTGACTAATTTCCTTGTCTGATAAATTGATTTACCATGCTTATATTATTGTAAAACTTGCTAGAATGATATGGGATAGCATGTGTAATTTCCCTAGAGTACTTGTAATGTATGCACAATTGTATAATGTGAAAGCCTTCACTTCCATGGCATTAAGAACATGATGTACATGCATACCATGAGACATGATTGGGAAGATTGTTTTTGAAATGAAAATAGAGAGTTTTGGGGAAAAGTATTTTGATGAAAGTGTTTTTGGAAAACCCGGTCGTCGCGGGGGTACCAAAGGGCTGGAGTGTTAATATAGCCTAGAGGGGATTAGGGAGTCGCCCTAGCGTGGTTGAGTTAGCTGGGCCCCATAATGACGCCGCGGGGTTACCAAGGGTCAGGGACACTAGCCAATCCTCCTCTCGTGTCGCTGCGGAGTCACCAAAGGGCGGGTTATTTTAACAGTTTGAAAGAGATGGATTTTAAATGTGAAAACGGGGAGCGACATCGACATGCATTCGCATTTCATTGCATTGCATTGTTTGTACTTGAGTTTGATTGGAATGTTGTATTATCCCGATATTGTATGATCCCCATTCACATTGACCTATTCTATGTTTGGATTCACGGGGACACAAGATGCGTGTCTTAAGTGTCACCTACTGAGCATATAGCTCACCCTGCATACTTATTATTTTTTTCAGGTCATGGCAAAGAAACGGCGGATGACAATCCTCCGCAAACTTGAAAGTTGTTAGAAGGTTGTTTGCTATTTTGTATTTTGACCATTCTATGTATATTCATAGTTGTGGAAATGTAACTAAGTTAGTATTCATGGCCTTGTAATTTAAGAACGAACTTATCTTTTGTTTAATGTAAATGAAACTAATGGAATCATGGTATATATTTCCATGTAATTGTATCATATAACGTTGTAAGACATGGACTTTAAATATTAATCTTGTATTTTGGGACTGTAATTATGATAATTTAGACTAATTGGTGTGTGGATGTTCCACCATGAAAGGAATTATGTTAAGGTATAATGAACGGATGAATGGGATGCTAGATGATTTTATGTGCTTTGTGTATTGGGACAGGTTATTGAAGGCCCATTTTTAGGGGAGGTTATGTAGAATTTTTTTTAAAATTTTGGCATCAGCTAGGGTCGTTACAAATTTGGTATCAGAGCGATGGTTCGAATACCATTAGGACGACGAGTAGAGGCTTGCCTAAGGTTGTCTGGGAAGTCATTTGAATTGTTATTTCCTTGTTTGGAAAAGTGTTTTGCTATGTGAAAAAGCATGCTTAACTGCTTACTTGCTTACGTGCTTATGTGTTTATATGCTTACATTAATGTGTTCATTGCATAGTATTACATGCTAAATGTTTGTACAGTATGTTTTTGCGTTGGGTTGTTCACGGTTGGACCTTAGTGTTATTGTTATTGAATTGTTTCCTTTGTTTTATAGAACGATGTCACGGCGTGAGGAAATTAGGGAAGTTGGCCCTAGACCAACTAGGGGTGATGTTGGCGAGAGCTCCAGCTCTAATCCGGAGGAGCTAAATGATGAGGACACACTTCTTAGGGACTTGATTCCCTCGAGAACTGTCCCCACAAGGAGGGATAATATTGAAGCACCCGTAGAAGTGGGTGAAGGTTCTGTGGCACCAGAGTTTAATCGTTTGTTGCAAAATGTCGTGAGGGCAACGATTGCTACTCAGTCGCAATCGACACCACAACCTACAGTTCAAGTTGAGGAGACGCCAGCTCAGAAGCGCCTCAAGATTATTAGGGGTTTTCTCAGCTGATGCCGGTTATGTTTAAGGGCGGTGCGGATCCAATGATAGCAGATGACTACATGGAGCAAGTTGAAACTCAATTGACTTCTATGGATGTGACAGAGGATCATTTGAAGATTATCCTAGCTACTTATAAGTTTGCTAAGGATGCTAAATTATGGTGGAAGTCGGTTACGAGCCGATACAAGGTAGAAGAGATGAGTTGGGACAAGTTCAAGGAATTGTTTTATGAAAAGTACTTTCCGCTTTCCAAAAGATGGGAGTTACAAGACCAGTTTCATAACCTTATCCAAGGGAGCATGTCAGTGGCAGAATATGAAAACAAGTTCACTTCACTTTCTCGCTTTGCTCCAGAAATGGTGAGAGATGAAGTTAACAAGACTCGGAAGTTTGTTTCTGGTCTTAATGATCGGATGAGGCCGTTGATCACAGAACAGTTCATTAAGGTTTACTCTGAAGCAGTGGAAAGGGCTTTGATGCTGGAAGCTGATAATAAAGAGAAGGATGCAAGAAGAAAGTAGTTGAAGCAAAAGAGGGGTGCAGGGCCATCTTCAGAAGGATCTTCTTGGAAAAGGAACAGGGGCGGTCCATCTCAGTTTCAGGGACAGCAGTCTGTACGATCTGCTCCTACCACTCCGTTGCCAGCTGGGTCCGATAAAAGTGCAGTTGTTTGCTTTCAATGTCAGCAGCCTGGGCATTACAAGTCCAGTTGTCCTATGAGATTGACTTCAGTTTCTTCAGCTCCAAAAGCTTGTTATGGGTGTGGCCAGCAGGGCCATTTGATTCGGGACTGTCCGAGTCAGGGAGCAAGCACCACTAGTGGCAGAGGGTCACGGCAGAGGCCGTTACAGTCGGCTACGGTTCAATCAGGTTTCAGACCACCGCCGCCACCACCACAGCCTGCCTTATCTTCTCATGGTTCACGACCAGTTAGGAGGGATACTCCTACTGTGTCGGCACAACAGTCTGGTGTTCAGATTAGTAGTTCACAGGCACAGGCACAGGCACCGGAGGGGCGTGTCTTTACCCTTGCACCGACTGATGCATCTCCTGGATCTTCAGTTCTCCGAGGTATATTTCCAGTGTTTGGTTCTTGGGCCCGTGTTTTGTTTGATTCTAGTGCCTTTCATTCTTTCATTTCATCATCATTTGCACTTGCATCGGGGTTAGAGGTCAGTTTTATGGATCGGGCGTTATGTGTTGATACGCCAGTTGGAGTTTCAGTGTCTTTGAGCCGAGTCGTGAGGGACTGTTCCATTGTGATAGCCGGGCGGACTTTTGTGTTTGACCTTATCCTCCTAGAAATGACTAGCTTTGATGTCATTCTCGGGATGGATTGGTTAGCTTCCTTTCATGCCATGATCGACTGTTTCAGAGGAAGGGTTACAGTTTGTACTCCCGAGGGAGACTGTTTCTTTTTCGTGGGAGATCGGAGTGATTCCCACATTTCATCGTTTTATGGAATTCGTGGACGGAGTCGTGGTGATTACTTTTTGGCTACCCTTATAGCCGAAGAGGATGATGTTATGGAAGAATATTATCCTGCAGTTGTTCGTGATTTTCTGGATGTGTTTCCGGAGGATTTGACAGAGTTGCCTCCACACCGAGAAGTGGAGTTCTCTATTGAGTTAATGCCAGGTACCGTGCCAATTTCTATGGCACCGTATCGTATGGCACCAATTGAATTGGAGGAATTAAAAAGACAGCTTGATGATTTGAGGATGAAAGGTTTCATCCGACCGAGTGTGTCACCATGGGGCGCACCGGTCTTGTTTGCTAAGAAGAAAGATGGTTCTTTGAGATTGTGCATCGATTATCGGAAGTTGAATCACGCCACCATCAAGAACAAGTATCCTTTGCTAAGGATAGATGATTTATTTGATCAGTTGAGGGGAGCCAGTTGTTTCTCCAAGATTGACTTGAGGTCTAGCTATTATCAGTTGCGGGTTAGGGATGAGGATATCCCGAAGACAGCATTCCGTACACGGTATGGACACTATAAGTTCCTTGTTATGCCTTTTGGCTTGACTAATGCTCCAGCGGCATTCATGGACTTAATGAACCGCATCTTTTACGATTACTTGGACCAGTTTGTGGTAGTTTTCGTGGATGACATTCTTGTGTATTCACGATCTCGGGAGGAACACGAGATCCATTTAAGTATTGTTTTACAGATTTTGCGGGAGCACCGGTTGTATGCCAAATATGAGAAATGTGAGTTTTGGCTACAAGAGGTGAAGTTTTTGGGACATGTTGTTTCAGAAGGCGGAGTGTCAGTTGATCCATCAAAGATTAAAGCTGTTTTGAATTGGGAGCAACCTAAGAATGTGTTTGAGATCCGTAGTTTTCTTGGTCTAGCGCGTTACTATCGGAGATTTGTGAAAGATTTCTCCCGTTTGGCAGCGTCTATGACCCGTTTAACCCGGAAAGGGATTAAGTTTGCATGGAATGAAGCCTGTGAGTCATCTTTCCAGGAATTGAAGACAAGATTGACTACGGCTCCAGTGTTGGTGATACCTGAGCATGGCTTGGGTTATGTGATCTATTGTGATGCTTCACGTGATGGTTTAGGGTGTGTGTTGATGCAAGATGGTAGAGTAGTGGCTTATGGGTCTCGACAGTTGAAGACTCACGAGTACAACTACCCTACTCATGATTTGGAGTTGGCGGCAGTTGTGTTTGCTTTGAAGTGTTGGAGACACTACTTGTACGGTGAAAGATTCGAGGTGTACTCGGATCATAAAAGTCTCAAGTACCTTTTCTCCCAAAAGGACTTGAACAATAGACAGAGAAGATGGGTTGAATTCTTGGAAGATTATAATTTTGACTTGCAATATCATCCGGGCAAGGCAAATGTGGTAGCAGATGCCTTAAGCCGAAAATCTCGTGGAACTTTGGCCTGTCTGGCTATTCGGAAGTGGAAGATGCTTAAGGATTTGGCAGAGATGGGATTGTATTGTTTTGATGATGATGTTGATAGCGAACCGGCATTCTTGTTTAGTCTTATGGCTCAGCCTACTCTTGTTGTACGAGTGATTGAGTCACAGAGACAGGACCCGGATTTAGATGCCATTCACGCTTTGATCTCTAGTGGTGAGACAGTGAAAGATTGGGCCTTGTATGCAGATGGGGGTCTACGGTTCAGGGGTTTGTTGGTGGTTCCTACTGTTTGTCGTGAGGACGTCTTACGGGAGTTTTACACTTCCCGCTTTGCAGTTCATCCAGGTGGTACCAAGATGTATCACAATTTGAGACGTTAGTATTGGTGGAACGGGATGAAAAAAGATATTGCACAGTTTGTGGCTAGATGCCTTACCTGTCAGCAGGTGAAGGCCAAGCATCAGAGACCAGCCGGTTTGTTGCAACCATTACCTGTAGCGCAATGGAAATGGGAGCATATTGCTATAGATTTTATGACAGGTCTTCCAAGGTCACGAAGGGGCAATGAGTCCGTATAGGTCATCATTGACAGATTGACCAAGACGGCTCACTTTTTGCCTATTAAGGCAACAGATGATGCAGAGAAGCTTGGTGTTCTTTATGTGAATGAGATTGTAAGGTTGCATGGAGTTCCAGTAACCATTGTTTCAGATAGGGATGCCAAGTTCACTTTGAAGTTTTGGGAAGGACTTCAAGCAGCGTTTGGCTCAGCGTTGCACCTGAGTACGGCATTCCATCCACAGACTGACGGTCAGTCGGAGCGTACTATCCAGATTTTGGAGGATATGCTTCGGGCATGTGTGCTTGACTTAGGTGGTAGTTGGGAGGATCACCTTCCACTTATTGAATTTGCCTACAACAACAGTTATCAGGCGAGTATTCAGATGGCTCCATTTGAGGCGTTGTATGGTAGACCTTGTAGGTCTCCTGTTTGTTGGACTGAGGTAGGCGAGACAGCCGCCTTAGGACCGACATTGTACTCGAGACTACTGAGAAGATTAAGTTGATAAGACAGAGGTTACTTACAGCTCAGAGTCGACAGAAGAGTTATGCGGATAAGCGGAGACGATCGTTATCCTTTGAGGTGGGAGACCACGTTTTTCTTCGGGTTTCTCCACGGAAGGGATTGATGAGATTCGGGAAAAGTGGCAAGTTGTCTCCACGATTCATTGGACCATTTGAGATTTTGGACCGTGTAGGAGAAGTTGCCTACAGACTTGCTTTGCCACCACAGTTGGATAGGGTCCACAATGTTTTCCATGTATCGATGTTACGAAAGTACGAGCCAGATCCATCTCACATTTTGAGTTGGGTTGATATAGACATTGATGAGGATGTTTCCTACGAGGAAGGACCATATCAGATCCTTGACACACAACAGAAGGTGTTGAGGAACAAGACGATACCCATGGTGAAAATCCTTTGGAGACACCACGGAGTCGAGGAGGCTACTTGGGAGCTCGAACAGGAGGTTCGCTCCAAGTATCCAGAGTTGTTTTCTTCTCCAGGTATGTCTTGATTTCGGGGACGAAATCTTTTTTTAAGTTGGGGAGAATGTAAAGTTTTTGACTTATCTAATGACTTTTCAACTGTGGGGCCCACCTGAGATATAAGGGTCATTACAGACCCATTTAATTCCAATTTGCTTTCTTTCTCGGGCAGCTTAAATCTCTCTCTCTCGCTACTTCTGTTTTTTTTTTTTTCTTTTCTTTTTTCTTTTTCAACTTCAATCCTTGATTTCTCTCTCAATTCTTGGCGGATTTAGGTGCCGTTTGAGGCAAAACGACGAGCACGACGAGCTCTACGTGCTAGTACCAGAAATTCCAGCTTTTGGTCCTCTTCAGGAGCTCGAATTTAAGGACCCATTTTAAGGGTTTTGTGCAATCTTGAGGTAGGGGCCCTTAATTCATGATGTTCTTGCTCTTTTGTGAATTATACCTCCTAAATTGTTGAAAAGCATGCTTATTTTTGAATTAATTGTATTAAAGATGATGTAAGTGTTATATGTGAGTTTATGATTAAATGTGTTACTTGAGTTGTATGAGAACATATTTATTTGACTAATTTCCTTGTCTGATAAATTGATTTACCATGCTTATATTGTTGTAAAACTTGCTAGAATGATATGTGATGGCATGTGTAATTTCCCTAGAGTACTTGTAATGTATGCACAATTGTATAATGTGAAAGCATTCACTTCCATGGCATTAAGAACATGATGTACATGCATACCATGAGACATGATTGGAAAGATTGTTTTTGAAATGAAAATAGGGAGTTTTGGGGAAAAGTATTTTGATGAAAGTGTTTTTGAAAAACCCGGTCGCCGCGGGGGTACCAAAGGGTCGGAGTGTTAATATAGCCTAGAGGGGACTAGGGAGTCGCCCTAGCGTGGTTGAGTTAGCTGGGCCCCATAATGACGCCGCGGGGTTACTAAGGGTTAGGGACACTAGCCAATCCTCCTCTCGTGTCGCTGCGGGGTCACCAAAGGGCGGGTTATATTAACAGTTTGAAAGAGATGGATTTTAAATGTGAAAACGGGGAGCGACATCGGCATGCATTCGCATTTCATGGCATTGCATTGTTTGTACTTGAGTTTGATTGGAATGTTGTATTATCCCGATATTGTATGATCCCCATTCCCATTGACCTATTCTATGTTTGGATTCACGGAGACACAAGATGCGTGTCTTAAGTGTCACCTACTGAGCATATAGCTCACCCTGCATACTTGTTATTTTTTTCAGGTCATGGCAAAGAAACGGCGGATGACAATCCTCCGCAAACTTGAAAGTTGTTAGAAGGTTGTTTGTTATTTTGTATTTTGACCATTCTATGTATATTCATAGTTGTGGAAATGTAACTAAGTTAGTATTCATGGCCTTGTAATTTAAGAACGAACTTATCTTTTATTTAATGTAAATGAAACTAATGGAATCATGGTATATATTTCCATGTAATTGTATCATATAACGTTGTAAGACATGGACTTTTAATATTAATCTTGTATTTTGGGACTGTAATTATGATAATTTAGACTAATTGGTGTGTGAATGTTCCACCATGAAAGGAACTATGTTAAGGTATAATGAACGGATGAATGGGATGCTAGATGATTTTATGTGCTTTGTGTATTGGGACAGGTTGTTGAAGGCCCATTTTTAGGGGAGGTTATACAGAATTTTTTTTAAAATTTTGGCATCAGCTAGGGTCATTACAAAGAAGCCTAAGGTTTTAGTGGCTCCTCTTACGACGTGTTTGGTCACGGATCAATTTTCGTTTGGTGATGCGCGTAACATTCCTCTTGGTGCATAGACTGGCGATTCTGTTAACTTGGAATCCTCTCCATCGCAGTCTTTTGCTATACAGTTGGCTCTTTTGGTTGGTGATGTTCAACCTCGTGTTGACACGTTAAACTAATGTCTTGTTTTTTAGGGGCTTTGGTTCTTTTGTGCCCTTTGGTTGTTTAGTTTTGTTGTTCAGTTCTTGAAGATGCTGTAGGGCATTCTGTTGCTAGGCAAAAAAAAAAAAAAAATTTGTAATATCTATTATTTTGAATTAATCTATTAATTAAAAATAACAGATATTACATTCTTGAAATAAAGTAGTTGCATGGGCACAAAGAAATACAGTTGAAAGAAATGGACTTGTTTGTGAGCCAACATTTTTTTTTTTTTTTTTTTTTTTTACCTGGCAAACAAGACAAGATTACATCACTTGAGGATTACATGGCAAACAAGACAAGATTACTGAACATCATCAGGAATAACCACAATGAATGGGCCAAACCCACTAGAACCTGCTGAAGTGGCTTCCTTCCCACGCACCATTATTACCATCATTATTATCTTTGACAGGTGGGCCCACAACTGACACCACACAGCACAAGGTGACAAATGAGGACGACATAACAACGCACATCGCCGGAACGGAGTGGATTGATAGATCGCCGACGTGCTGCCATCCCCTTAAACTCTATCATCGTGAACTCTATCTGCAACATAGTACCCCTACCAAGCATAATTAGTAGCAACAAATATCCACATCGGATATGTACTAACCTGGCCATTCAGTCCGGCAACGTCCAACCACAACCCATAGTCAGTGGCATTAAACACAACGCTGATCGGGGAAGAATAAAGGGCTGGCAAACAAGCTACAGCATCATGGCCATGAATCAGTAGAACATAGGCCTTGAAACTCCAGATCTGATGAAGCATAAACATCGCCCTTGCAAGATTGAATAACTTTGGTGGCCAGATGTGCCCAAAAAGACGTGGATGATTACCTAGTAAATGCCGCCGACACCAAGACAGCAAAGGCAAATACGGCCTCGGCGACTCTGCAACCACATAATCAATAACCTCCTTAGAAAAATATCGCTGAGTAATGCGATAACCGGAAAACCCAGCCACCAGACAGAAGCCTTCCCACCCATGGGAAGAAGAAAAACAAGGCAAGCATAGAACCCTAAAAACAACAAACACCAAGAAACACAGTATAATAGACAGGAAAATAAAAGAAATAGACACAATACCTGGATCAAAAGGGAAGAGCAGCAAGGATGGGGTCACAATCCGTCCAGTGCGCGAAATTCCTGACTTTATGCCCCACAACTCCCTTTTACCCTTCTGGCCCGACAAACCAGAGGAGTGACGGAGATGAGAGAAGGAAGACTCCATCTCATAGAGACCACCCAAGATCAGAAAAGAAATCGAAAGTAATGGAATTGACAGAGGATGAGAAAGGGGAAAAGGAAGGAGTGCTAAAAAAATAAAAAATAAATAAATAAAAGAAGAAGAAGATGAGATCACTCTAACAAGCCGGGGAAATCCAATGGGAAGGAGGACTCCTGCGAAGAGGAGAAAAAGTCAGCTTGTGAGCCACCTTAGGCCTTAAGAACCAGTCTGTAGTCTCACATAGTCACATGAAGGCTGTAGGCAATTTTTAATTATTTTCTTTTCAACCCTTTTATTTGGTTCACCATTGTTGACATAGTATTTATTATTATTGTTTTTTCCTTTTAGATTGAGTATAGAATAGCACGTGATTTAGCATTAACCAAGAAAAAGGAATATCTTATTTGGGTCAAAGCTAAACACGCCTTAATCTCAGCAAAATGGTGAACCTTTAATTTTAAATTGAGAAGCATTAACCATAGTATTTATTATTATTATTATTTTATTGGTTTACAAGTATGTTGTTTCATGGTCCTAATTCTCACTTGAACTTAAAAAAGAACAGAAAGGAGAGACAGTTGAAGATCCAGCAAAGCAGAGGGAAAGGAAGGGAAGGGAAGGGAAAGGAAAGGAGAATCAACCTTCAATGTATGCTCTTGTTGTAAAAATGAAGGTTTACGCTGAAACCAAATTATTTGTGGTGCTATGCTCTCTACTTTTAGCAGGTTTGTATAATCACACACTCCATCCAACATCTGAATTCACTTCTCTCATTAACATTCTATACATTTCTTCAATCAAAACAAGAAGATATAGTTATCCAACTACTCAATTTTTGCCATGTTCTATATCCTTGTTTTCCTTCAAAAAGATGGAAATTTACTAGTACTAGAAGAACTTTCACTCATTTTTTTTACCACAACAATAGATTTCATAATTTATTTTTTACCATAACCTCTCTTTTGGTTCATATAGGACATGCAATTGAGGCTTCATTGTACGACTACTCTACAAGCATCAAGGTAACATATAATCCTTCTATTCTATATGTAATAAAACAGTTAGCAAACTCTATTTTTTCCCCACACACATTTGCCCCATTTATGATCTCAAATGTGCCATAAAAACATTACATGAACAATTTTTGTTTCAATAAGAACCCCCTAATAAAATGCATTTTTTTTTTCCCCCCATTTTCAGTGCTTGGTTAATCCTCTAGAGCCTCAATATGGAGGAGGATTAGTGGCTAATCCTACCTTTGAAAATGGCTTAGAAGGATGGGTTGGTTTTGAAGGCGCGAACATTGAAGTGAGAAGAGGAAGCATGGGAAACAAGTTTATTGTAGCCTACAACAGAAGTCAACCATATGATAGTTTCTCACAATGGCTATATTTAGAGGAAGGGCTTTTATACACATTTTCAGGTAATTTATTGATAAAACGATTGTTTCCTGGATTTCTAAGAACTCATATTGACAGCACTTTGGAATATTACCAGCTTGGGTACAAATTAGTGAAGGAAATGAGATTGTTGTAGCTCAATTCAAAAATTCACAAAATCGCAGTATGATTGTGGGCACTGTCATAGCTCAATCTGGCTGCTGGTCTATGCTAAAAGGAGGGCTCACCGTGAATGTCACCATGCCAGCCGAGCTCTATTTTGAGGTACATTATGATTGTGTTCCTGATAATACTCATCATGCCCTAATAACATTGGTTTTTCTTTAATAGAAACTACTATTTTCAACTTCTGTAGAGCAAAAACACCAGTATTGAGTTATGGTTAGATAATGTGTCTCTACAACCCTTTACTAGAAGTCAATGGAGAGCTCAACAATCCAAAAGCATAAAGAAGGTAAATTTATTTATTTATTTATTATTATTATTTTTTTGAGTTGGTACTCACACATACGTCTCTTCTGAGAGTTGAACCTTTGACCTCCCTTTGGGAAATAAGAGGCCGATACCGCTAGGCCACTGGCCCGTTGGTAAGAAGGTAAGTTTATCTAAGCTTCAATCTTGTGTACTTATCATAGCATGTTCTCAGACAGCATAAACAGCTTCAGAGTGAGGGTGAGGTGATCAATATGCAAAAAGCTATATTTTCTTGTGCAGATGAGAACGAGGGAAGTGCGATTCCATGTCACTGACAAGAATGGGAAAAGGCTCAAAGGAGTGAAAATTAACGTCAAGCAAACAAGACCTCATTTCCCACTAGGTTGTGCCACTGCACTGACTATCTTAGAAAACAAGGCCTACCAAAACTGGTTCACCAAGCGGTTTACTGCAACAACTTTTGACAATGAAATGAAATGGTATTTCACCGAGGAAATTCGTGGACATGAAAACTACTCTATCTCAGATGCTATGCTTGCATTTGCTAAACAGCACAGAATTTCAGTGAGAGGCCATAATATTTTTTGGGATGATCCAAAGGAGAATATGAATTGGATCAAATCTTTATCCCCAAAAGAGCTTGTGAATGCAGCTGTGCGCCGAATGGGTTCAATAATGTCGAGGTATTCTGGTGAGGTTATTGCATGGGATGTCATGAATGAGAATCTGCACTTCTCATTCTTTGAAGATAAAATAGGTCCAAATGCTTCTGCCATGTTCTACAAGATTGCACAAGCGCTAGATTACAAAACACCAATGTTCATGAATGAGTTTAACACTTTGGAGTATGCAAGAGACACAAATGCCATTGCAGATAAGTACCTGGAGAAACTTAGGGAGATCAGATCTTTTCCGGGAAATGAAGAAATGGTGGTAGGGATTGATTACAAGCTCATTTCAGTAAGCTGAACATACCTTATATGCGCTCATGCTTAGATGTTCTTGGCGCAACCAAAATGCCTATATGGATTACAGAATTAGATGTTGAAAGAGGCCCGAATCAGGTAATTTCCCTTGATAAATAAAAACTTACATTAGAGTTTTTTTTCTTCCATTAATTCGTTTTCTAAGCCATTCGAGTGTTGATGAGTTTGTTTTTTAATTGACAGGCTACATACTTGGAAGAAATCATGAGGGAGGCATATTCACATCCTGCTGTTGAAGGGATCATAGTGTGGTCAGGGTGGAAACCAACAGGTTGTAGTAATATGTGTTTAACAGACAACAATTTCAAGAACTTGCCTGCTGGAGATGTTGTTGACAAGTTAATTGAGGAGTGGAAGACTGATAACTTACAAGGATTGACTGACAAGAATGGAGTCTATGCAAGCCGCATTTTTCATGGAGAGCACATTGTCACAGTTTTGTACCCTTTTGCTGGTGAAAATTTGACGAAGCATTTGGAGGTGACGAATGATAAATCCAAACCATTTGATGTTTGGATTTCTATTTGACAACACAATTGTGTTTTGTCTAGCAAATAGGTTGAATGAATGAAATTTCTCATCTAGCATTTTGATTAAAGTTGAATTGTTAATATATCGAAATTTAGATAAAAACTCAGTATGGAAAACATATGATCAATGAGCTGTTATGAAACTACATAATGATTTGTACTTCAACAAAAACAATGTAGCTCATAAACTAAAGCATGAATAGTTAGCATTATATATTGGTTGAATGTTTGTGTTTTTTGAGTAGCTCAGTGAAGTTGATTCACATGGACGAAAGCAACAATGATCTTGATAAAACAAAAAGAAATTAATCAGTGAGGTCCATAGTTAGGACTTCTATCGTTCTTGGTCATTTGGTGGTTAAGTGAGTGAATGTAATTACTCGAAAAAAATAAATTACAACATAAAAATAAAAAAGAGTAATGCTTCTACTTCTAACTACAGCTTTAAAGATGTGTGACACAACTATTATGAGTCTATATTCTCTGCCTCCCAAAGTGGATGGTGAGGGCTCGAGTCTCCAAAGAGGCAAAGTAAGTGTTACAAATTATTAATGAACTTTGATTGGGTTTAAAACTTTAGATAAATGAACTTTGCAGAAAAATAAAATTCACTACAAATATATAATTACAAATTATTAGGGGTAAAGGTGAAAGTTTGAGATATTCATAACTAATATAGGGGAACATTACTTATGGAGAATTGATAGTTTTTTTGTCATTAAAAAAGAAAAATAGGACTTATAGTTGATTTTATCATTAAGTATGGGTCTCATTTTAAAATTATATGCCAACGTGTCTAAATATTATTGGTCATTGTACATATGGATAAGATACACTGAAGATGGCTGGAAACCTAATAAATCAGATACACCATAAAAAAAATCCTAATGGTTACAACCCATCAATTGATATGATGGCTGGAAACCTAATAAATCATTTATGCATACCAATCGCACAAGATGACTGTCTCCAACTAGCTTTCATCATTTTAAATCTTTGGGTGCAGCGTGCAGATAACATAATAGTTGCAAGTTAATGAGGCAGTAGCATGTAAAACACTTGAGCTACATGCTTAAATTATTCGAAAACCCGCAGCAAGATGAAATTTCCTTGCTATTCCCCTTTCACTTTTCATCTCAGGTAATAAAAATAAAAAAGACATGATGCAAGCCCTACCAGATTTTGTAGCAAGTGTATGGGTATGTATTGACATACTTCCGGACATCATCCTCTTTGGAGAGGTTGAGGAGCTTCCGGATCTTTGATGCCCTCTTTGGACCTCTCATATTGGGTTTCTCAGTGTCAGCCTATCCAGGCAGCGCTTTCTCACCCTTCTTGACTATGACCAGGTTCAAAACAGATAGGGCATGGCTGAAAAATGCACCCGCGAACAGCCTTCCTTCTCCGCTCTCCTTTGCACCTTCCATAACCATGGAAGCAAGCAGAGCCTGTTCAAGTGAACATGAAGTAGAATCAACTTCATTTAGCGACATTTGATTTCTGATAAAGCTCAACCAAAGAAACTTGAGCAAACAAAAAAAGAAGGTATCTGAAGATTGATAGTTTATGAGTTCAAGGCGGATTACACCACAATAAAAGAAAAAACTTGCAATTCTTGCATTTAAGGATTCATTTTATTAGAGATGGGAGAGGGGGAGAGTTATTCCACAAATAGGATTGCCAACTTAAATGGTGATAAAGAAAAACAATTAAGAGCATCACTGTAACTACGACGAAAGAGCCTACACAAATTGCAAAAGCATGCCCAAAAGTAGTGTGGTTGTTTCCAAATGCGACCTCAATGAATTCGTTAGGTTCACTATCACAAAATAAAATGCCCCCAATTCACCGACCTCCATGAAGTAAAAGACGAACACGACCAGGAGTCAGAACTCCCTGCTTCATGGTTTGTCACAGCCACCCATACTTTTGAGCTTTTCTCACATTTTCCGGAGCTGCTGAGCTTAACCCTTGAACTCCAGTCAAGCAAAAGGATAAGTTTCAGCATGACTAGATTGCTCATCAGAAAATTTTTAAGCAGATGGAAGGAGAGTGGTAATAGTATACCTCGCCAAGAGAATCACCACTGACCTCCTGTGCCAGCCACTTGTCAAAGAAGGCAAGGCTGTATGTAAAAATGTCAGTTAAGAGTGGCTGGAACAAGCTTTAAGTCAATAACAGATAAATAATATCAAGTATAATATTATAAAAATGTAAAAATTTATATCATTCATACAACAGGTAGCAACTAGCATCAATAAAGAAATTAATAAAACAAACATACTTTACACTGTAACCCAACAATTCATTGAAGATCAAATATATATTTTAACCTTTTGTAGAATTGGACATACAATGTATCACAATATATAAGGAAATACATAAGTAATAAGTCATTAGACAGCATAGCCCTTTGCAGTTTCTAATATTTTAACTGATAAATTGTATAAAATAAATAAAAAATAAAAAAATCCAGCATATTACATGCACAAATAACAGGATTTATAAATTTTAAGCAAAGAAAAACTAAACAACTAACAATGAAGCATAATTGCTCAAGGCAATGGCATAACAGCACAGTCAGAGAACCCCTCCAGAAACCAACAATGATTTTAGTAATCAAAGTAACGGTGTAAATGGATTATAAGTCATGAATTCACGATATTATGTCTTAAGTAAAGAACCAATATGCGCATATAAGCTGCAACGAAAAACCTAAAATTTGACAATTAAAGATTGTTAAGCTATATAATGCCATGACAATAGCTCCTTACATACATAAAGAACAAGGGTTTTATGGTAATCCAACATTCCATCTGTGGGACATTTCATTCTTCAGAACAAAGGGGAAGTTCTCAGAGCTTCCTCTCCTAGTAAACAGCATGAATACTATAACTGCATAAGTAGAGAAAATTCAATATTTCTACCCGAAGTAATTCGGATATAGACTCCGAAAGCAGTGATTAAGAGTGCACATATCTATCTATTATCTTAGGAAACCGGAATTTGATTGAAAGGATCAAATTGAACCTGGCCAGTGGGTTAAAATCAACGGAAGTGAAATCAAATTTGCTAATACCCGCTTGACTCACTTCATATATACCAAATGTGAAGGCAATACAAAATTTTAAATCCTCCTATGTTACATCTTGTATACTGTTTATTCACTCAACGAAAGACAGATCAAAAACCACTACTGCATTCCTTTTGGTTGCAAGGAAAATACTAGATGCATAAAGAAATCTGAAGGAATGTCAGATTTCCCATAAGTTTGGAAGCCAAAAGAAACAAAAATCGAGAAGGATAAATCAAGATGAAACACAAATATTAAAAACATCATTTTCTTTTCTTTTCCTCGTTTTTCTCAGCAAGAACGTGTCTTACCGAAAAAATACGGATATATATATAAATTCACAAACACACACGCATATAAAGAGAGACTTACAGCTTCTCATCGTCATCGATTTCAAGCATTTTCTGGGACACAGTGGTTGGGTTCGCTATATTAAACTGCAAAATAAACTATATATATAAATTAGTGAACCCAATAGAGTAATGAACTGAAATTGGGTTTTAGCCTTTTAGGTGGGAGTGCATGGTCCGGTTTGGACTGAATTGGGAGTATTTTGAAACTAAATTATTTATAATAGTTCTATTATTTTTTAAATTAGATCGAACTATAATGTTTATGGAACCAAACCAAGCCAAATCGGTTTTTTGCGATTTGGTTCTGTTCGATTTGTCTGTTTTAGTTGATTTCTTTTTTATTTTAATTTAGAGGGGAGCAAAGTTTTTTTTTTTTGAAAGAAAATTTAAACTTTTTTTAAAAGAAATTTAAAGTATAAAAGAAAGAAATGGGGCACGTGAGAACTTTATTTTGTTTAGGTTTAAGATACGATATACGTATATAAATATACAGTAGTGTTCAATTGCTTCATGGGAGCAAGAAATTAGATATTCAGTAACCTTAGAATCTAATCTTACGGCAATTACTTAATTGGCTTTTATTTTCTTCATTTTAAGAAACTTATATTTTCTTTCCATACCATTAAAAATGACAGAATGAGACAATTTATTAAAGGAAACAAAAATGAAATAATCTAGTTGTTTATTCAACAAATTAGCAAGCAACAATATAAACCAAAAAAGGTTAATCAAAAGAGAAAAATAAAATGGCCATTAAATAAAGATTTTTTGAGAAGTATTGATTATAATCAAAACTCAAATTTCAAGATTGATCCATGTTTTATACTCAGCTTAATAAAATATTTTGAATTTGTTCAGCAACTAATTTAAAATTAGGATACTACTATTGACTTCATAAACTTTTTAGAAAAATAATTCAAAAAAACTCTTAATATATTATTATATATCCATCTAAATGTTTTCAGTGCTTTTTTATTTTTTATATTTTTTGGTAAATTAAATGTTCAAAGTTTTAATCGGTAAAAACATGCCAAAATATGTATAATATTATTGCAAATCCTAAGTTTTTTCATAATTTATAAATAGAATTGATAAAAGTATGGAAAAAAACTAAAAATGATGAATTTTAATTTTAGATTAATTTTACTTCGTCTTAGTGACTGCTTGCGAAATTGGTAAAAAGTAACCAAATTATTTTATTCTTGTTTCCTTTAATAAATTGTCTAATTCTGTCATTTTTCTTTTACGATAGAAAATGTAAGTTTCTTAAAATAAAGATAATAAAAGTAAATTAACTAATTGTTGTATGATTAGATCTTAAGGCTACAATTAAAAATGAGTATTTAATTTCTTACTCTCAGGGAGCAATTGAACACTACTGTATATATATATATATCTTAAGGCTACAATTAAAAATGAGTATTTAATTTCTTACTCTCAAGGAGCAATTGAACACTACTGTATATATATATATATATATATACAACATAATAATGGTTCGGTCCTGGCTGGTCCGGTCCAGCACGACCCTAAATCAGGACCGGATCGAGAAGTTACGGTTCCATAATTTTGAGTCAAGGATCAGACCAAATCGCTATATAGCATGACCAAACCGCCCAATTTCGTATGGTACGATCCGATTTTTTGGTTTACCGAATTTTTTGAACACCCTTAGTTTTAGGGATCAAAACCTTCATCTTCAATCAACTCTGCAACTCCTCAATGTGGAGAAAGGAAATCTCTCCCAGGCCGAATAACATGGTTCAAATTGTGGGCCCATAAAATATATACAAGTCTTTTGGGTTGGGTTGGTGTGTTGTGGGTCGAGTCAATACTGACCAACTAAGTTTAGATATGGGCTTTGGTTTTGGGTTAACCAAGCTTAGCATTTTCAGTTTTTTTGGGTCTAAAATCGGTGTAGCATTCTCAGCTTCTTCTTTCTTTTTCTTTTTCTTTTTTTCTTTTTTAATTTAATGATTAATTTTATATCGAGTTTGGGCCAATTACTTTGAGAATGTAACACTCTTTAGTTCAAATTAGTAATATCATTTCAAAATAGGTGATGAGTATTACATTTTTGAAATAAAGGTGTTGGATATAGGCAATGAAATACAACAATATATTATTATATAGATATAGAGATATATAGAGTCTAGCAAACAAAAGTATTTACCAAAAAAGTCTTAAATTCCCAATCCTACCTACAATAGCTTGTTTTATTGCTTAATTAGGATGCAAAATAAATTTCTTAAGCTAACTTCATACTAATTAATATATAAATTCAAAAGCACTCGTAGTGAACTTCCTTATCCTACCACGAAATAACGTGTAACTTCGCATGAAATGGTTATTATTCTTAACATTTTTTAAAAAATGAAAATCATATTCTCACTCTATTTTTTCTTCAACTCAACTCTATTTATTTATTTAATAAATGAGATAACAAAATTCTCTCTCAAAGGTGGAGCGCATAAATACTTGTTACACTATTGTAGTTTGTGAGTGTGCTAAGAAAAGGAAAAACATAGCGCATGTGCAGAAAAATTGAGTGTTTAATGTTATTACTCTTTGTGAATACCGCATCAATGATTTAACATGGACCACAAAATATAAAAAGGAAAAAAAAAAATTATATATATACGTATGTATGTATTGCTTATAAGATATATAGTCCTTGTCATGCCAATCAATGATTTAAGACATATATGGAAATACGACGGCCTTCATCCTAATGTTGAGGTGTAAAAGTTATAGCTCATCTTTACTTTGTGTGATGCACATATATATATATATATATATATATATATATATATATATATGTATGTATGTATGTATTGCTTATAAGATATATAGTCCTTGTCATGCCAATCAATGATTTAAGACACATATGGAAATACGACGGCCTTCATCCTAATGTTGAGGTGTAAAAGTTATAGCTCATCTTTACTTTGTGTGATGCAAATTTAGTAGTGTGGTCCAATTCATGAAGTTTGTTTGGAGTGAGAGATTGCGTAAATATATAACCCCTCTAACTTTCAACTTGCATTCACATAGTTTGAAATTTGTAACGCATTAAGGAATAATTTTAAAATAGTGTCAGGCTCACCGACATTGTGAATCTAAAACGAGAATCAAGAGTTGCTCACCGATATTGTGAATCTTAATCGAGGATCAAGTATTTCTTAACTTTCAGATGCATTCAAGTGGAGCTCACGTGAGTTCCACCTCTTTTTATTCGGTTACAAAGCGTTTCATTTAATTTTAAAGAGAATTTAGAATAGTACATGATTTAGTATTAACCAGGAAGAAGGAATATCTGATTTGGTTCAATGCTAAACGCATCAACTTCAGCCTTTGACTGGTAGTGGAGCATAGAACCCGTGACATGTTAGATTTGATTGGTTTGTATGTACGTTTCATTGTCCTAACTCTCACTTGTAATGAACTTAAAAAACAGAAGAAAGAGGAGAGAGACTTGAAGATCCAGCAAATTGGAAAGAATGGAAGGAAAGGGAAGGGAAGGAGAATCAACATTCAAGTTATTGTTTTTCAAGTTGTGATTGTTTACCAAACAAATCAGTGGCCAAATGACAATTAGATTTTCAAAGTGATGGTTTAATAATGCATTAATCATTTTTTTTAGATGTTTAATGATTATGTTTTCTTTCTTTCTTTCAGGGTCTTGTTCTTGCTGGAGAAATGAAGGTTTTCACTGAAGCCAAATTATTTGTGGTGCTATGGTCTCTACTTTTAGCAGGTTTGTATCGTAACTCCTTAGAACACCTGAATTAAGTTAGTCAATTTTCTAAGAAGCACTAAGCCACTAAGAAAAATGCAAGTGTAAAGATCTTTTTCTTTCAAGAAGGGGATTGATGACAAATCTTAATTAGTCACATAAATAACAGAGCTAAATAATATATATATATATATATATATATATATATATATATATATATATATATATTTCATTGATTTCCATTTACAAGAACTTCATTAAATTTTCAACCACATCAATAGAGTTCATAATTTCTTTTTTGCCCCTAATGGACTAAACCTGAGCCTTCACCTCTTTTGGTTCATATAGGACGTACAAGTGAGGCTTCATTGTACAACTACTCTGCAAGCATTGAGGTAACATATGATCCTTCTATTCTCCATGTAAGCAAACAATACATGTAATTTTTTAGCAAACTCAACTTTCACACACACACACACACACAAACTCATTTGCTCCATTGGTGGCTCAAATCCTCAACCTTCCATTTGGAAGGAGGACGACATACCACTTAGGCAGAGCCCTTGGTGACGAGGCTAGCATGAGAAGCTCTTATTAATTTGATGACCACGGGCTATCTGATTGAATGCACTTCATATTCATTAATTTTATCAGTATGATATCATTAGCCATTGGACTGCTAAAACAATCTTAATGATTAGTGACAAAACTACAAAGAAGAATTGAGAAATGGAAAGCAATAAATTAAATTGTCTATATGATCTCAAATGTGCCATAAAAACATTACATGAACAATAGTCGTTTGAATAAGAACCCAATAATAAAATGCTTTTTCCAAATATCAGTGCCTGGTTAATCCTCTAGAGCCTCAATATGAAGGAGGGTTAGTGGCTAATCCTAACTTTGAAGATGGCATAGAAGGATGGGGTAGGTTTGGAGATGCGAAAATTGAAGCGAGAAGAGCAAGCATGGGTAACAAGTTTATTGTAGCCTACAATAGAAGTCAACCATATGATAGTTTCTCACAATGGCTGTACTTGGAGGAAGGGCTTTTATACTCATTTTCAGGTAATTTACCGATAAATGACTGTTTCTTTGGTTTCCAGAAAACTTGTTTTGAACTTTTGACAACATTTTGGAATGTTTCCTGCAGCCTGGGTACAAATTAGTGAAGGAAATGAGATTGTAGTAGCTAAATTCAGAAATTCACAAAACCTTAGTATGATTGTGGGCTCTGTTATAGCTCAACCTGGCTGCTGGTCTATGCTAAAAGGAGGGCTCACCGTGGATGTCACCATGCCAGCCGAGCTCCATTTTGAGGTACATTATGAATCGGATCCTCATAATACTCATCATGACCTAACAATATCGGCTTTTTTCTTAGAAATTGCTATTTTCGATTTCTATAGAGCAAAAACACCAGTATTGAGTTATGGGTAGATAATGTGTCTCTACAACCATTTACTAGAAGTCAATGGAGAGATCAACAATCCAAAAGCCTAAAGAAGGTAAGCAAGTTGTAGCTCAATTTTGTGTTCTTATAGCATTTTCTAGTTCTGCATTAACAATGTACTTCTTATCATATACCAATATAGAGTAAGGGTGACCATTGATGCTTGTTTTGGTTTCTAAGATGACAGAGTTGATCACTATGCAAGAAGCTATATATTTTCTTGTGCAGATACGAAAGAGAAGAGTGCGATTCCATGTCTCTAACAAGAAAGGGAAAAGGCTCCAAGGAGTGAAAATTAACATCAAGCAAACAAGGCCTCATTTCCCACTAGGTTGTGCCACTGCACTGACTATCTTAGAAAACAAAGCTTACCAAAACTGGTTCACCAAGCGGTTTACTGCAACAACATTTGACAATGAAATGAAATGGTATTTCACCGAGGAAATTCGTGGACATGAAAACTACTCTATCCCAGATGCCATGCTTGCGTTCGCTAAACAGCACAGAATTTCAGTGAGAGGCCATAACATATTTTGGGATAATCCAAAATATAATATGGATTGGGTCAGATCTATGTCCCCAAAAGAGCTTCTGAGTGCAGCTATGACCCGAATGGGTTCAATAATGTCGAGGTATTCTGGTGAGGTTATTGCGTGGGATGTCATGAATGAGAATTTACACTTCTCCTTCTTTGAAGATAAAATAGGTCCAAATGCTTCTGCTATGTTCTACAAGATTGCACAAGCTCTAGATTACGAAACACCTATGTTCATGAACGAGTATAATACTTTGGAGTACGTGGAAGACATGAACTCCATTCCAGCAAAGTATGTGGAGAAACTTAGAAAGATCAAATCTTTTCTGGGAAATGAAGAAATGGTGGTAGGGATTGGATTACAAGGTCATTTCAGCGAGCCAAACATAGCTTATATGCGCGCAAGCTTAGATTTTCTTGGCGCGACCAAAATGCCTATATGGATTACAGAATTAGACGTTGAAAGGGGCTCGAATCAGGTAATTTTCCTTGATAAATAAGCACTTGTATTAAACTAATCATCCCATTAATTCGTTTTCTAAGCCGGTGTTGATGAGTTTGTTTCTTAATTGATAGGCTACATACTTGGAAGAAATTATGAGGGAGGCATATTCGCATCCTGCTGTTGAAGGAATCATAGTGTGGTCAGGGTGGAAACCAACAGGTTGCAGTAACATGTGCTTAACAAACAACGATTTCAAGAACTTGCCTGCCGGAGATGTTGTCGACAAGTTAATTGAAGAGTGGAAGACAGATAACTTACAAGGAGTGACCGACGAGAATGGAGTCTACGCAAACCACATTTTTCATGGAGAGTACATTGTAACAGTTTCGAACGCTTTTGCTGGTGAAAATTTGACAAAGCATTTGGTGGTGACGAGTGATAAATCTGAACCATTTGATGTTTGGATATCCATTTGACAACACAATTTGTGTTTTGGCTAACAAAAAAGTTGAATGAATGAAATTGTGAATCGATTAGTATCTAGCATTTTGATCGGAGAGTTGAATTGCTGATAGATTGAAATTTAGATTAAAACTCAGTATGGAAAACATATGACCAGTGAAGTGTAATGTAACTAGTATGATTTATACTTCTGAAGTTCTGAGGATGAAAAGTTCAACACAACATTGAAAAATTAAAGAATGCATAGTGAGCATGACTTTGTTTTTTTAGTAGCTCGTATAAGTTGATTTGGCATAGAGGAAATCAACAATGATCTTTGATAATACACTCTAAAACTAAAATAAATTCGAAATAATGCAATAAGAAATTAATCAATGAGGTTCGTTGTTAGGACCTCTTTGGGAAGCTGGAAAAGTCCAAGTCTCCTCATGCATTAGATGGATTCAAGTGAGAGTAATGTGGGATAAGGTAAGTAATAAATTTTCAAAAACTAGGTACAACATGAATACGTTAAAAAATAATAATAAAATATATGTTGTTTTGTATAAATAATTTTTTTCCATTTAATCTCTATAATCATTAATAAAATCATTAATTTGAAACTTAAAGTTAGATATTTGTATTTCGTGTCCAACAGAAAAATAAATATTCACTTTTTAGAATTTTTCTAACTTATTTGACACGTGTTTGGACCGGATTCGACAAATATCTAAGTGTACTTATTTTCATAATCTCCCTATTTTTGAAAATAATAAAAATTACATCAACAAATCCACCATATTGTAATTATATCCTATTTCCCTAACCAATCAAATTAACACTCCTAATTTTATCCCAATTCTATTTGAGTGATGATATTTACATTCAGCTTTCTTCTCTTGCACTAGATTCTTTATTATATATATATAAATAAAATGGGGGCGCGAATCACCTGCTGTGACTTTCCCGTGCTATTTTCTACAGTGAGCGGTAAGTGGCCTTGGTTTGGTCACGTTTTACTCCACTTAACAGACACTAAGAATGTGTTTGACAATTGCACCAAGTAACATTTCACCACCATTTATAAGTAACATCACATAAGTCTAAAAATAATATCACATAGTCTAAAAAGTAACATCATCACCATTTAAGTAGTGATATTACCTTCTTATAAATGGTGATATTACTTTTAGACTTTTGTGATGTTACTTATAAATGGTGGTAAAATGTTACTTATAAATGGTGGTGCAATTGTTACTTAAATGGTGGTGATGTTACTTTTTAGACTGTGTGATGTTATTTGGTGAAATGTTACTTATAAATGGTGGTATTATTTGAAATTAAAAGTGGTGATGTTTCCTTTTAAAAATAATGAGGTTACTTTTTAAATTCTGTGACGTAGTTATAAATGGCCAAACACTTTGTGTCGGTTAGCTGAAAAATGATGTGGCCAAATATGGATTATTTAAAAATTAAACCGTATAGGAATTGCACAGGTGATTCGCGCCCATAAAATGGGTCATGATAGACAGGCAGCAATGTCTGGCCGATTTGCAAGGCAGAAATGATGTGGCACTCCATCCGGCATAAATTAATCATACAACGAGTTCACATCATCACACGCGCCATTTTCCGATCACAACGCGCGAAAAGATTAGCCCGGGGTAGGTGGTGCCGTTGCTTGGAGTGGAGTCCTCCTCCGTCGCCGATCTGCTTTCTTCTCCATCATCGCCGGGATTTCACTGTCGGCAGTTTTTGGTGGTGTCTCTTTGAATCCACCAATCCTAACTTCAAATCCAATGATTGTGACAAGCAATAGTTGTACAGAGCAAGCAATAGTTGTGAGGATGCGACTTGTACAGAGCAAACATGGAAGACAACATGAAGATCACATCTTTTGGTACAGGTACTTCAAATGGGTTCGCTGGTTTTCTCTCTCCTTCTATTTCTTCACTTCTTATCTCATCATCCAAACCCCCAATACCCACGAACCCACTGATTCTCTCTCTAAAATCACCTCCTTTCTCTATCTAAAAGCTTACCATTAACCTCCCGTGCCCTCTTCGAATCACCCAACACCACATTTATACAACAACCCAGAACCCATCAAGGTTTGTTGAAGGATTTGAAGATGTATGTATACGATTTGCCATCCAAATACAACCTTTATTGTGTCCAAAAGGACAAAGAACCGATGAAGCCTCACCTATGCAAACAACGACAGCAAAATCAGACCAGTTTCCTACGGTGAAGACACAACTCGTGACAGCCACAGGCGACCCACGCACAACGATGACAATCTGAAATTTCGCGATCTAAAAAAATTGAACCAAACTCACCGGCGTCTTCCATGATTCATCGTCACCGTCGGCCGACACGTTTACACGCGCCCACCGCCGCCTATCTTATTGCCTTCTACGACGCCGTGAAGAGACTGTTCCCGTCGGTGCCAATCTCCACCTTCGGCAGACAACGACACCACCTACCCCGGGCTCTTCTGTTCTAAACAGATTAGTCGGTGCCGGTTTGTATACTTTCCGATTGTCTATTCCGATCAGCTTCGCCGGCCGTGTCTCTGCTTCTTCTCCACAGATGCAACTCTCTACCTGTCTCACCGTTTCCCTTGTGTTCAGATCAGATCTGCAACTCGAGGGAGGTTAGAGAGAGAGGAGAGACCGGGGAAGATGAATGGATTGCACCGAGCCCTTTCTTTTTGTTTTGTTTTTTTTTTTCGCCAGCTCGACGCCACCTAGGATTCTAACTGGCAAATCGGTCAAATTCATCGCCGTAAATATCATTTTTCAAATAAAATATATGATTATTCTTCAAAAATACATTTATGTCCATAATATTAGAAAGTGTATCACTACATAATATTAGGAAATGTAGTGCTTCACTCTAATTTTGCAAAATAATGTCCATAATCTTCCCAATCCCATTTACAATAACTTGTTTTATCCCGCAAAATTAAGATGCAAAATAAATTTCTTATGCTGAGTTGCTGACTTCATGTTCAATTTTTTAACACAAAAGTTTAAGGATACGATCCCCTCCATATAAATTTCTTTCCAACTCTCTCCAAACTTAATCCAAAGGTCAATATTAATACACGTGATTTGAGATCACTTACCTACATTATACCGTTTTGAGACCAAGTAAACAAATTCAATATCCAAATTTCTCTCGCTTACGTTTACCAAAAAAAATTTCCTCGCTTTTTTCATCTCTCCTTAATATTCTCTTTGTACGAAACCCTTTTTTTGAAAAAAAAAAAAAAAAAAAAACATTTCACGCTTATCTCTTTTCCATTCAATCTCAACCTTCACTGATGTCTTGAAGCCACGAAGATTTCGATTTAATTTGGGTATTTGAGACCAAATAATTGATTTGGGTGTTTTAAATACCCTAGATCACGTTTCGGTATTTCAAGAAATCATTCAAAAAAATCTTTTGTCATCTATCAACTCTCACAGAGGTATATTTTCTTATGCGATTTTGTAGAGGAGATGGTTCTTATATTAAACCAAGAACACACGAAGATATTGGGTCTTCTGTTGATCAATAGTCTCAACTCTCAACCACGAAGATATTGTTGAATCTTCAGTATCAGTCAAAATATAATATAATGGAACTTCCTCTGTTCCTTAAACTTAAATAAGTAAAATTACATCATTAGTCAAAGAGAAGATTAAGGAGAGATTAAAAAACAAGGGAATTTTTTTTGGTAAGTGTAAGAGAGAGAAATTTGGGTATTGAATTTGTATAGAAAAGATTTGCCGTTAAGGTCCCGTTTGGTTCCAAAACAGTGTACTATAGGTAAGTGATCTCAAATCATGTGTTTTAATATTGACTTTGGATTAAGTTTGGAGAGAGCTAGAGAAAGATTTGTATGGAGAGAATCTGTATCCAAAGTTTAAAGGCGTTCTTAACCTACCTCCCTCATTGTTGCAAAAAAATAATAATAATAAAATAAAAGTAAAAATAAAAATCTCTTTTGTTGCATTAAAAAATCAAACTTTCAAAATAATTGATTAATGACTGGTGTCTCACAAATTCACAATCTCACATATTCTGTCTGACCTTAAAAAAACCAATCAATAATTTATGACAACTATGGAAATATGATGATCTTGTTTAAAGGGATATATTGTATAAAATATGCAACCATCCGTAAAATATATAATGCTAGGCTCTTAAAACTGTAACCGTTTTTCAGTATTAAGATACATTTAAGTGGTATTTATGTAAGTTGCACCTGCATCTATACACCGTTTCCGTAAACAAAATATTTTATTTAATTTCAAAGCCAAAAGCATTAATTTCAGCCTTTGGCTAACAGAAGAGCATAAAACCCCTGACAAGTTAGAATTTATTTACCTTTCATGGTCCTAATTCTCACTTGTAATGAACTTAAAAACAGAGGAGAGAAGAGAGAGAGTTGAAGATCCAACAAATTAGAAAGGAAAGGAAAGGAGAATCAACATTCAAGTTATTGCTTTTCACCATCAATGCATTACTTTAAGTTTCAGTCTACATTTGAAATGCCATCTTGATTTTGTTTTTCATGATTCCAAAAACATAGTTTACATAGTGTAGAAGAATTATGTTGCATTTTTAATATGCAAGATTGTTTATCAAGTTCACATTGTTAACCAAACAAATCAGTGGCCAAATGACAATTAGATTTTAAAGGGATGGTTTAAATAATTAATCCTTTTTTTTTTTTTTTTTTTTTTTTTTTTAATTTCTTTTAAATTTTTACCATAACTTAAACCATGTTTTCTTTCTTTCAGGATCTTATTCTTGTTGGACAAATGAAGCTTTACAATGAAACCAAAATATTTGTGGTGCTATGGTCTCTACTTTTGGCAGGTTTGTATAATCGCGCACTCCATAAAACATCTGAAACCACTTCCCTCGTTAACATTCTATTCAATTCTTCAATCCAAACTAGACCATACAATAGTTTTCTAATCATTCAATTTTCTGAAAAAAACACTAAGCCATGTTTGTTTTTCCAGCTATTATTCATCTAGAGTGGTACTATGTGACCAACTCTGTGGGCGGGTGTGATGTTGACGGGTGCGAGACACTGGACGAGCTATCACACTGGCAGGCTACAGGGTATCATGATCCCATATCATCGGAAGAAGGTGAAGTGTTATGTAAGGTTCAACACCCTTTTATGACACAACGCGTTTTAAAGCCGTGACGGCTGTGAACCCATCAGAACTCCAAAGTTAAGTCTGCTTACTCTGGAGAAGTACCAGGATGTGTGACCTCCTGGGAAGTCCCTGGGTCGGGAGAGCCAAAAACGAACAATATTGTGTTTGAGTAGGGTGAGAGTTATTACAAATGGTATCAGAGTCGGAGCCTAACTAGAAATGTGGCCAACGAGGAAGTTGGGCCCCATGAGGGGTGATTGTGACGACCTATATGGGCGGCTGTGATGTGAGCGGGTGCGAGACACTGAACGAAATACCACACTGACAGGCTACAAGGCGTCATGATCCCACATTGTCTGGAAAGGTGAAGTGCTATATATAAGGTTCAACACCCTTCTATGACACAACGCGTTTTAAGGCCGTGAACCCATCAGAACTCCAAAGTTAAGAGGTCTTTGATCCGGGAGAGCCGACAGTCGACAATATTGTGTCTAAATAGGGTGATGAGAGTTGTTACAAGCTCTCTATTTATCTCAATGAAGAAACAGTTGCAAAAAAAGTTCTCTTTCAATAAGAAAAATGCGAGTACAAAGGATTTCCTTTCAGGGAATTGATGAAAAATCTTAATTAGTCACATAAGAGAGCTAAACAAAATTTTTCATTTTTTTTTTATCCTTATTTTTCTTTAAAGAGATGGAAATATACAGGTACTTGAACTTCACTAAATTTTCGACCAAATCGATAGAGTTCATAATTTCCTTTCCCCCTAGTGGATTAAACCTGAGCCTTCACCTCTTTTGCTTCATATAGGATTTGCAATTGAGGCTTCATTGTACAACTACTCTGCAACCATCCAGGTAACATATAATTCTTCTATTCTCTATGTCAGCAATCATTATATGTAATTTTTTAGCAAACTCAAATTTCAATCAAGTCTTATCATTTTTTCCCGGTAGGTAAATCTCACACACACACACACTCGTTTGCCTTTGGAAGGAGCCCTTGGTGACAAGGCAAGCATTGGAAGCTTTTATGGCTATCTGATTGAATGCAATGCATATTCATTAATTTTATTAGCATGTTATTATTAGTCATTAGATTGCTAAAGCAATGTTTAATAATCACTATCAAAACTTCAAAGAAGAATTGAGAAAAGGGAAGCAATAAATCAAATTGTTTATATTATCTCAAATTTGACATAAAAATATGACATGAACAATGGTTGTTTGAATAAAACACCCCCTAATAAAATGCTTTTTCCAATTTTCAGTGCTTGGTTAATCCTCTAGAACCTCAATATGAAGGAGGATTAGTGGCGAATCCTAACTTTGAAAGTGGCTTAGAAGGATGGGGTGTGTTTGGAGATGCGAAAATTGAAGTGAGAAGAGCAAGCATGGGGAACAAGTTTATTGTAGCCTACAACAGAAGTCAACCATATGACAGTTTCTCACAGTGGCTATACTTAGAGGAAGGGCTTTTATATACATTTTCAGGTAATTTACCTATAAATGATTGTTTCTTGAATTTCTAAAAACTTGTTTTGACAAACATTTTGGAATGTTTCCAGCTTGGGTACAAATTAGTGAAGGAAATGAGATAGTGGCAGCTAAATTCAGAAATTCACAAAAAATTAGTATGACTGTGGGCTCTGTTATAGCTCAATCCGGCTGCTGGTCTATGATAAAAGGAGGGCTCACCGTGAATGTCACCATGCCAGCCGAGCTCTATTTTGAGGTACATTATGATTTCGATCCTCAGAAGACTCATCATGCCCTAACAACATTGGGTTTTTTCTTATTGTTATTGATTTCTGTAGAGCCAAAACACCGGCATTGAGTTATGGGTAGATAATGTGTCTCTACAACCATTTACTAGAAGTCAATGGAGAGACCAACAATCCAAAAGCATAGACAAGGTAATTTTATCTATGCTTCAATTTTGTGTTGTTAAAGCATTTTCTAGGTCTGCATAAACAGTTTCTTATCATTGACACCAAATCACCAATACAGAGTGAGGGCTATCACTATGCAAAAAGCTTTATTTTCTTTTGCAGATAAGAAAGAGAGAAGTTAGATTCCATGTCTCTAACAAGAAAGGAAAAAGGCTCCAAGGAGTGAAAATTAACATCAAGCATACAAGGCCTCATTTCCCACTTGGTTCTGCCATTGCACCGAGTATCATAGAAAACAAGGCTTACCAAAACTGGTTCGCCAAGCGATTTACTACAACAGTTTTTGACAATGAAATGAAATGGTATTCCAACGAGGTAATTCCTAGACATGAGAACTACTCTCTCTCAGATGCCATGCTCGCGTTTGCTAAACAGCATAGGATTTCAGTGAGAGGCCATACCATTTTTTGGGATGATACGAAACAGATCATGGATTGGGTCAAATCTTTATCCCCAAAAGAGCTTTTGAGTGCAGCAGTGCGACGAATTGGTTCAGTAATGTCAAGGTATTCCGGTGAGTTTATTGCATGGGATGTGGTGAATGAGAATATGCACTTCTCATTCTTCGAAGATAAAATAGGTCCAAATGCTTCCGCCATGTTCTACAAGATTGCACACGCGCTAGATAACAAGACACCTTTGTTCGTAAATGAGTTTAATACATTGGAGGATCCGACAGACTTGGATGCCATTCCATCTAAGTTTCTGGAAAAGCTCAAGGAGATCAGATCTTTTCCGGGAAATGAAGAAATGGTGTTAGGAATTGGATTACAAGCTCATTTCAGGGAGCTGGATCTAGCTTATATGCGCGCGTGCTTAGATGTTCTTGGCACAACCAAAAATCCTTTATGGATTACAGAATTAGATGTTACAAAAGGCCCAAATCAGGTAATCTTCCTAGATAATTGAAAACTTATGTTAGACTTATTATTTTCCCTGGTTTTGTTAGACGTTCTAATGTTGATGAGTTTGAATTTTAATTGACAGGCTAAATACTTGGAGGAAATCATGAGGGAGTTGTATTCACATCCTGCTGTTGAAGGAATCATAATGTGGTCAGCGCGGAAGCAAGGAGGTTGTGGTTATATGTGTTTGACAGACCTGAATTTCACGAACTTGCCTCCCGGAGATGTTATTGACAATTTAATTAGGGAGTGGAAGACTGAGAGCTTACAAGGAGTGACCGGCAAGAATGGGGTCTATGCAAACCGCATTTTTCATGGAGAGTACACTGTGACAGTTTCGAACCCTTTTGCTGGTGAAACTTTGATAAAGCATTTGGAGGTGACGAACGATAAATCCGAACCATTGGATGTTTGGATTTCCATTTGAGAACACAATTTGTATTTTATCAAACAGAGAGGTTGAATGAATGAAATTCTCACTTCTGGGGATGGAACGTTTAAAAGCACAATGAAATTAATAAATTGAAGCAGGCATAGTTTCCATTTTTTTTTTTTATTTTATGTAGTTCATAGAAGTTGATTCACAAGGAGAAAAGCAACACTGTTACATTTATATTTGATTAAAAAAAAAAAACCTAAAACTAAATATAATTCAAACCAGAATTTTGTTAATGCTCCATTGGATAATGCCAAAAAAAAAAAAAAATAGGTTCATAGTTCATAGTTTGGACTTTGGACCTCTGTGGTCTTGGTCAAGTGAGTGACTGTAATTTACTTAAAAAATAAAATAATAAAACATAATAATAATAATAATTATTTTTTAAAGAAAAAAAGCATTAAAAATATACATTCAGTTTGTACTTTGTAGTATTAGAAAATCTATATACTCCACTTTTAAGGAGTAATTTTGTCCTTTCAATAATTTAAAAATTCTAACTGAAATATAAATATATAAGTAGTGAGAGGTGGCCACAGACAATGTAATTGAAATTATTGAACATTCTTGGTTTTACAACTTTTTTTAAAAAATTAAAAATAAAAAGGTAGAAAGTGAACTATAAATATAATCTCCTTACCTAAAATAAAATTAAGAAAAAGCTAAAGTAAGGTAAGAATAAATAAATAAATAAATAAAATTAAAAATCCATAATTCCATGTTATCTCTGTAACATCTGCAAAAATTGAATCACCAATTCGCCTCTCTCTCTCTCTCTCCAGTTACTGCTTCCTTTCTCCATCTCTCTTTCTCTCTCTAAAAACCACATTTTGAGATCAGATCTCGACCAAATTCCACCAATGGCTTCCCTTTCTACCCGCGAAGAAAACGTGTACATGGCGAAACTGGCCGAGCAAGCCGAACGCTACGAAGAGATGGTGGAGTTTATGGAGAAGGTGTCCACCGCCGTCGGCGACTCCGAGGAGCTGACGGTGGAGGAGCGCAACCTCCTTTCCGTGGCGTACAAGAACGTGATCGGCGCACGCCGGGCTTCCTGGCGGATCATATCGTCGATCGAGCAGAAGGAGGAGTCTCGCGGCAACTCCGACCACGTCGCCACCATCAAGGACTACCGGACCAAGATCGAGACCGAGCTCTCTTCGATCTGCGACGGCATTCTCAAACTGCTCGATTCGAAATTGATACCCACGGCCAACGCCGGGGATTCCAAGGTCTTCTATTTGAAGATGAAGGGAGATTATCATAGGTATTTGGCGGAGTTCAAGACCGGAGGAGACAGGAAGGAGGCTGCCGAGAATACGCTCAATGCGTATAAGTCTGCGCAGGTTTGTGCAATTGTGTGTGGATATAATTTGATCGGTTGATGAATTGAAAATTTTTATGCTTTTTATTTATTTATTGCGGTTTGTATTTGGAGAAATTATATAGAATTATGCATTGACACGTTTGACATTGTTGCTTTCATTGTGACTGAAATTTGAGTTAAATTAGTTCAAGATACTCTAAAACGTAGTTTTTTTTTTTTTTTTGTTATTATTTATTATTTTTATTTTTTATGAATATAAATGGTATTTGTTCAATTTGATTTAATGAGGGACATTTTGTTTCACTATTCTTGCAAAATTTTGTGAATGTGTATGATGAGATGTTTGTTAATTTCTTGGGATTTATGAATTCGTAGTTCTTTTATAACTGTAGATATTGGGTATTTGTTCTATGTAAGGATGTAAAAAAGAATTGATTTTTCAGTGTAAACTGAAGAATGTGTATGTAATTGAGTCCTACATGTGAAAATTTTACTTTGGAAAATCCCATTGAACTTTTAATTTCTTCTGCCTTACTTTTGTTGATCAGGTTCGTGTTTGACCTAAACACATTTAGAAGTGTCCATATGAGATAACTCAGTTTATTTTGATTTCTATTGCTTTTCGTCTCGTTCAATTGAAAAGTTTAATGTGAATTTTATGCCTTCATGACTCTGCGGTTATGGGAAATCTTGATCTTCTTATTGAATCTACAGGTTTATCTTGGTGATACTTGAATTTGGATGAAAATACATTTTAATATTTTTATAATCATGATATGATCACTGTTGATGATTAATTATTTTGGTCTTTATTTAATATCATGTTTCCAGGATATAGCAAATGCAGATTTGGCTCCGACTCATCCAATTCGGCTAGGACTGGCTCTTAATTTCTCTGTGTTTTATTATGAAATTTTGAATTCACCTGATCGAGCTTGTAGTCTTGCAAAACAGGTAACAGAACATATCTTGAAACTCTAGTTTAAAACTTTGATTTTATGTTGCTAATTATAGATATTGGCAAGATAAATAGATAGAATCATGCTTGGTGATGGCTTATATTTTATATATTTATTTTATTTTTTTGGTTTCTTTCTGCATGTTCCTTCAATCAAAATGTCGGTTTTAAATCTAACAAAGGACCATTATGTTGTCACCCTCCTTTCAACACTTGTTCAAACTCAAACATCATTGCGACCCTTTTTTGTCTCATGAATTGCCCTAACCAGATGCAAAGGACCACCTGTGGGCCCCATGATTCAAATTTTAGAGGCAAATGTGTTTGGTCTTTTGTAACCAATCCTTTCTATAGTTGACCAGATTCATTTCTTGAACTGTTGTTGGCTTTGGCATATGCCAAAACACTGTTATGCTTTGGACTTTAATTAAGACTGTTATCAGGGTTTTATTCGGTCTTTGTGTAGCTTTTGTGGGTTGTGTTCCTCATTTTCTAATGATGCTTTACTCATAAAAATAAAAAAATAAAAAATCAGGCTTTTGATGAAGCGATCGCGGAGCTGGATACACTGGGAGAGGAATCCTACAAGGATAGCACTCTGATAATGCAACTTTAATTAAGACTGTTATCAGGGTTTTATTAGGTCTTTGTGTAGCTTTTGTGGGTTGTGTTCCTCGTTTTCTAATCACACTTTACTCCAAAAAAATAAAAAAAATCAGGCTTTTGATGAAGCGATCGCGGAGCTGGATACACTGGGAGAGGAATCCTACAAGGATAGCACTCTGATAATGCAACTTCTTCGTGATAATCTGACTTTGTGGACCTCAGACATGCAGGTTTTACTTTCATTCTTTTATGATGATCGTTGTATGTTCTTTCATATTTTTCGTTCAGAACATTATACTTTCATGTTACTGATCCGGACCCCTTTTTAGGATGACGGGGGAGATGAGATCACATCCAAGCGCGAGGATGAGCAGCAGTGAAGTTAGTTATTTTCGCATTAGTATCTCACTCATCTCCTATTTGCTTTTTTGATTGGAGAAGTTTGGTCCTCCATCCATTCTATTGTGGTTTTAAGAAGTTCATCCCTTGATCTATGAACTTTGTAGTTAATTTTATAAGTTTCCCATTTTTATCTTTATTTACATTTCATTGTTTCTCTTATCCTATGAAAGTATTTCCTTCTTTTATTTTATTTTATTTTATTTTATTTATTATTATTATTATTATTTAAATGTTAGCATGAATACTTTCTCAGAACAATGCTTAGTCCCCTGCTTTGCAGTGTACTCTGTACTTGAAATAAGATGGGGTGTATTCCAACATTTAACAGAAACATTTCAATTCTCCACGCAGGTTAAAGTTATTCAGCGACTCCATAAAATGCAATGTTAAATTGAATAAATAGAGAATTATATTAAATTCAGGAGCAACCATCTGGGTTTCAATTTCTGGCCAAAACGCACAAGAAAGGGGAAAAATAAAAAATAAAATTCATACATGACATAATCAGATTGTATTGTAAGAAAAAGACCCTATGGTGTTGAAAGAATCATTTGAAACGCAAGGGTGAAATGTCATTTGATTTAGATGATTATTAAAATTGTAAAGCTTCAACACTTTGAGCAATCCATTTTTGTTTTTTACATCCACTGAATTACTAAATGCACGCTTTTCCTTTTTGTTTTTAGGACAAGAATGATGCTCACATATAACAAACTCCACTAATGTGAGAAAATCTTAATATCACCTACATAAGATCTACTAATGCAAGATGACATGATACTCACTGGGAGTGGACACCAAAGTGGAAGAGGAAACCTAAAAAAAAAAAAACTACCGGATTGATTCAATTTTAAAGTAAATATTTATTTATTTTTTAACTGAATTAAAAATTGTCAATCAAATAAATTTTTATATAATTTTTTGATTTTCAGTTGTTTTAAAAAAAAAAAAAAAAAAAAAAGAAAAAGCTCTATTATTATATATATATTTTTAAAACGTAAAAAGAAAACTGTTTAAAACATTTTGAATTTGTTGGCTGGCAGCAGAATATAAGGGTATACTTTATTTGTAACTCTAAAATAGTTGAAAACAGATATTTTTATAACTAAATTTTCAAAAAATTAAACCAAGCAAGAATTTTTTTGTATAATTCTCTATTTTCAGTTTTTCAAAAATATAAAACTATTTCCATACTTACAAATTTTGTACCAATCCCCCACCTACAACTGAATCACACTATTTCTGTTAAAAAAAAATCAGACTATTGCTCCACAAAATAATGATGACGTAGAGTCCATTCAAGAAAAGTTATAATATAGGCAAAAAAAATATATATATATAAAACCCCCCTCAATTATATATATATATAGGCACAGGGTTACAATGGTCATATTGCAAAGGCAGTTTTGGAGTTAGATCAGAAAGTAAACTCAAGCCGGAAAGGGCTATTAGGGGTCAAACTGCTCATTTCTTATAGTTGAGGTACAAAATGCTGATTTTTGATATTTAAGGGTTTTATGCTTTTTTTTGGCCTATAATATAAAAAGATATGAAACCCGTACAGGAACGACTTCATTGCTAGTATAAAATGGCCCATATGAAATACAATACACAACACAACGACCGGGGCTCAGTTTTTGACTGGGACCACCATTTCACCAATTCATTCACCTTAAAGCTTCTTTTCTTTAACGTCAAGCTCCTGAAACTACTTCATTCAACGAAACAGGAGAGACAGAGAAGAGAGAGATAGGAAGAGAGAAGAGAGAAGAGAGAGAAAGATGTGGATATTCTATCTGATCTCGCTGCCTCTGACGTTGGGCATGGTGATCCTGACGCTGAGGTACTTCAAAGGTCCCGATGTGCCTCTCTACGTCCTCTTCACCGTCGGATACACCTGGTTCTGTTCTCTCTCCATCATCGTCCTCGTCCCTGACGACATTTGGACGGTACATTTCAATTTCATTCTCTTTTTACAATCTTTTCCTTCAAATTCACGTTTTGATCCCTCGTATTGGTCTTGAAAATTCTTGCCTTCTTTCTCTCCAATTTTTGTGGTGAAATTTTTATGATTGAATGATGAAAATTAAGGAAGGAGTGCATTTCACAATCTCTTTGTTGATATGTTCAACGATTTGGGAAATTGGGTGGTGAGATGTAGTTGTTTTTGCTTTTGTGCTTGGTTGAAAGAAATTGGATACTGGAGAACCCTATTTCAGTTGGGCAGTTTTTGGTTGGTCTCAAATCTTGTAGGCGGCATCTACACAAACTCCTCATAGTTGAAGAAATATTTTGTGATCTGGAAGAGTTGCAATTTGAATCAATTTTTCAACCTAGACCAACAAAATAGTCTTAATATTATTCTATGTTATTTTTAGAGTTATGTATTCCGTGTTCTAAGTTACCGTGATTCAACCATACAAGTTAGTTTGTCTTTATATATATGTTCATTGTTTTTAAATATTATTAAGTCAGTTGCTTTTTATTTATTTTAAATATATTCAACCATATAACAGCCTATAGCATTAGGTTGAAAAGGCCTGTTTGATCTTTAATATGTCACATTGTCACTCTAAGGCAATATTCTTACTTTCAACTCATTATTGATGCATTCAGAGTGTATCTGTGATCAGTGCTTAGATGAACAGTTAAAACTGTGTTTCAATCATCTCTTATGGTGCCTTTTGGTTCTTTTATTACTAAATTATTGCTAGTTTGTCTGGATAATGTATTTACTAAACTTCAGATGATTTTTTGAAGTTGGGATCAATACTTTATCAAGTATATCCAATGGAAAGGAGAGAGAGAGAGAGAGAGAGAGAGAGAGAGAGAGAGAGAGAGAGAGACCAGGGTTCAACCAAGATAATGGCAAACATTCACCTTATGGGTTGGCGCCATTGGCTTGTTGAAGGATATTAAGAAGCTGTGCAAAGTGTTCTCTAAATATGAATGAATTTATGATGGGTTTCATCGTTTCCCAGAGGAAGTCCTGGAAATTCAATTCAGTTCATTGCAAGAGATGTGAATCCTGACTTAGAGGAATTGTTAAATTTATGGCTTTAATTTTTATCATTTATTTCATGGATGTAGCTGAATCCCTTCATCATCTTTGCAGGCACTTAATAGTCAGCCCAATGGAGGAATCTCTTTCTTTTGGAGCTGGTCTTATTGGAGTACTTTTTTACTTACTTGGTATGGTATTACTTGTTTATTTGTCATTCATAAGACCCTAGTTTAAGATGGTCTGCCTTCTCCTGAATTCACCTAGTGGACTGTGGGGGACAGCTTAATTGTATTGTATTACTTTTGGAAAATATATTTGTTTATATGTATTGTTCATACTTTACTCATTAAGAACTGTCATCATATGTGATTTGTTATACTGTCAGCATGTGTGATTATCCTCGAACATCTTGTACATATATTTTTCTTCATTTCTAATTTTTTGAGTAGGTGCCTCAAATCACAAGCGTGTTTGTAAGTACCTTGTAGGAAAAATAGTTTGTTAGCTGTTCGATGTGGGCTAATTTTGCAGGAAAACTAAACAACTGAACATCTAAATTGGTTTTGATAATATTGCCAGGTGACTCAGAAACAACGCTGAAGATATTGGTCTATTAGTTAGGATGCTTGAGCCACTCCAGCTCTTCTTATCAAAAGATCTTTAGATTTTTCAACTGTTTGATTTGGATTTATTTTTCCAAAAAACTAAATGAGTGAACATTTTAAATGCTTTTGAAAAAAAAAATTGTCAGGTGATTCAGAAACAAGCTTTGAATCTACCAGTCTGTTAGTTAGGATGCTTCAGCCACTCCACCTCTTGTTATCAAAAGAGGTTTAGATTGTCTTTACTTATTTGCATATTTTGAATGAATATGCAATTAATGTCATTGTTCTGCGCTGCAATCTTTTAGTTTGTTGACGCATAAATTACATTCTTTATTTTCTTTTGTGTTGCAGTTTTGAGCTCTATTTTCTCTTGTATATACCATCATTATCTCTATTCAAAACCTTAATTATGAGTAGAAGAAACTTTATAAACATAGATATCAGTCAGGAAATTATGAGGAACTATTTTGAGACAATTGGTAGCTTAACTTTTTGTTCATGATCAGAAGTTGTTTAGTATTTCTTTCCTGTCATTTATGAGGATTGAATTTGTAGCTGCGCAACTGCATATTTTTTATTGTTATGTCAATTAAAGATGCACTTCTCATAGATTTATATGAAACTATTTCTCTAAGCAGGGCTGTGGTGCCTATAATTCAGGGTTATGAAGATGCTGGGGACTTCACAGTGACAGAAAGATTGAAGACTAGTGTACATGTGAACTTAGTCTTCTACCTGTGTGTAGGTTCGGTCGCACTTTTTGGACTTATACTGCTCATCATGTTGCATAAAAACTGGTTTGTTTCTTGCCCTTCTCAACTAATTGTTGCAATTTTTATGAGTTTTGAACTTTTGCCACCAAGTTGTTTAAATTTTGTTTGTCTTTCTGTTCTTATTCACACGTGCATTTGGTTGGCAGGGTCTTTAGTATTAAAGCATTTGAATTGTTTGTTTGATAATGCTGTGAATGGTTGCGTGATGATAAATCTCTTCAAAATGGTTTAAATAATAACACTGTTTGAAGATAATGGTTAAGATTGAACGTTTTTAGGTTCTAAATTGTGAATAAACATATGTGAATGTAGTTTGTTGGGTTCTAATTTGCGTTGCTCTCTCTCATGCCATGTAAAAGGGACCAAAGGCATTGAACTTAGATGTTTGTTGGAGCAGTTTTAATTCAAATCGTTTGGTGATTCTTTCCCAAGGCCTCCAGTTGGCCAAGGCTTTATGGTGTTTTAGGCCTTTTGGCATGCTAGGAATGTGAGACACCTATGATCCTCCTTTAAGCGGATTGTAAAGAATAATAATTATGCATTCAGATTTTTCAAGTCAGTGACAATATGAATATGAGATGCATATTTATTTTCGTACTTGTATTTTGGGCATTTTGAGGGTTTTCACTTAGGGAAGGTTGTGAATGAGAAGTATTTGTTAAAAAAAAAAAAAAAGGGTTGTGAATGAGAAGCGACATATATTATTATGGTATCTTGTTACTACTACTTTCAATAGGTTCTATATTTTTGGAAGATTACTGAAGGAAGTTGTAGCATAGAATTCATGCTTTTCTTAAATTTATTTGGCATGTATGGTTGTCTTTATCTGTCTTAAAATCTTATTATATGCCTTTTCAACCACCATCAGTGCATGGTTTTTAACTTATACATCTTAGTTCCCTTTGATTCTTTTCAATATTTGTTTTGTCCATATCTTTCCTCAGATACTTGATATTGGGTATGCAGGAATAATAATCTTCTTGGTTTCGCCATGGGTTGTTCAAATACTTTTGGACTAGTTACTGGTGCATTTCTTCTTGGCTTTGGATTGAGTGAAATTCCGAAGGGTATTTGGAAAAACGCTGATTGGACCACTCGTCAAAAGATTCTCTCTCATAAAGTGGCTAAAATGGCTGTAAAACTTGATGATGCTCATCAAGAATTTTCAAATGCTATTGTAGTAAGTATTATTCCCCCTTTACAATGCAAATCTTTATTTTTTTGGCTTTCCACATATTGGAGTCATTAGGACAAAGTGCTTCACTGGAAAAATGATTTTGCTTCTGTTTTTTTGTTTTTTGGGAGGACTCGGAGGAGGAGAGAGATACGTCGGACCTAAATAGAGACTGAGGTTTTGAACAGTATTAATGTCGGGAGCTAAGAATGTCACTGTCTCAGTTGTTTTTCAAAGGAGACTGAGAATTTCTGAGTTGTATGTTTCATTCAATAGCTTTGCGAGTCAGCACATAATAAGTCTTGTACCAACTCCAATCAAAGGCAAACAAAAATTGGTTAATAGAATTATACACTTAAAAGTTTCACAAGTTGGATGCAGTCTGGTTTTCCCTCCTTTACGGGCTCATCAATGGGTCTACGTTCTATGTCTCTATACCACCTCAGTCTAGTTTCTCTTATTTTGTCACTAATGGGCGCTATTCCTTGAGTCTCCCTCACATTTTGATTAGCAACTCTTATCTTTTTTATTCACTCTTATCATCCATATCAACTCTTATCATCCACCTCAACATCCTCATTTCAGTCGCATATAATATAGCTGGCTTAATGACCGTCCTTTAAAGTTTTCCTTTTAATATGTTTGGTATTTTTATCAAATAAGATACCACTAGTTTGTCTCCATTTAGTCCAACCTATTCCAAACTTTCTAGTAATATCATCATCTATTTCCCCATTTTCTTGTATTACTGATCTTAAGTAACGAAAATGATGATTTTAGTGACCATATCTAGTGTTATATTATTACTTTTCGATTCTTTATTAACTTTACATTCCATATATTCTATCCTAGACTACTAATATTTAGACCTTTTGTTTCTAGTTTATTTCGCCAAGTTTGTAATTTGATACTCGAGTCTTCCTCGCAAACAACATGCACCATGGGATGTCTTCTTGTATATGTTTCGTTATTTCAGCCTTGATGCAAACCCTCCTTTATAGAGAAATTGTTAGTTTTCCCACATACACCTTCCCTAAATGAAAACCATGTGTAAATATATTTGCTCACTTCTACATTTTTCTATCAATTTCCTAAGTAAATGGCCTCCATAGTAGATCGTCCTGGCATAAATCCAAATTGATTTTCAGTCACTGTGGTTTCGTTTCTTATTCTTTGTTCTATAACCCTTTCCCATAATTTCATTGTACGAGTCATTAAAGTTTTTCCTCGATAAATACTATAAATTTGTATATCACCTTTATTTTTATAAATTGGAACAATTGTACTTTTTCTCCATTCATTTGGTTTTGTTCCTTCATTTAAGATTATGTTGAATAATTTTGTTAGGCATTCAATTCCCAATTGTCCCAAACTTCTATTATGTTGTCAGGTCCCACCACTTTTTTATTACCCATCTTTTTAAGTGCATCCTCTATTTCTCTCTTACCAATCTTATTTATCATTCCCTTATTATTTGCATCGAATATAATTTCTTATCTAAAATATTCCTCATACAAAAGTAGTTGAAACAATCTTTCTATCTATTTAATATGCCATCTCTTTAACTTTTTTATTTTGATTTATATCCTTAATGCATCTAATTTGATCCATGTCCTTAGCAATCTATCTCTATCTTTCCCAGTGTTAATATTATAAGCTAGATACATGATAGATTCATAAAAATACTTGTTTCTCATAATTATTTTTTTATAAGTGAAATGTAGTCATAATCTATGTTTGACAACAATTATTATTTTAAATTTACACATGATTTTTATATTATTATGCTTATTTGTATACATGTATACTAAATCTATATACATATGTACTAGGTTAAACAATATATTCATATTTATCCTTGTATCATCACCTTCTCTTTATTTTGCTTCTTGAAAGTTTATTCTATTGCTGAATTTGTACGCTTGGTATCAGTCTCCTGTATTTGTGTGTGCATGCTTCATAGCTTAAAGATCACCTATCATAATTAAGAGCCTAGTTGTTAGCTAAAACTTATTCCGTTTAGGTCATTCCACTAGGTTTTTATACATTTCAAGAACAGAAAGTTGTATGAATCTACTGTACAGCCCAACGAACAGTTTGTCAATTGTATTTTTTCTAGAGTGAATTATTGTTAATTTACCAACAGGTGTGAGAGTTGACTGAATGACTTCAAAACCAAATTTTGGATATTGTTGTCTGCTAAAGGGGATTTTATGCATGTCATTCCACCTGACTTGATTTTCACCAGTGTTAAACTTCACAGAACTACTTTAAACCCAACAGACTGTTTCTCAATTGAATTTTTCTAGAGAGGGTTATTGTAAATTTACCGAAAGGTGTCTGAGCTAACTGTTTCACCTACGGGACCAAATTTTGGTTTCTTTTTACGGAACACTCTACTGATTTACTTTGCAACCTAACAAATGAGCTGTCAATTGGATTTCTCTGGAGAGAGTTTATCAATTTACCAAGAGTTATTGTCAATCTACTTTATTGTCGGTGTATCAAGTGATTCGCCTAGTCAATTTCTTGGAAATGTAAATTATCCTAGATTTAATTTGTTGTTTGTGTTTTTAAATGTTAATATGTTTAGTCTTGCCATTTACCATGAGTTGTGACTTGTGAGCATCTGCTTTGCCGTATTGTCACATTTTTGTATTGATAAAGGATGATGTTAGGGTTTGCTAGAATAAAGAGAAGGGAGATGTTAAGTAGGGTTGTTAAAAGAGTGAGATTAGGATTTATCTTAATCACAATATATTATTATTGGAAGTGTGAATTTACATGTAAAAGAATTTGATGGGGCTAAGGACCAGAAAACGAGGCTTTGAAGTGCAAGGTTTGTGATCTAGTCCTAGAGGGAGGTTTGATCAGTGGAGTAATCAAATTTTCAAATTTAAAACTCACTTAACAAATTTTTTGTTTTGTTTTGTTTTTTTTTTCCCCTTGTTGATACTCACACACCTTATTAGACCTGATGCTTCCTGAGGCAGCAGTGCCAATTTCTTACCCACTTGAGCCAACCCTTGGGTTAACTTAACAAAAATTCAAAAACAACAAAAAACAGAACCTTTTCCTAATTACTTAGGGTCGGCTACATGAATCATGTTGTTTCATTCCGCTCTATCTAAGGCCATACCAAATTAATTCGTAGTAGGTAATAAAAATTTAATAATCCTTCAGTTATGAGCATATAAAGTAAAACAATGGACTCAAAGATTTTATGTGAACCCAGGGAGAAAAACCATAGGACCTAGTTCAGGTAAACCAAAATCTACTATGCAAGAAAGTAAGTGCAATCTTGGTTAACAAATTCTACCTCAAGAATCCCCCGGTTACCACTTAACATAAATGAACACCAAACCTTCCTCTGAAGGTCCCCAGGATGTCTGTATGCTTGTCAATAGCATCTGTTGCTCACGATTTTACTTCTCTAGTGATTTCAATTTTAGCAACTAGTCGTCTAGGCATCGATTTTTGTGCAAGGATTGAATAGCTGTGTTGAACTCTTCGTTAAAGTCTATAGCAACAATTGTCAACACATGATTCACACCCACCAACACTAGAATGATGAATGCAAAAAGAAAAATAATGATGCACTTTTAAGTTCACAAATAATGCTCTCTCCATGAATGTCACAAATCAAATGTAAATCAAATCACAACATTTTCTATAGCATAATCAAATCTCTGCTAATATGGTAAGTCATTCCATAATTTGTGGCTATCATATCTGCTAACACTCCTCCTCAAATTGGTGTGTGGATATTTAAAATGCCCAACTTGGACAATGCATCTTCAAACAGAGTCTTGCTAGCACCCTTCTTCAAAATCTACAAGTTGCAGAGTGCAAATCTGACTAGCGATGATTTTCTCTCAAATGAAGTGCCGATCAACAAATCAAAAATGTATCCTCGGACCATAAGCAGTTAACAATGTCTCCTCAGACCATAAACAACCAATCATGTCTCCTCAGACCGTAAACAACCAACAATGTCTCCTTAGACCATTTCCCTTTGCATGTTTAAAACATGTAGATGGAAGAATCAACAATGTCTTTTCAAACCATTCCCCTTCATACATATGTTTAAACAATGTAGATAAAATAATCAACAATGTCTCCTCAAACTATAAAAAAGAAACAACTATGTCTCCTCAGACCATTTCTGAAAGGGTGGTGCTAAACTCGCAACGCCCTCATTGAGGTTGGACCACCCTATCTACCCAACACCTCCCGGATGGGTGATGTCACCTTAGACTATTCCCGAATGGGTAGTGTCGAACTCGTAATTCCTTTATTGCAGTCAGACCACCCTGACTCTAATACCAAGTAGAAAGAAGAAATATAAAAAGAAGAAAAATGAGAGAATTGTGTAAAGGCTAGAATGAGATAATCACTCATTCACAGCTCTAGTATTTATAGATAAAAGAGCACATGCTTGTATTACAAGAAAGGAAATTAAATGAAATCGAAATCAAATCTAAGCATATTCTATGGCATAATCAAAATATATACTAATATGGTAAGACATTCTATAAACCGTGGCTAACATATCTGCTTACGCTCCCCCTCAAGTTGGTGTATGGATATCTTGGACAATGCATTCTCAAACACAATCTTGCTTGCTGATGCCCTTTGTAAGAATGTCTACAAGCTATTGAGAGCTTGTGACAAATGGAGTGCAAATCTGACTAGCGATGATTTTCTCTTAGATGAAGTGCCGATCAACAAATCAAAAATGTCTCTTCGGACAATAAACAATTAACAATGTCTCCTCAGACCATAAACAACCAATCGTGTCTCCTCAGACCATAAACAACCAATCATGTCTCCTCAGACCGTAAACAATCAACAATGTCTTTTTACTTATCAAAAACAAAAAAAAAAAACAATCAACAATGTCTTCTCAGACCATTTCCCTTCATACACATGTTTAAAACATGTAGATGGAAGAATCAACAATGTCTCCTCAGACCATTCCCCTTCATACATATGTTTAAACAACGTAGATGAAAGAATCAACAATGTCTCTCCTCAGACCATAAAAAGAAACAACTATGTCTCCTCGGGCCATTTATGAATAAGTGGTGCTAAACTCGCAATGCCCTCATTGAGGTCGGACCACCCTGCCTACCTTACACCTCCCGGATGGGCGATGTCACCTTAGATCATTCCCGAATGGGTGGTGCTGAACTCGCAATGCCCTCATTGCAGTCGGACCACCTTGGCTCTTATACCAAGAAGAAATATAAAAAGAAGAATAAGGAGAATAAATCAAATCTAAATCAAATCACAGCATATTTTATAGCAAACATATTTTATAGCGTACAAATCTCTGCTAATATGGTAAGTCATTCCATAAATTGTGGCCATCATATATGCTAACACTCCCCCTCAAATTGGTGAGTGGGTATCTGAGATGCTAACAATATCTAAGTAAGAGAGATGTATATATTCTACATAGCTGAGTGTATGTATATAAGCAAAGATGAGATGTAAAGATCTCATCAAAAAAAAAAAAAGAAGAGATATAAAGAGACTAGGGTTTATAGAGTTTAAAACCAACTTGGAGACTAATTTTTCAAACAATTTGATTGATCGAGAATACGTCAATCGATTGACTATACTCTAGAAGCCCTCGATTAATCGAAGTGTATTGTAACCTTTAGAAAATCAATTAGAAAGTTTTTATAAACTTAACCAATTCATGCTTTAAAAGATTTTAGGGAATGAAATAAGAATAAATCATGTAAACTTGGAAATCCTAATTATGCATGCATGAACTATAATTTGTTGAGTGCATCAATGTGTTGAATTACCTTTGTAGCCTCGTAGATGAAGATTACCTAATTACCCTTGAATGTAGCTTGCAATTTCTTCTTCGACCTTGGGAGGTAATAATTAACACTAAAATTTTAAATCTTATAACCTAAGTTAGAAATTAAAACAAAAGTTACATACTCCAATTTTGTTCTACAAAATTTTCCAACATAATTCTTAGGGTAAATTACACTGACCCTCCCCTGAGGTTTCGCCAATATACACGGACTTCCCCCATTGATTATCAAATTACACTGACCTCCCTTGAGGTTAGTATCTTCATGTTTCCGCCCGTTAACATCTGTTATTGGTCAGCGCGGTCGACGCGTGCAGATGATGATGTAAGTTTTTTTGGGGTTGAAAGTTCCAAAAGTGCCCTTTTATTTCGGTGTTGACAGATGTAATCCCACTTACTCAAATGAAATTACACAAATACCCTCCTGTGGTAAAAAAATGATATAATCGTCATTGTATTTTGGTTCTACAAGTTGGGTTCCCACACTCCCCTTCTTATCTCTCTCCCTCTTATGTATTTATAAGCTATTCTACAGTTTCTACCAGGAAAAGATCAATCTCAAGGCACAATTAGCTCGATACGCATATATATATATATAAATTTTATTCGATATTCAATGAGTGGTGAGTCTGAATTCAAACAACTAATCACTTTGGTCCCAAGCCATTAGAATACATTAAAATGAATGAAAAAAACACAAGGTATTTCATTATGCTAGTTTTGATTGGCCACGGAGTCTTTAGAGATATAGATACATCTAACAATAATAACCTGATACGAACCCACAAAGCGCTATTAGAAAATGAAACCTGCGATTTGTACATTAAAACCCTAAAACCAAACCAAACCAAACCCTCGCTGTGATGGTTTAGACGAACCCCAAAATCGAGCCCTTGATGCGAACCCTAACTAAAACCTCGATATGAACCATAGAATAGTGTATATAGTCATAAACCCTAAATAATATCTTCAATTTGAACCCTAATTGTGATGGTTTAGGCTACCAGAAACCCAAAATCAAACCCTAATCCAGACAAAGAGATGGAGAGTAACGTAGCGGAAACGATAAAGAATAGGTTTAAACCTTTGAATTCACAAAGAACAGACCCACAAGAAAGAAAACTGAAATTATATTGATAATATTCTGCTTGCAAACTTACATCTTTTGCCTTTATATAGGCAAGTCAAACATAAAAATAAAATAAAGCATCCGTGAAATAATACTAAAGGGGAAATTCAAAAAAGATATTTGATGGAGCAGAATTCTCCTTAAATCTTGCAATCTTTAATCAAGCTATACTAATGGGGAAATTCAAAAAGATATTTGCTGAGATTTGATGGAGCTAAATCCTCCTTAAATCTTGCAATCTTCAATCAAGCTATCTATTGTTGGCAACTACACCAGTCACGGTGTTGCCTATTGTGAACTCCACCACCAATCTTCCTTTTGACTTTTCCTTATTTATTTATTTATTTCTTCTATTCTCCTTACCTTTTCAGCCTCCCTGATTTGCGATGATCCTATATGCTTAGATAATCGTAAGCGAGCTGTTCTACATCAGAGAGATGGAGAGGAGTAAATGGGAGGAGTTTAATCGTAGTAGGTGAAAAATAGATTTGACAAAGGGTGATTTGACAGATGGGCATTTTGGTCTTTTCAAAAAAACATGTTTATTGTAATTTTTTTTTTTTTTTGATAAGTAAAAATTAAAAAAAAAAAACGCTCAGAAGGGGAGCGGAACCCAAGCAAATACAAAAGGCCACAAAGGCCTCAAGCCTTCAAAGAGGCTAAAAAATCAACTACTTCCTCCAAAGAACAATGATCTCTTCCTGAAACCCAACAAAAAAGAGTACAAATAATCGAGAATTTAAGTACCGAAATCGACAAAGCCTTTCCTTCAAAGAATCTCCCATTCCTTTCAAGCCATAAACACCACCACACAAAAAGCGGCGTAGCCCTCCACGCATCCTGACTGAGAGCCCCCACAGGGCAACCTCTCCACGCCTCAATCAATCCTCTAGCAGATCCAGGCAAAACCCAAGAAACACCAAATAAGCCAAGCATCAAAACCCAACACTCTCTAGCCAAAGGGCAATGAATAAGAAGGTGATTCACAGACTCCTCATCACTAAGACACATAGAGCAACGGTTGACCACCACCTGGCTTCTCCTTCTCAGATTATCCTGGGTTAAAATCCTACCCAGGACCGAAGTCCACACAAAGAAAGCCACCTTAAGAGGAGCCTTGGATCGCCAAACAGACTTCCAAGGGAAACGAACTCCAGGAACAAAAGAGAGGCACTTGAAGAAAGACCTCACCTCAAAGCGCCCCTGAGAGTTTGCAATCCAAGACCAACAGTCCGAATCCTCCTCCACAATCCTCTGGCGATATAACAACTCCAAGAAACGAATGACCTCCTCGACCTCCCAATCCTGAAAGGAACGCCTGAATCAAACATCCCAAACTAGTCTTCCATTATCAAGATGATAACAGTTAACCACCTTGGCCTGCTTATCCGTAGCAATCCTGTAAAGCTGAGAAAAGGCGAGGGCAAGAGACATATCTCCACACCACACATCCTCCCAGAAGCGAATCCTCCTCCCATCTCTGAGACGAAACCGAATGTGCTTGGAAAAATCATCCCAACCCTTTCGAATAAATTTCCAAACCCCCACCCCCCGAGGATCTCTAACTTCCAAAGAACTCCACCCTCCTCTCATTTCCCCAAAACGACATGCCACAACCCTCCTCCAAATCCGATGTCTCTCCACCCCAAACCTCCACAACCATTTCCCAAGGAGGGCCTTAAGTTTCATTTGGTGAGATGGGACCAAGTTTGCAGGCCAATTCGCAATGGTGGGTTAGGTCTCTGTAAATACTATATATATACAAAAAGGCAGAGATGTAATTACACAAGAATCGTTAATGCCATCCAACCGACAGGTGTGACACAGTGACAGGGAGGTCAGTGTAATTTGGCAATCAAGGGGGGAGGTCCATGTATATTGTCGAAACCAACCTCAGGGGAGGTCAGTGCAATTTACACTGATTGTTATTGACTTAACGGAATTGAGTTATTAAAGGTGGAGGCAACATCCTCTTAATTTTGGCAATGATAAAAATTATTTTTCTTAGAAACCACCATAATGTTATTAATGTGGCTTATTCTATATATATATATATATATATATATATATATATATATATATATATATATTCTAGCCTAAATGGCCTTGGAACCTATCCTTAGACCGATGCCTAGTCCTAGGCTAGCATAATGGGAAGATTTGCATTGTCGCCTTTGATATCAATTATATATCATAATTGTCTAGCATTCTGTTGAAGCATATAAAACTTGAATGATGATTTGATATGAAATCTCTCTCTCTCTCTCTCCCTCTCTCTCTCAACTGTCCAAACTGGCATATTCTGATGGTTTATTGAATTAGGTTGCTCAAGCAACGTCAAAGCAAATGTCCAAGCGTGATCCTTTGCGACCATACATGAATATTATTGACAATATGTTGCTTCAGATGGTAATTTTTTGATCTTGTGTGTTTTATGGCTGGAAATACATATAGTTCTGATATACTCTTAACCTTTTCACAATTTCTCTTTTCCAGTTCAGAGAAGACCCCTCTTTCAAACCACAAGGTGGAAGATTAGGTGAAAATGATATGGATTATGACACCGATGAAAAATCAATGGCGACTCTTAGGCGTCAACTTAGGAGAGCTCAAGAGGAATACTACCGATATAGAAGGTACATGCTAACAGAACTACTGAAGTGATTTTGGTGGTTGTATTTGCCAAATAATTCTTTTAAGGTTCAATCTGCATGCTATAATTGATTTGGGTATATTGATGTGCTTATTTATTTAATTTGTTTTTCCTAGATTAGCCGTGGCCAACTATTACTTTTGATTGGAATTGGTTGTTATTATGTTAATCGGTTTCTCAACATTAAGGCTATTTTATTGTGTTTTATTCCTTTGGACTGTCATTTTCACTTGGGTTAATTGCACATAACCCTCTATAGTATCAATTTATTACGCTTTACTCCCCTGTACTAAGTTCTTGGCAAATATTCTCCTTCTCTACCCCAAAAAGATAATAATAACAAAACAAAACCAAAAAACACAGCCCCCTTACAGTCACATGGCTAGGGCTGCAAATGAACCGAGCCGTTCTTGAACAGTTCAGGCTCGGCTCGTTAAAAGCTCGGCTCGGGCTCATTCGTGACATAAACGATCCGAGCTTGAGCAATGCTGAGCTTGGCTCATTAGGATTGTTTAAGAAGCCCATTATATTCTTATTTTTATATTGAAGATGGTAGCTCATATATATTTCAGAAGTGTGGCCCAAAGTTCCTTATGTTTTAAGCCTACTTGTTAAGGCCCATAAAACTAATACCATATAAGCCATTAGATTACATTAAAATCCAACGGCCCTAAACAAACTTTAGGACAACATATACCCAATTCACTTCACTATCACTTGAAACCCTAATGGCCGCATCCACACTTCGCTTTCTCTCACACTGGATATGAATTATTTCTCTCAAATATCTCTCCATCTTCTCACTCTTTCTCTTTCATCTTTCTCTCAAATATCTCTCTATCTTCTCACTCTTTCTCTTTCATCTTGGTTTCAACTTTGAAGAAGACCAACAAGTGCCATACACATCACTAGCCCAGAACACAGACGATGGTTGAGAATCAAGCGCTGACGGAGATCGACGGCCATGGGACTTTCATCTTCTAAGTATGTGTGTACATATATAAACAGATCTTGAGATGTTTTTGTGTGTATATACGCATGTGGTTGTGTACACACACACACACACACACATAAACTAGCTTGAGCCGAGCCCGAGCCCAACCAAACAAGGACGAGCCGGGCCCGAACATACCCTAGCCAAGCTCATCCGAGCCCGAGCCAAGCCCGAGCAAGTCTTTGATTTTGGCGAGCTGAACCCGAACAACCCCAAGCTCGGCTCGGCTCGGCTCATTTGCAGCCCTACACATGGCTATTAGGAATAAGGTAAAATGACTTTATTCCCTCGTGTAAGAGAAAAAATTTGATATTACATTTTAATTGAAAACTGTAAAAGTACATAATTGCCCAAAGGCATATGTCGTCACATAGAATTGGAATCGAAAATTTAGGAAATATTTTTGTAAAATATAGTTCATTTTGTTTTTGGTAAATAATATAAGTTCCTTTTTTCGCAAATAGTGGCATATATTTTTGTCAATATATAGGTAAAAACGTCTTCTAAAGCTTACAATATCACTTTCTGACATTATATTAACAGTCATGGGACAGTAAGGTGCTATGTGCAAACTCTTTTTAAGATCAATGGGTTATTTGCCAAAAACGTAGTATGGGGGGGAGAAATGAAGAGGTGGAATAAATCCTTCTTCTTTTTTTTCTTTTTTCTTTTTTTTTGGGGTAGCCTTTTCCTTGTTTTGCCTCCTTGCTATCCTAGTTAGCAAATTCGGGAATCACACGCAACTTATACACGTACAAATGTTTCTTTAGGAAATACTCTCGTTTGTCGATTAGTTTTGAAAGATGTGGTAAAAATTTTACCTTAAAATCGAATGAAACTCTTTAATCGGTCTACCTTATAATAGTTGAGCATTCAATTCGTTTTTTAGATTGCCCTATACCCCAAACTTTTTTCCTTTCTTTTTGCAAATTCTAATTCATATTTTGCTCAAAGACAAATATAAAAGTCAAAGATAACTAAGAATTTAATCTAGAATCTCCTTCTGGTCTCTTTCTCACAAGTTCTATGACAATGTTCGATGCACCCATATTTAAACATTTTATATTCCATTACTTGATCAAACACTACTGTTCATGTCTTGTAGTGATCAAGACAGCGGGCTTAGGGGAAAAGAAAAAAAAAATAAAAATAAAAAAATTCAGAGAGAGAACCTGTCATCCCTCTTCAGCGTCAATTGGCATAGTCAATGCATTCATTGTTGATTTCATAGCTGGTCTAAAAAGAGTGAAAAAAATTGGTGATTCGATGCAAAAGGCGGTAGTTTACGCCTTCAGAATTTGTGTTTGAGAAAAATATGGAATCAGAATTTGTGTTTGAGCAAAATATGGAATTAGAATGACAAAAGGATGGGGAAAAGGGTTGGGATACAAGTCAATCTAAAAATCGAATTGAACGCTAGACGAATCAAAGAGTTTCATATAGTTTCAAGATGTGGGAGTATTTTCTAAAAACGCGTACATTCACATATAAATCATACATGTATAAATCTTGTATGATTCACGAATTTGCTAACTAGGGTGCATACAGTTTGATCTTAAAGGAACCTGAGCTAATACATAACATTTTAGTTATATGCTTGTATCATTATTATCCTCGCCTTTATTACTCCATTATCCCATATAAATGGAGTCAACCATTTGATTTTTCTTTTTCCATTCTTTTCTATTACAAGCCATATCTCATGTTATATATAGTCTTGTTACTAATTTTTGGTCACACGTTGATTATTAATCCTCTCTCTTCTAAAGTCACTTTTAACATCCATATCAAAATTTTCAGTTACATGAATGCGTCGTTCTTATTTCTTTTTTAACCACCCAACATTCTGCTTTGCCTTTTTTAGCTACATTCTTGTATATTAGCTTTTAAAAGTTTAAAAAGGAAGAATATATTTCAAAGAGTTTGTGTTTATTGTGTGTAAAGTATCCCAATTTTTTTTTCAATCCTTATTTGTGCGTTCTATGGTTATTTAAATAATTCATTACTACTTCATTGCATAATTATGCATTTACTGTGGAAAGAATACATTACACAATGTTCTTATTTCTTTTTTAACCACCCAACAGTCTGCTTTGTCTCATTTTAGCTACTTGTATATTAGCTTCTAAAAGTTTGAAAAAAAAGAATGCATCTCAAAGAATTTGTTTGTTTATTATGTGTAAAGTTTCCCATTTTTGGCTTTCAATCCTGGTGCATTTTATAGAATTTTTTTCAAAGAGTTTGTATGTTTGTTGTGTGTAAAGTTTCCCATTTTTGTTTTTCAATCCTGACTTATGCATTCTATGGTTATAAATAATTAATTACTACCTTAGCATAATTATGCACTAACAGTATAAATATTTATTAGACTTGTATAAGAAATAGGTTCTCCAATTAGGTAGTGCTCTTATCTGACATTTTAATAGTAAAGGAAACTTGGTAATTCACTAGTGACATTCATTATTCAATTGCCCTTGATGTATACAAACACTTGTTTATTTATTAAATTTTAATTATGAATGATTTTTTAAAATTTATTTTCAATGGTATTTCTATTAAGTTTTTATTTTTTATTTTTTTTATTACCATTTGCAGTGAATACATGAATTTTGTTACTGAGGCCCTTGAGCTGGAAGACACCATGAAGAATTATGATCGTCGCGATGCGACTGGATGGTTCGCCCTCAATCCAGGCTTGTTTTTCCTTTCACTGAAGCTCTACATAGTTTTTGCTAATATACATATCACTCATCTCTTAGGAATGCAGGGAACCTATTTGACATGCGTTCATACTGTATCGTCCCTGCACAGTTATTTTATCTTTTTTGGTAGCCTGTCTTTCTTTGTATAATTTAACAATCTTTCATGACTTATCACTTATTTCCTTGTGCTTACAATCATTCTATGGTCCTGCATCAATCTGAGACAGTACGTTATTCTCCTCGTATTTCATAGTTCCCTTGGTCTTATGTTTGATTATAATATAATTATGCTGATTAAAATTATGTTTACATCATCGTAATATTTGAACAGTGAAATTGTTTTCTGCTGCATTTTCCAATACGCCGTCCTTGTGTTTATGGAGTTGAGTGTTACGTGGTGTTGATATCTTTGGATAGTGCCTGTTGTGCTTATTTCCTGGATATTTATGAAGATATTAAGAATGATTATTCTTTTTATTTGGGACAGTAATCAATACAGAGGGAGGAGTCTATGATGACCATGTCTAAGAAATTTTATTGTGATGCATGTGTCGCAGAGGTGCTTTGGAGTATTGGTCATCATGCACACCTATTATATTGGGAGGAAATAATGGAGGATGGCCTTAAACTAGACTTTTATGGTACATAAATTTTAAATAGTCAAGTGGCTTTTGTTATGAAGTTCTTTTATGAGGATTTTCATACATAAGTGGCAGGTAAGAATGGATGTGTAAGTGACTTGTGAGAAGTTGTTAGTGGCAATGATTGGGGCAAAATGAATTAATTAATAGGGAGTGGAGAAAGCAATCACTGCAATTGTAAGGTGTGTAACGCGTAGAAGATAATGAGGATAAGTGAAAGTCACAAGGGTAAGTGACAGAGTTTGGTGAAAATGAATATATGCCTTTAACCTAAGTAATAACAATAAGAAAGGACCTAGCTGAAGGTTGTTTTTTAGCTGATTTTGAAATAAAATTCAATGTGTGTTTTTTATGTAAAATAAATCATTAAAGAGGTTCAAAGGGGGGCACAACTCGGACACACACTGTATGTGTGTCTCTAAAAGGAGCAAACATCTAGACAGCTAATATTCCCTAACATACCTATTTTACTAGGACTTGGATACGAGTTTTGGATGCTGATGTATGTCTCTATGTTGGACCTTCCTGAATCTCTAATCTTATGGTAAAACATGTCCTAAAATTGGGTACACACAGACATGTTCTATACATTTAAACTCACACACCCATTTGTCCAGAAGCTCTTTCATCTTCCTAAGTTTACCTATTCCATTCCTTTGAAATTCACCACCAAATAAAAGGGGTGCTGCTCTCTATGCCTGCCTATTTCTCCTTCAGACCTTGTATCCTATTCCAGTCCCTTTATGCCTTAAACACTGATATCGTCGTGACCCAATGGATCCTAAACACAGAGCAGGAAGTCCACAACTCTCTAGTCACAAGACAACGTAAACATGCAACAACAGTTTGGGAGAACCTTACTATTTTTACTCAATTGTGAATGGTCAAATTTTTACTTCAACTCTTAGTTGTGTATATTGTAGAAATTAACAGGAAGGAGCTGAGCATAGCATCCCATTTCTCTCTCTTCTGATATGTTGATGTTCCCAATTTGATTATTTTGAACTTGATAATTATTGTGTCAAATTAAGGAGATCATGGACCAAGCCGAAAATTACATAACATTGCTAGTCTTATTACATGCTGCCTGCGACACTGTAGTGCATACTCTACAATTGAGCTAAGGTTAATTTCATCAATAATACTACACATGACTTCTTTCTGTTGCATGTGTGGCAAGTGTAACTTCATGTTTGTTTCTTTTGATTGTCGATATCTATTTTTTTATTTTTTTCTTTTTGCAGGAAATTTATCTCAAGCTTCAGGCCTGAACGTAGGGGCAAACTTGGATCTCTTTTTGATATGACTGGTAATTATCAAAATTTAAAGTTGTTTCTTAAGTAGATCAATTTTGTGAAATTATTTGATCTGCTTTTGCATTTTTTTACTAAAGCGCTGGCCTTTTATTATGGGGGTTGAAACCCAGCTGCATTTTCATGAAATATAGTACCTATTTTGGTCCTTGCGTTAATTTTATAATTCTTACTATGTTCTTAACTTGTGTTTTTAGTCTTGATTGACACTTAGGAGACTGGATAACTGCATTAAAAGAAAGAGCAAACCATTCCATCTATTATTGCATTGAAATTGAAGAGAGTCCTTTCTTAAGAATGCCTTGGGAAACAAAACAGCATCATATAAGATACTAGATGAAATAGAAACAATATTATTTCTTTTCTTAGGTGGTGTTCACATTTTAACTAAATAATATTGATTCTCAAGTGATTGGTAATTGCTTGCAGAGTTGGTTTGGCGGTGTGTACTAAGGAAGCAACTTAAGAAACTATTGGCCATTATGTTGGGTTGCATGTCAGTTGCTATTCTTCTGGCTGAGGCTACTTTACTTCCTAGTGGAGTTGATTTATCTCTATTCTCCATTCTTATAAACACAGTAAGGAATCAAGAGGGGCTCCTGCAGGTAATTTTTGTTACAAATTTTTTTTGTTAAGTTTTTTAACTTCCACAATTACATTTTTGGTGGAAAACAAATCTTCAATTTCTAGAAGTAAAAATTTCATCTGCTGATGACCACTGTAGGAATGTAAGATCGTTACCCAAGGCTCCGGTATGACAGAGTGTGAGTGGTGACTTAGGCCTAGAAGAAGAGGGGGAGGGGGGGTTTGAAATAGCTCTTATAGATATTATTTTGCAGCAGACTAACTTTTTGAATTACTGTTGATCCTTGTTTAATTTAATTAGTTAGTTATTATGATTGTGAGTTGGATTTTTGTTTACATCCGTTAGGTTTGAAATTCCTTCAACACAACCACAATCATGCATCCATAATAAGTAAAGGAGAGCAGAGACAATATTTTAATGTAAAAAACCCTAAAGGATGAAAAACCATGCGACTTATTCCAGTCGAGATCAATTCACTATATGATAAAGAAGTTAACAATTAGATTAACCGAGGGACTTATATCCAAGTGAATTTTCCTGTGTTATCATGCATTGATATACATATATATTTTCCTTTTTCCTGCAGATAGCTGCGTTCGTTCCTCTGATGTATATGTGTGTGTGCACATATTATTCCTTATTCAAAATTGGAATGTTGACGTTTTACTCACTGACGCCAAGACAAACGAGTTCTGTCAGCTTGCTTATGATATGCTCGTATGTTTTTTCTTTTATTTGTTTTGATAATGGAAGAAATTTATTTAAGGTTTTTCTTTTGTGATGATTATGATAATAAATTTCATATCTCTACCAGGATGGTTGCAAGATATGCGCCTCCAATTTCGTACAACTTCCTCAATCTTATTAGTCTTGGCAAGGATGCCAAGAAGACTATCTTTGAACAGGTCAGTCCTTTTTGTGTCGATCTTTTGATTTCTAGTATCCATACCATCTTTGGTTTACAGCATCCTTTAATATGCAGATTATAAATAGTCCGACTTATATTCTTTATATTTTATACGAGAGGTGTCATTCATGCATCGATTCCAGATAAGGCTTTGATGATCATTTTAGATATATCAGTAGAAGTGTACATAAACTCAGATATTGAAAATTCGAACCCAAGATAAACCCTGATCAAAATTTATTTTTCCTTTTAGACCTCTACGGACAATGGAAGTGGAACCAAATATATATATTTATAGGTTAAGATGTGCATATGCTATTTTACGTGGACTTTTAAAAAAAATGCATGAACTACCTGTGGCAGACAGTAGATGCACAAACATGAGAATAAGAGATTTGTTTGACAATTATGGACATGCATCTAAGAAGGATATCCAACAACTCAAATTCATTATAAAAACTCTTTTATTTTGTTCCTTTTGATTCAGAATGAGTGAAAACACATTTTTTTTTTTTTTTCTTCTAGAAAATAAAAGAAAATAAATAATATGAATATTTAATCGTCTCCTTGTGTCCCGGTTTTGGGCTAAACCAGACGCTTTGACTCATACGTGTTCCCAACTTATGTATTTGATTCCATGTAACATAGTCTATATGTTTGCAATAGAACTTTAAGCATTTGGCAGTTAGGCAAATTACTGTTTGAAAGAGTTTAAAAGAGAGAGAGGGCTGGTTAACCTTTTTAGAGGTTTGATGGGCTAAAGTTGTAATGTTTTTCCGCTGAATATTCATCTGTCTGTCATGTAGATTTGTACATGAGTCCTTACCCCTGTAATTTCAAATACTCCCTCCATCCCATTTTAAGTGTATTAAGGACATAGATAATACGATATTAGACAAAGAAAATGAGATACTACTAAGACGGAAAAGCTACTTTCAAAATCTAATAAATGGGGAATACCCTAGAGAAGAAGTTGAAGTACATGAATTTAACATAGGAATGATAAACAAGATCACCAATAAAGAAGGAAGTGTAGAGGACACACTTCAGAAGATGGGGAGTAATAAAATGGAAGGCCCTAATAATATACCCATATAAGCTTGCAGAACATCAGGGAAGGTAGGAATTGAGTGGCTAACAAAGTTTTTTAACAGCATTCTAAAAGAAGGTATGGTGCCAAATAAGTGGAGGAAAAGTACAATAATACCAATATACGAAAATAAAGGGGATATACAAAATCGTGATGATTATAGAAGAATTAAATTAATGAGTCATGCGATAAAACTATGGGAAATGATAGAACAAATATTAAGGAAGGAATTCACTTATCCGAAAACCAATTCGGATTCATGTCAGGAAGATGAACAATGGAAGCTATATCTTTATTTAGACAATTAGTTGAATGAGTGTAGGAGTCTGCAAAATGATGTACATATGGGTTTTAAAGACGTAGAAAAGTGTATGATAGGATTCCAAGAAATATAATTTGCTGGGTCCTAGAAAGAAAGCAAACTCTCATGCAAATAATATAGAGTATGCAAGATATGTATATGGACACAATTACAAGATTTTGTAGTGTGTGTGGTGAAACTAGTGAGTTCTTTATAAATGTAGGAGATAGAAACAGCATAATTCTATAAACTAGTGAGTTCTCATGCCCTTTTTTGAGTAAATGATTTGAGATCAATTAATATGTAATGCTTGAAAAAAAGGGAGGGCGAATTGCCAAAAAAAAAAAAAACCCTTGATTTGGGATCATGGTCGTGGTGTATTACAGATCGGAGGCTCTGTCCATGGCGTCGTTCGTCCCACGGTTTGATCGGGGCACCAAGAATTCATTGGCCGTGAAGGCCACGTTTGTTGCATCGTCGACTTTTGTCAAAGGGTGGGTAGTGAATGCCATCAATCAGGAGCGGAAGCATGGGGGTGCGGGGTTCAATTTGAGGTTCTTTGGTTGGGTTAGGTTCAAGGTCAGTGCGTGGAAGACTAGATGGCAGTTCACAAGGGTTTATTGCCCAGACTTCCATGTTGGGATCGCATCGAATGGTGCTGGTGGGAAATTAACTGGTGGATCCAGGCAATGCACGGTTTATTTGTGAGTAATTTTTATGTGTTTGCTCTTTGTTCTAAATGACAAATTATGATACCATATATTTTTCTGGGAACTACGTTATGCCTTCAATGTAATATGAATGCACAAGGCTTTAATGTTGTTGATTTACGCTCTGGTACCATTTTTGTTTGTTTTGATATGTTGGTTTGTACCAAATTGCCCACATCGATCGACTGTATTTGATCTATAATTTATCTCTTTAGATCTATAATTGATTTATTGTGTTTCTTTTTCTTTTTCTTTTTCTTTTTTCGCCCCGGGGAATTCTAAGTTTGGATGTCCCCAAATACTTTGAAAGGCCACATTCCTTTTTCTGTATTTGGAGGCATCCAAACTTAGACTTCCCCGGGGTGAAAAATGAAAAAGAATTGTAGATCTAAACAGATAAATTATAGACCAAATACAATCAATCAATGTGGGAATTTGGCGCAAACCAACATATCAAAACAAACAAAAAGAGTACAGGAGTCTAAATCAACAACCTAAGAGCCTTGTGCATACATATTATACTGAAAGCCTTGTGCATACATATTATACTGAAGACATAATGTGGTTCCCAGAAAAATCTATGGTTACATAATTTGTCATTTAGAACAAAGAGAAAACACAATGCATAAAATTACTCACAAATATACCGTGCACTGTCTTGATCCACCAGTTAATTTCCCACCAGGACTATTCGATGCAATCCCAACATCGGGTGCCAATTATTCTTCCACGCATCGACCTTAAACATTCACAACCCACCCTACGAAACAGCAAACGTGGCACTCAGGCCGTCTGATTCTTGGTGCCTTAATCGAACCGTGTGATGAACGTCACCGTGGACAGAGCTGTAATACACCACAGCCAGGATCTCAAATCAAGGTTTTTTATTTTATTTTATTTTTTTTTATTTTTTTTTTTTTTGCAATTTGCCTTTATATATATATATATATATAGCGCCAACATTGTTCAATCTTGGCTCGGGCTTGGTGGTTTAGTAAACGAGGCGAGCTCGATCTCGATCTCTTTCCTCGTTTACTAAACAAGCCGAGCCTAAACAATGTTGAGCTCGGCTCGTGAACATGCTTGTTTAGTTAGAATCCCATTTACATTTCAATTTTCACATTTAAAACATTTAGTCAATATGATATAAGTTTGGCCAAACTCACTAGTAAGGCCCAAAGAATTCATTAACCCATCATCCCACATGATATAAGATTCCAGCTCAGCATTTGGATTTAAACCCATATCAGCCATTGAATTCTAAAGGAAAAGGGATAACTGATAAGAAAAAAACCCTAGAAGACTACAATCTATCGCCTCAAACGTTCTCCAGCATCTCTGCCGCAAACGTTCTCCAGATCCACCGTGTACCCTGCCGGCAGCCCACTGCATACCCCATTTCTTAGATCTCTCTCTATCTCCCCCACTCTTTCTCTAGCAAATGGATCTTAAGGTGGAGCTACAATGGAAGATATACTACAGTTTCTAAAACCATGTAAGATTTTATTTACTTCTTGAAAGTTTGTTCTTTATTTGTTCTGTTTCTTTCTTGTCGGAGATTGAGATGCATTTCATGAAGAAGATGTTGTGATTTATCTCATCAGTGATTTGTTGGGTATGTATCTAAGCCTGAGCCGATCTGAACCCGAGCTTGGCTGGAATGGCTCTCTATAAGTGACAAACCGAGCCCGACAACCCATGGCTCGGCTCGGCTCACAACCCTAGTAGGGAGTGGTGGCCATCGTGGTTGGGGGTGGTGGTGTTCGGAGGTTATCTCAGGGGAGGTTAATGTATTTAGTAATTTAACCCTTAATCAAACTAAAACGGAATATATGGAATATAAATTCAATAAAGAATCGGATAACACGTGATAACAGAAACATTACTCAAAATAACCACTTTCGTTATGGAGAGAGAGATTGTAATATAACTAGTAGAATTGGATCAAGGTTGACAAAATGGAGACAAGCTAGTGGCATCTTTATGTGATAAAAGAGAAAATTCTATAGGACAGTTATTAGGCCATCTGTGCTTTATGGAGTGGAATTTGGGGCTTTAAAAAAGAAACGAGAACGTCTTCATGTAGCTGAAATGAGAATTCTAAGATGGATGGTTGGAGTGATTAGAAGAGATAGGGTCATAAATGAAAAGTTTAAAAGAAAAATTAGGTAACTCAAAATAACCACTTTCGTTATGGAGAGAGAGATTGTAATATGACCAGTAGAATTGGATCAAGGTTGACAAAATGGAGACAAGCTAGTGGCATCTTTATGTGATAAAAGAGAAAATTCTATAGGACAGTTATTAGGCCATCTGTGCTTTATGGAGCGGAGTTTTGGGCTTTAGAAAAGAGACGAGAATGTCTTCATGTAGCTGAAATGAGAATTCTAAGATGGATGGTTGGAGTGATTAGAAGAGATAGGGTCACAAATGAAAAGTTTAAAAGAAAAATTAGGTGTGGCAGACTTGGATGGTTTGAGCACATACACTAGAGACTTATAGATGCACCGGTGAGAAGAGAAAGTTTAATTTCCATAGAACGTAAGAGATGGAAGGGAGACCAAAAATAATTTGGGATGAAGTTCTAAAAATGACTTTAAAAAGTTAAACATAGTCATTAGTTGATATGGCGGGTAATAGAAATGAATGGAGACAAAGGATTCATGTGGCTGGTCCAATTCATATGTGAATAAGGCAAGGATGATGATGATTCTATTATCTGCATTCATCTCTTAGTTTAGAAATGGTAGTGTATTTTCTCCTCTCTTAATTATTGACTGTACAACACAAAGCATTAACAAATCTCTGTTTCATGTGCAGAGAATGGGGAATATCGATCATGCTGTTCCTTTCTTTGGCAAAGGATTCAATAAAATCTATCCACTTATCATGGTTATGTACACAATATTGATTGCAAGCAATTTTTTTGATCGGGTCATTAATTATTTTGGAAACTGGAAGATATTCAGCTTCCAAAGCGAATCTGATGATATAGATGGATTCAATCCATCAGGATTAATTATTTTGCAGAAAGGTGAGTAAATTATGACATCATGACTCTTGCGGATCACGTAGTTGACATCACTCTTTTTATTGCGTTAAGCAATTATGGGCATTTGGAAATTCTCAGTTCTTCAACCTTGGAGCTAAGGGCTACTATATCAAAAAACTAAAGAAAGGGAACAGTTTGTTTAGTTTTCTTTTCTTTTCTATAATTGCAGAATTGGTATATTGTTGCTCGAATATTGTAAATTATGTTATTTTTCCTTTTTGTAGAACGGTCTTGGCTTGAACAAGGACATAAAGTTGGTGAACTTGTTATTCCATTAGCAAGGAATTTCAACAGCGTGAGTATGGATCTCGAGACTAGCAGCAATAGCACGGTATGTAAATCCCAGAAGTATAAGAACCACTTCTCATTTGTTTGTCGTTAACAAAGCATGCCATTTAAAATGCCAGCGTATTTGGGACTTAAAATGCATTATTTTTTTATTCTTCCAAGCTATGTTTTATTTGGCACATGCTTGGACACTAAATGAAGTACCTTTACTCAAATAACATGGATAGAAGCTTCTCGTTTTTTTGAAATTTTTTTTATCAAATTAATCATAGTTGTTCTACCATGGCACAAATAGAAACTTGCCGTGGCTGGCAGCTCATGTGGTACAACATGTGCTGTGCCTTCAGGCCTTATACAATGCTCTTGAACCTACGAAGCTGTTTCTTTAAAATAAAAATAAAAAATTAATTATTATTTTTACACAATATGGTACCTTTATATCACGTCTGAACTTGGAAATGGTATTTGGAAAGGTTGCTGTTGAAATGGAAGGGACAACTGGTTTGATGGACGATGGAAAAAGAGGTTATTCAAAACTTTCAAGAGCAGAGCCCGAACATGAAACTAGCAGAGAAGCCATCAGCAGAAAGTACACAGCAATAAGGTCACAACAGGGTAAACAGGAGACCAATTTAAATTCGACAGGGAAAAACTTAGCCCCCTCCACAGCCTCTTTATCTGAAACAGGCAACTCTCAGAACATGGCAGTTGAACCATCTTCTGGATTAGCCTCAACGTGGCAATCAATGAAGACAGGTTTTAAAAATCTGAAGTCTAATATAGAGGCCAAGAAATTCCTTCCTTTACCACAGGTTCAGGATAAACACTCGAGAGTTTCATCATCTGAATCCCTTGATGAAATATTCCAGAGATTGCAACATCCAACTGTAGACCGTAGGAATTATGCTGCTGATGATTATGATATTGATGATCATTCAATGGACATCAGGAAGCCAGGGCCCACCAGATGACAGATACTTCACACTTCCACAGGAAACAGTTGATTAGAAGTGGTGAAAATTCTGCAAGTGGTTGTAGATTTTGTTTCAGAATACCTACAAGATGTGCAGATTCTGCAGATGTTTCGATGCTGCCAATCAATCCACCAAAAAAATTTCCCACTCAGAAAAGCCTACAGCCGGCAAGAGGGGCATACAGTTAAAACTATACACGGGCATCACTTGTATACAACAAAAAACAGCCTATGATTTGAATTATATTAATTTGTAGTTATTCATGAAAAATATATATATATTGTAGACCAAAGCTTGTAATTGTTACCATTGAATGCTGCATTGAATTCGTAAGGATGCAAATGAAAATATTTGTTCAATGAATATAATGCTTTTTTTCTTCTAAAAATTGAAGTTCTCGTTATAGATGTCTTCATGTTCTCCTTTTTCCATCAAAGTGTAAGACATCCCAAAGTTGTGGCCTAAGGCCTAAAGTGTCCCTCACCAAGTTCGATTCCTCCACTCTCCCAACTAACTATTGTGGGGCGAAAAAAAACAATACTCAACACAGAAATTGTAATTGAGGACTGTTTTCTCAATTGCAACTTCGTCCTGGTTTCTTTAGGCGGATAAATGTGTCCTCATAAGCAATAAATTGGTATGCTAGTCCCGTCTTTTTTTTTTTTTGGGTAAGAAAAATGCCATGCCATACAGCATTACAAACACCGTCATAAGTGTACAAAGGCAAACAAATCAAGAAGCAATACAATAAAAACTGAAGAACAGGCCTCCGATTTATTAAGAAACAAGTCAAAAAACACAAGCAGACTACCCAGGGAGAAGAGCAGCAACGGGAGTGACCCAAAGGTCATGCCATCATCAAGGCAACAATTCCAAGGCTGTATCCACAAGGCACAGCCAACTGGGGAAAAAATCACCCAAACCCTGCACAAAAGGCGGAGACACCAAAACCCAACATAGATTAGGGATCTAACCCGAGACAAAACCCACTGAGCAAAACTATTTACACCACGCCGAGTTTATTTATCGGTGGGAGGCAAGGATCGGCCCCTCCCCACCCCTATGGGAGGGAGTGGGGAGCAGAAGATAGCAGATGAAAGGGAGGCAGCTGAGGTTAGAGAGAGGCGAGAGAAAAAGTAGAGAGAGAAAGAAAGGCGGTCCGATTAAGCAGATCAAAGGTTATATATGTATGGTACAGTCCATCTTGTTAATTCGTTCAAAACACATTTGCAATGTTCAGGAACAAATGCATTTGCTACTCTCGATGGTATAAATATCATGTCAATGTCAGCACCAAATGATGGCAAAGCGAAAGATGTGTTCACGTAGATATTAGTGACCGATTGTTTTAGGATTTGTCCGCTGTATTATTTTACACGTCGTTGATATTTGGTTCCTACTTCTGATCGGTTGTGTTGTACTATAATACACCAACCTTGTCAACGTTGTTCAAAGCCATTTTTTTTATGACGCTCATGGTACATTAATCTCCATTTTGATTAATCCACTAAAGATTTAACTCGACTATATTCATGTTGCAGAGCGCGCATGCAATAAACTATTCATCAAGGTTTTTAAAAGGACGGTTCTGCATGTCTGAGAAAGTTAATATGGTATATTTTAGTTTGATCGATTCATGCTGCATTCAAGTAACTTTCCTAAATTAGTAATGTTCTTTATGGGATCATACCACCACAAATACATAAAAATAATAATAATAAAAGATGAAAAAAATGGCAAAATAAGGAAAATCAACAAGTATTGGTGGCTTGGCAATAGCTAGCATGTAGATCAGTTCGTTTACAGGCAACCCATATTTCAAAATCTGATCTGCGCCATTCACCTAGTAATGACTGCATCAAAGCACAACATAGTGTTGTGTATGTGAGCCCATTTTTTCTCTTGGTGGTGGTGTATGAAATTTCTAGCACAGCTAAAAAAGGGACAGAGTGTACATCTGCCAGAAGTCCACTTGACAGACATCAAACAAACTGCAGTTTCTGGTTTCCAAGGACTTCAATTGTGGATGCCATTTCGGTGGGAGGAGGAGTTACCTTCTATACCGTATATATGACATGTCTAAAATTGAAACTCCTTACTATTCCAACCATTGAATTTCAATAATATCAGAAGAGTTCCCGATACAAACTCCTCCCTCTTTCATGATTGTTTCTCACAATCATAAAAAAAATCACATCTTCCTAACAAAACAGAAAAATAGCCCAAAACATAAAAAAAAAAAGAAAAAGAGTGAAACGTTCAGAGCTTGACACCTTGGTACCAGTCTACTGATCATGTGATACAACAATTGGAAGAGATTGATGTAAAGAAACAATCAGAAAACATATGTAATCAGAAGTATTATGATATTTAAATAATTCATTTCTTAAATTCTGCAAAATTTAAGTTTATCTTTAAAATTGCAATGAGCATTATTGCACCAGAGAATGAGCTCAAACTAAAAAAGGTAATCACTTAAAATGTGAAGAATAATTTCAAAAGAAAATGACCATGTACTTGACCATGCCCAGGAACAAATGGGCATCGGCATCGTACAACAGGGGGAAAATTAGCACCTACTTACATGAAAATTGATAATCAATATAGACCCAAGAACTTCCACCAGAAACCCCCAACAACTCCCCAGATCACGGCATTAACAAAAGCCATTATAAAGCCCACCTTGAATAAATCTGGAAGGTCTACATAACCAGCTGTGGAAACAAAGCAAAGGAATACTGATCAGTCTTCATGCCATCATGTATATTAAGATTAGAGAAGACAAAAAAAGAAAAAAGAAAAAAGAAAAGAAAAAAAAGGATTAGTACTCCATGGCTTCCCAATAAAATCTACAAATAGGTAAATAGAATTTTATTCAGATAAGAATTTTATTATAGATTCCAAAATTTGAGTTCCTCTTTGTCCATCTTATAAAAAACAGATATTTATTAACTAAAAGAAACTATAAGCAAAACCTAAATATGGAATAATAATTTTGATCGATCAGAAGGGAAAAAAGAAGTTATGTAAATTGGTTACCAGATCAAAGTGAACTTTACAAATAAATAGATGAAGCAAAAGTGAGTCAATGGAAATAGACATACCTCCATAGTATACAGCAGCCTGACCACTGCTATAATGTGTCAAAGCACCAAATAAGTTTGTATTGTAAGCTAAAGCCAGTGCTGCCAACCCACCAGGCACCCCAGACGCCAAGTGCATGGCAAGAAATGCAGAGAATAAAGCTCCCACATGACCAGTTTGACTTGCAAATAAGTAGTGGATGAAGAAGTAAGCAGCCTGAAGAATACCAAATGCAACAGGCCAACTCAAGGAGAAAGAATGAAGCAATTTGGCTACGCAACTAGACATCCAGCTTACGATGCCAAGGTTTGTCAATTGGCCTGCCATGCCCACTAGAACTGCAAACCAAGCCAAGGTATCCCATGCTGATTTTTCACTTAGGCAGTCATCCCAATCAAGCACCCCCAACAATAAGAGTATCGATAAGCCAAGCATAGCAGCAACAACACTTGCTATACCAAGAGCGTCTCTGTTCACAGACCAAGCTATATCAGAGATTTTAAATTTTAGTAAATAATGACTACAAGATTAAAAATTAAAAATTAAAAATAGCCACCAGAAATTGAGATTTCAGCTACCATCCAAGCAAACTGTGTCACGGATATTGTAGTGGTGGTGCAAATATGCCGATCATTTCATGCAATATACTGTCAACCATGGATTTGTTTCACAATGGACTGGCAGAAGTCAATGTATAAAGTTCTAGTTGGACAAATAAGAAGTTACTTAAAACATAAGGTGGTTCCAAAACAATTCAGTGAACCAAAATCACCACATGTATGAAGATTGATTAAAGATGATTGAGGGCAAGCTAAATTTTCACTTCCACTTTTCCCAAGGATTGCACACCGTCATTGTGTGATGATTGAAAGTCATCTATAAGCCAGAATGTGAATGGTCTATCCCAAAGAAGCTCAAGAAAATATAACCTGACACAAAATTGTAGAAAGCTTGTGGCACGCCAAAGTTTTCTTGTGCAGCGTAGTCTAGTCATATGGATTATCAAGGTGCTGAATCTATTACATTGTTAGAAGATCCTGCATAAACTAATCTGCCTATACACGTAATATGAGCATGGAAATCTATCAGAGTTCCAATGCAACATGCATATGCATATGCCTGATAAGGTTTAGATACCAACACCGGTTTCACAGTTCCACTTCAGCACTCGGCCAGTGATACCATTGGCTTTAAATAGGATTCATACATATGCAGACTTGAGATTTATATATATTTTGACTAGGTACCTATTTGGGATTGCTTCTCTGTAGCTAAAAAGCGCGTAGGTTTTAAAAAACTACGGTTAGAGGTATTTGGTGACTAAAGAAAGTGTGTTTAGGCTGTAGAGATTTCCTAAAAAAAGTGGCTTTACGTGAAGCCAGAAATAGTAGCTTTTGGAATTGCGCTCGAGGTAGAATTAGGTAACTACTTTTTTTTAACAATATAATCCCTCACTTTTCTTTATAAATACAATTTTATCCCTTACTGTTCTGCATCACTGTCATTGTTCGCATTATATCTAATAAGCCACACAAACATTATAGCATTTTCAGTTGTAACGTGTATTTAAATTAGTTTTATAACACGTAATCATGCAATGTTAACCAACAAACATGCCAGGTGAATGAATCACTCACATTAATATCATACAACATCGTTATTAGTGTATGTCTAATACAGTAAATTAATAATAAAAGTGTTTTAAACAACACTGTTACCAAACAAATTTATACGTGCTTCAAGTATAAAAGTGTTTTATAAAATGCATTACCAAGCACATAACATGATTTTTATTAACAGCAATTTTGTAACAACTCTACTGTTAAAAGTGCTTTCATCATTCTAACGGCAATTCCAAACGGGCTCTAGGCATGCAACTTGGCCCAACCCAGTCTTCAAAAGGGCATGGGTGGTACCTTTTGTTGCACATATTTGGCTTTAAACTCAATTTTCAGTTTAGGTTTGGTTAGGCAGACGTGTTAAGTGGATCCCAACCCGAACCCAGCCTATGTTAATATTAGTATTAATCATCATCCTTGCCTTTGTACCATGTGAATGGGGTCGACCATCCATTTTTTCTTATTATATACCATGTCTCCTCTATTGTAACCCGAGTTTCGAAAAATATGCTTGGTTGGACCCATTAGGTTGAAATCAGTTTTGGGCTTGGGGTTTCGTATCACAGACATCTCAAGTTGACTACTCAACCTGCCCGAGTTGCCCACTTAATTGTAAGCTTAATCAATTCATGACATGCAAGCAAATGGAATATGACAAGTCAGTTTAAATGCAATAAGTGATTTATTAGATATATCTAGCAATCAATTTTAAAAATCATGATTTTTTTTATTTTATTCTATTTTATTTTTGATTAGGTAAATACTTGCACAGACTCACACATCACCACAAATGTCTACTGGGGGCTTGAACCTTCACCTCCCCTTTGGGGAGAAGAGTTTGTAGCACATGGACGAATGGCCTGGTGGTGAACATCACGAATTCATGCGCTCAAAAGATACAAACAATATTTACAACTTATAATAATATTAATCAATTAACCCAAAAAATCAAAGCACTGGACAAAATGTAATTTCTCTAACAACAACTGTTGCATTCCAAGCAGGGAAGTGAAGCAAAGAACATAAATCAACCATAAAACCACAGCCACGTGCTTTACATGATGATAATCATCAATATAATATCAATAACCCTAGTGGAGTTGATGCTGACCAATATTGAGGGACAGCAATTACCAGCCAACACTAGTGTGATTTCTTAAACATCCAATAAAGCATCCACGACAACATCAAGAAGTTTGATGATAAACTCCCGAATTTTTTTTCTAAAAAAACTCCAGTAGGTCAATAAGTTACTATGGTGTCTTTATTTACTGTTTACCTTTTGGCCTCCAATGAATATGGGATTTCAACAGATGTATTCATTTCATAGCCAACAGAAGCATATGACGTCTCATATCCAATATCTGGAATTGTTTAATGTCACAAAACACTTACATTTTAGATGTGAAGTCCATATATTCATATCATAAGCTTGCGGCAGAGTAGAAAGGAACTATCATGACATCTAAATGGGATGGGTGAGGTTAAGGTCAATCGCTATTAACTCAAAAAAGGAAAATTAATGGCTATGAATAGTGAAAAGCATATTTCATCTATGTTTACTTTTATCTAATAACATGTAGCTAAATATTATCACCAAAAGAAATAAAAACGCACAATAATATAATGGAAAGATTTTCCTAAAGTAGTACTCTGACAGGACTCTATATGAATCAATGTGAAGTAGGAAATAGTAGTACTTACCCAAAGACCCACAAAGAGACTGCAAGAAGCATTGTTCCAACCATTACCCATTCATTTTTTGTGACAGGACCCATAAGCTCCAGTTTTTTTGTAGCCATAGCAGGGGCATCTGGTGTGTCTTTGATTTCAGGAGGATAAAGCTTATACAACACCAATGGAGTAACTAGGAGAGAAACAACTGCAGGTAAACTAGCAGCCTTAAACCAAGATACCCATGGGTTCACAATTATCACCCCGAGTTCCTCGGCTAGTTTGAGGCACAGCAGATTTTGAGCTGCAGCAGTTAGGAAAAGAGCACTAGAATTACAAGCCGACTGTCATGCATCACACAAGAGCAATGCATAAGTCATCGGATACTACATGATCACAAAAATTTAAATTCAACGATAGAATTACAAGCTGAATAAAAAATTCTAATAACGAAAATGTATTCTGATTGAATATTGATCAAGAAAAAAAGATAAAAGTATGACCAAATGGAGTAGCTGATTGACCAATCAACAAAACATAGTAAATTCTGCCCTTTGATCAACATGATAATACTCATTTAACAATATGCAGTCTCTAACATAATCATCCAATTATTTAAAAGGAAAAAAAAAAAAAAAAAAAAAAAATGAGAGAGAGATAGTTTATCTAGTAGGATCATATGCTAAAATTATTTCATTATACTTCCCCAAATAAATGTGATAATTTTGAAAAAAACTGAATAATTATAGGACAACTTTTTGAAATAATTTCAGGTTCACTGCCCTATCCAACTTTATGCCATAAGCAAATCGACTTCATTAGTTTGTTAGTGTCATTTCCTCCTCTCTTTCTGTACCCAAAAAGGAATACCATTTTTGTAATACATAATCAAACGTATCCACACTTTACCTCAGATCAAAAAGCCAAAAAATGAAAAACGAATAAAAAAACTTCCCAAGCTTAGCACTACAATAAACATATCCCAGTAAATGAGCACTAAAATATATAAGAAGTTGACATCTACCCACATTTGTTAGCAAACAATCTCAACATACAACAAGTTCTTTAATTCAGTTCAATAACAGAGATGTATAATATAAAACTATTTCTTTAATCCAATTCAATAAACAGAGATGTATAATATAAAACAATTAAATACTGAACTAACCTGAAACTGAGATTGAACCAAATAAGACCCAAGCCTCTTCGCCGATGGGTGACCTGGTTTACTACCAGCTGAGAGCGACAATGACTTAATAATAGGCAAAAACACACCTCCAGCCCTAGCCGTCGTGCTCGGCATAGCCGGAGCGATAAGAGTTTCACTAATGGTCAACCCATAAGACAGGCCTAGAGTACTTTTCCCCAACCACTTCACAAAATACGTCGCAATTCGATCACCCAACCCGGTCTTCACAAACCCCCGAGCGAAGAAAAACGAGATCACAATCAACCAAATCACCTCATTAGTGAACGCACTAAAAGCGGACGAGAAAGTTAAGGTTTTCGTCAAAATTGACGTTGTGAGCCCTAAAAATGCCCATGCACCGACCGGCAACGGACTCAGCACGAGTCCGGCGATCGTCGATGTGAAAATTGAGAGCAATTGCCATGCTTGCATCGAAACCTCCGGCGGTTTCGGGACGAGGAAACGAACAATCAGACCAATAGAGAGTGAGATGATCAACGGTATGAGTTTAGCGCCTTGAGGCTTCGATTCGGCGATAGAGCCTCTGTTGTCATCAGGTGATGATGGTGATGAGGCTTGGATTGGTTTGCGGGTGGTGTAGGGTTTTTGGAGAGGATTGAAGAGGAAGGGTCTGGGATTGAGGGGATAGAGAGTAGAGAAAGAGGAAGGTGATCGGAGGGAGGATATGGATCGAAGTGAAGGCTTGGGAGATATTGACGGTGTTGATTTGAAGAGCGAAGGCCGTGATCTGGCGTGGAGAGAGAAGCGAGAGTAGAGAGAGAACGAAGAGGTTGAAGATGGAGAGGAGAATGCAAAGCTCTCCATTGTAGAGAGAGAGCAGAAAGAGAATGAATTGTGAAATGAGAGAGAGAGACAGAGAGAAAGAGGGGTAAATGGTTTCTGCTTCAGAGAAGCGGAAACTACGAAGAGCATAGAAGGGTGATGTTTGTTTTACATGAGGAGGGAAATTAATTATGACATTTTTTATTCTTTTTGGGGAATGTTTTTGTGTGAATCGATGAACTTGAGATTACAAAGATCCGCCAAGTGGCATCATCATGTTGTGAGTGTGATTCAAAGGTAAGGATGTGATTTGACTATCTTGGCTCCAGATTTTGTGATGTAGGATGGCCCACTTTCCAACCACACAAAATTAATACCGTCTCATATCAGAAGACCATGTTTAAAAATTAAAGTTAATTAATAATGTATTGATCTTTTTTAATATTATCAATTTGCCCTTTATGGTTTAATAATGTATAGTTACTAAATTTGAATTTTTTAAAAAATATAAAGTACAATGATAAAAAGATAAGATTTATTTGTTTTAACTTTTCAAAATAAACAACTAATTTGAGACATTTAAAAATAAAATAGTCCCCAATGTGAATGAGTGACAACTAATTAATTACAAGAAGTGAGAGACTTGTCATCATAACGCAATTAAGTGAGCCCCCAATGGGAGTAGAGGTCTCATAAAAATAATTTTATTATGTGGGTAAATGCAAAAGACACCTTGTAGTTTCAAAAGTGTGCAAATAACATCTTTGGTGTTCAAATGTCACCCATGTAGTTTCAAAATAGTGCAAATAAGGACTTCTGACTATGAAAATTGGCATGGACCGTGTATGTGACTAAAAATTGGCCTTTAATACCTAAACTGCCCTTTTGCACTACCTAAAATATCCCTTTGAAAACACAGGATTTTTTGCACACTTTTAAAAATATAAGAGTTTTTTTACAAACATGAAAATAATTTTTAATTTTCTTTACTCTTTCCTCTTTAACTAAATACAGGAATTCATTGTTTTTAAGCATTCTATATATAATATATATTACTCTTAATTTTCACACTCAATTTGTTACTTAAACTCTTAATTTTCTGCCATCTAATTAACATGAAAAAGTACCACTTAATTACAAAGGTTGGTGGTACGGATTTTTTAATTTACAGTTACATGAGTTCTGAAATAATTTATATATTAAAAAACAATACTTGCATTTTTATATGAAAAAATAATATAAACTCTTCCTCCCTAATATTTTTTTTTTCATTTTTTTACTGCAAAATTAAATAATTATTGTTTTTTTCAATGGAACTTTCTTCTTTTTTACAATAAAAGGTTAAAGGTTGAAATTGGAGTTCATGGATTTCTTTATAATAATAATAAAAAAGAATTTCTTTATTTTTCTTCCAACTCCTTCCATCATTGTGTGTGACCCATACATGTTTATATATAATTTTCATGTTAAAACTGTGATCCCAAAAAGAAGAGACAGTATTGAGTACGCTGAGAATGTCTTCATAATATACCTGTACTCAAAATCAATATAATAAATATAGAGCTAGAAAAGAGAGAGAAAATCATACAAAGACCAACTAACCCATGAAACCACCACCCAAGTGCATGAATCCCAATCCCACACCACTTCTGCAGTCTTTGTACATACCACAAAGCCTCTCCCATCTTTACTCACTCCCACAAACAAAAACCCCAACTCAATCAATATATCCATCAAAATGCCGTCTTCTTCAGTTGTCATCCTTTCCAATTGCACTGTCTTCCCAGATCACAAATCAAACTTAAAGACTCTCAAACTCTCTGTCTCTGATCTCCCAATGCTCTCATGCCAATACATCCAAAAGGGTGTCGTACTCTCACGCCCACCTCATCTCCAATTGGACTCTTTCATCTCTCTCCTCAAACTCTCTCCCTCTCTCTAACTCTCTGTCACTTCCCCGCCTCGCCGGTCAACTCTCCACCAACCCAGACACCATGTTCAAAATTCAAATCCTTTGCAATGACGCCGGCATCCAATTCGTTCAAGCCCAAGCCAAACACCTTTTCATTGTCGACATTCTAGTCCTTATAGACATACCCAATTGCTCCAAACAGTTCTTTACCTTCAACAACACTCTCAGCTACGCTAGCCACTATAAGCCATTGACCACCGTCCAGGTCACTATAACGACTCACTCCACCACATGATATGATATTGTCCACTTTGGGCCTGAGCCCACATGATTTTGCTCTTGGGCTTTACCCCATAAGGCTTCATACCAATTGGAGTGACACACTTACATTTAAGCACTTCACCATTCCCTTACCCAGGCGATATGGGATTGTGCACCTGTAACTCGCCAGTATGGTAGCATGATAGTGTCTTGCACCCGCCCACGGCACACCCGCCCACAAGGTCATCACAATCCACCTCCCTTGGAGGCCCGACGTCCCAGTCGACACTGTGACGACCCTGGATTTTTCAACCCAGTGTGTCCTGTGATGACCCGAAATGGATCCAAAATGCGGAAGCAAAGGATAGAAAAATGGTCTCTAGAGATACAACACGTCTCTAAGACACCAATGTGACCCTCAATGAGGTCACGGAACCCAAAGAAAACAAATGCCGAAGCGATGTTTCAAAAACGGACAAGAATGAACCTAAGGGCAAAATGGTCATTCCACATTGAAATAGGTGCCACCGTGCACACCATTGGAAAGACAACGAAAAATTAATGAATTTAGACTCAAGTATCACCTGATTCGGAGTCCGGACGACAAAGATATCAAGTTCTGAAATCGAAGGAAGGGAAACCCTATCCCGGTTCAAACCAAAAACAGACACCACATTTCTAAAACTTGAATATCTTGAGCTACAAGAAGAATATAAAGCTCTAATTGGTACCATTGGAAATTTTATTTCGACGCGGTCAATTTAGATTCAAGAACGGACCAATTCGGAGTTAAAACAAATAAGATATGATGATTTGAAGTCGGAGGTACAGTGCTGAACCAAGACACACACATATACCCGTGAACAGTACCTCGAGCGCTCGAGCAAGGGCTACGAGCCCTCGTAATTAGCCCCGAGAGTTCTATCCAAAGTTGGAGCGCTCGAACCCCCTTTGGAGTGCTCGTTCTACTGTAGGCTGCACCTGAAATGCCAACTTGAAATGCAATTTTAAGGACTTTTTGGGCCTTTTTTTAAAAAAAACACAAAGAAGAAACCCCCCTCAAAATCATGTTTCTAGCCAACCATGCCAAAAGAAAACTTTATTTTTCATGTGAAAATCCCACAATGCCCTTATGCTTAGTTTAGGCTCAAAACGGCAAAAATGTAAGTTTGCACCAAACATTCATTTGACCCCAAATGCACTTCTAGGCTTAAACGAAAACGAATATGCACGCAAACCTAATAAGTGATTTTGAGCGCGCGGGAATGGTCCGCAGCTCCCCGAAACGACTGATGCAAAATCTGACCCCCCGACGTCCAAAAAGGCGAAAATGAACTTGAAATGAAAATTTTGAAAACCAAAATTAACAAATGGTTGGAAATTACTGTTTGGCCCTTGGCCACACTTCATACATGATTAATGAATGCTGATGGATGAATCTCATACACAATGCACACTCTGGTGCAAAATAACATACAAAAATGTAAAATTTTCATATATTCTCATTAAAGGGAAAATTTAACATCCATGACATATATGTGATTTCAAAAGAAGTTTGGCTCTTGGCCTCATGTCATATACATAAAATGAGAATCAAAAAGTGTGCTTAGGCACACGCTACAAGTTTAGTATCAAATATACACATTTGACAAATAAGGTTACAAATGGCATTCCAAGCCAACCTTTACAAAGATGGAAACCTCCAAGTCCACAAACCATCCAAGCATAATGAGAGTCTCAACTTTAATTCCTATACCTGAAAAATATCCCCACAACGTGGGTGAGTAATATAAAGCTACTCGTAGGAGAGGAGCATGCATCGACCTAACTTTTTACAATTTTATCACCTTAAGGTGAAACATGTTAAAAGGGCTCATACCACCTAACGTCTATGTCAAAGTGTGACCCAGGGAGCATCCTAAGCTACCTAAGATCATTTCTAGCACAAATCACATCATTCGCGCAATTCAAGTAACATGAGAGCATGCTATACAAAACAACAAGATGTAGATTCTCAAAGTTATCAACTTGAAATTTAAAATGCTAGAATAACCAAAGTGGGTCATGCCACCTAACGTCTATATTCCAAATGAATCTATAGGATCATTCATAAACCACATTTGAACATATAAGGCATAATGTACTTAACAACATCAAGGTTCACAATGATTCACTAAAATCATAAAACATAGATGCGCTTAACAACATCAAAATGATTCACAAAAATCATAAAACATAGATGTGCTTAACAACATCAAAATGATTCATTAAAATCATAAACATAAATGTACTTAACAATATCAAAATGATTCATTAAAATCATAAATATGGATGTACTTAGCAACATCAAAATCGCCAATAACTAAAACCACAAGTTACAATATAAACATGATTGCTAACTTGGAATTGAATGTGAAAACAAATAGTGGAAGACTTGGATATCTAAGCTTGGAATTCTGCCGAGACCTCAATGGTTTTTCCGAGCACTAACCCGCAGGGAAAACCACCATAAGTGTGCACTATCTCAATTGGGGAGAACTCATACCTCCCGCACTAGAGCCAAACTCTAGCCATGTCATTTGTAACAACAATGTCCCAAGACTCCAAAATAAACCAAATAAGTTCACAACTTATACATAATTTATATAATGCATGAAAACCACCTTCCATGCACAAGTAGGTTAAAACCACACAATCCATGCCTTAGAGTTTCAATTCTAAAATGGCATATATAATGTCAATTACAAAGTGTGCAATTTATTACAGATGGCATCAATATATTCCATAAAGAAAACATGTTCTAATGAATATAAATATAACAACAAAGTTGTCCAATGCTCAAAACACAACAAAGTGAATACATAACAAGTTCAAGTCTATGATTTGAATATAGAAACAATTTCTAAAATACCAATAAATCCATGGAGCCATTAGATAGAATTTAATTAAACAAGATAATCAAATTCTCTAGATTTCAAATCAAATTAGAATAACCTCAAATTAA